GTCTGAAGTTGGGGACGCTTCTTCCAAAGCCGAGCCCGGGGTCGTTTGTCGTGTCCCAATCAGAGAGTGAGTGTGCCTACTGTGTCTAGAGAACACATATCAGGTGTCGCGATATGTCTACACCTGCCCGTTAATCCGGGCAAAAGCCACGCGCGCAGACGGGTCTTCAGTCGGAGAAAACAGGCAGATCTCGAGCGCAGCTACTGACGACTGACGTGCTGCTTGGGGTCTAGGGTACCACCACAGGCATCGACTCCACCGCGATAAGTGCCGCCCGGGATCATGCAGGGTGGCCAACGAGGGGCTCGCGGGCGTCTGTTTGGGCATAGCGCTAGGCATGCCTGGCCAACGGAATTCGGGGCGCCGTTGGTACAGGTGGGGTAAGCCCATTGGTCACGCTGCACAAGAGACTTGGGGGAGCCAAACGCCACATGACGGGGACCAAACTAACCCAGTAGATGCTCAACCGACAGCGATCCCTGCTGGGAATGAAAGAGCCCGGACGGCCTCGAAGACACTCAATATCTTTGTTCGCTCAAACACAATCAGTCCATGCCCTGGCCTGTTGAAGACTACTTCAATTCCCGCCTGCATGTCGTCCGAGGCTGTAACAGGAAGTCAGGTGAGCGACAGCGAGGTTGACGAATCACTGCCCCTAACAACCATAGTAGCAAATGTTCGGACCGCAGAATCTCTCATTCATCGTCCTCTTCGTCCTCGTCATCTTCATCATCCTCATCGTCCTCGGACTCCTCCTCATCTTCATCCTCTCCATCCTCTTCCTCAGCCTCTAAGGGATACTCCATCAAAATCCACTGACACCACTTCTCGAACTCGGCCCGCCACTGTCTAAGGAGCTTCGCCTTTGTGCCCTTCCCTAGGTAGCCATCCGCAATCTCCTTGGCCCACTCCCCTGGTTTCTGGTCTTCGATGGCGCACCATTTCAGTGAGTTCTCGGCCATGGTTGCCAGTCCTTCCAAGCCAAGATTCTCAAACCCCATGTATGCTTGCCAGAAGTCGTGACTCAAGCCGTTCTTGCCGTGGCCCAAGATTGCAGGATCATCGTTGTTCAGCGATACAGCCACACCCCGCGAGAGCAATGCCGGCAAGGAGTGAGAGAGGATGGAGCTTGACAAGCGCAAGATTTCGTTCGATATCGGGCAGCTTTCGACCAGGATCTTCTTTTCTTTGACCATATCGATAAGCAGAGGGTGCTTGTAGAGCGAATAGCCATGCCCAATGCGTCGAGTACCCAGCAAGACCGCATCGAACAAATTATTGTCGGTACTGTCTCCGTCGCCCAAGCACTCTCCAGCATGGAAGAAGAACGGCAAATCCACCCCTGCCTCGGCACACTTCTTCTTGAACCAGAACACCAGCGGCGTCAGATCCTGCAACGTTCTTCCTCGATCCTCCTGTGCAACGAAATCGAACCCACAGATTAGCTGAGGGAATTTCTTCTTCATGCGAATGCACTCTTTCATGGAAGCCGCCAGGATCCTGTTGTCCTCTCTACGGACGACCGTCCAAATCATGCGTGCACCAATGAAGCCCTTGCCCGCTTCGGACCGCTTGAACTTGTCAATCTCTTCACCGAGCACCTTGAAGAAATCGTCGTATTTACCGATTTGTCCTGTCGTCTGCCCTTGTCGTCGGAATTCAAATTTGAAAGCAATTCTGAAGTCCACGTAGGTGATGCCATCGGCGGCCAGTTGGCCAAGAAGTCTTTGTATTGCGCGGCGGAAGATGGGCTCATAGGTGAACATCCATGTGATCACCAGGAACGTGCTCTGGAATTTCCTCCATATTGCATCTAGGCCGTGGTGATGGCATAGTGACTCCTCGGCGGTGACGGTGCATCTGCTGATCAGCCATTTCTTAAATGTCGTCTCATCATCGGGAAAGGTCCGCTGTGCTTCTCTAATGGGAATGGGAGTGTTCGATTTGTATGCAGCATTCCAGATACTCCCTGGATTCTTCTGCTTCTTGATCTCTTCGTCTGGATAGTACCTGAACTGTAGGGCACCTGTGGTGCGTTTGCCCTTGTCGCTCAGGCCTTCTGGTGCAAGCATGCAAAAGCCCTTCTCGGCCAGAGCCTGGTCAACCAACCAATCAATATCAATCATAGCGTCCATATGAGCATGCAGTAAAGCGCCCTTGGGCATCTTTTCCATGATATTCCACAGGTCGGTGGTCTCCATACGATCTCGTGCCAGAGTGAACATCATCCCTGGGTAGAGATTGCCGCCATTCTTGTCAGCAAGGCTATCCTCGAACTCTGATGTCCAGACCGATTGTAATTCTCTGCGTCGGATAGATGCCATGATCTTCGCAGCTTGCTTCGCCATCGGTGACATGCTTTGCTTGAATGCCCGATCATGTCGTTGCTTCTTTTCCTGTTCAATTAGGGCTTGCCGCCCTGCCATGTATTTTTGGATGAATGGGTCGTCGACTTGAGGAATGCCCTCGTCGAGTTCCCATTCGACTTGAGAGTCGACCGACTCGTCGTCAGACATTTCGGCTTGAGGCGGCATGGTGTGCACTCGTAATACTGGGCTAGCAGCCTGAGATTCGGCGGGGTCCCGACCTATGCGGTAAAGACTCGTGTGATAGATTGAGGGGCGTCAATATCCGTAGTCGGGGAAAATTGACCCGAAAGCTTGGCACGCTGCTTTTACGGCTTCTGGCCTTCGAGGCTGACCATGAGGCTGAGCATCTAAGGAGTATGCCTTGCTCGCTTGACAGACTCGAGAGCCTAATCATGTCCCAGTTCTCCGTACCTGTGCCCCGTTCGAGCCGATGTTCCCAATCTGCAAGCCATGTTTCCCAGCTGTGGACTGGAGCTCGACAATCAATGCTTCATCATTGGCCCTAGCTCGCCAAGTCACTTGTCGTGGCCAGCCTCGTCTCAGACAGTGGCGCAGCGCGCAAGGCTGAGGATCCGGCACACCTTCCTTAATCACCCCTCCATTGACCGCCCGAGATCGGTGAAAAGCACGCCGCTCACGACTGATACTGGTGTCTCTATCTTCCACCGAGCTCACCGTCGAATCCCGCCGGGGTTCGCTTGCTTTCAACATTGATCAGCCCTGTGCGGCTGCTTTGGCGCCGGCGCCAACATGTCCGCCTCACTTCCTGGGAATCGAGACCTCCCGGCCTCTCAATATGACCTCTCCACGTACTGGGGCCGTGTCAAGCAGTCAGCGCAGATCGCAGATCCGAGGTGAGGCAAAGAAACAAAATCATTACGCGCGACGACATTGAGAGCTCTGGCTGGAGACTACACGCGCCTCGAAATGGCGCTGAAGGTACAGCGCAACAGACCTTCGCACATAGCATATACACGGTCCCGAAGCAGATTCATTGGGCGGGTCTGGAAGCTAATGTGTGTGGCCTGGCAGGACACTCTTCGTCTCTACCTCCGGCCTAGAGAATGCAAAGAAGCTAGTGACCTCGTACAAGACGGGACAAGCAAAAGTTATGACACCGGAGATATGGCAAGCAAAGAAGATTGTCGACTCGACACTGCACCCCGACACGGGCGAGCCGGTCTTCCTGCCCTTTCGCATGTCTTGCTTCGTCATCTCCAACCTGGTCGTCACGGCGGGGATGCTCACGCCGAACATGGGCACCACGGGTACGGTGGCATGGCAAGTGATAAACCAGTCCCTCAACGTGGCCATCAACTCGGCCAACGCGAACAAATCGTCCCCTCTCTCCACCTCGACGCTGGTCAAGTCCTACTTACTGGCCGTCTCGGCGTCCTGTTCCGTCGCCGTGGGTCTCAACTCCCTCGTGCCCCGCCTCAAACGAGTCTCGCCCAACACGAGACTCATCCTTGGCCGCCTCGTGCCCTTCGCGGCAGTCGCATCCGCTGGGGCCCTGAACGTCTTCCTCATGCGCGGCGAAGAAATCCGGCGCGGGATCGATATATTCCCCGTCCAGTCCGAGGCGCAGAAAGCCGAGCGCGAAAAGACAGGCAAGGAAGTCGCCAGTCTGGGTAAATCCCGCAAGGCCGCGTTGTTGGCCGTAGGAGAGACGGCCATCTCACGAGTGTTAAACGCCACCCCGATCATGGTCATCCCGCCCCTGGTGTTAGTCCGGCTCCAGAAGACCGAGTGGATGAAGCAGCGACCGAGGATGGTCTTGCCCGTGAATCTGGGTCTGATCTTGACCACCAGCATCTTCGCCCTCCCCCTGGCGTTGGCGGCCTTTCCGCAGAGACAGGCCGTCAGCGCGCATACTCTGGAGAAAGAGTTCTGGGACAAGGGCGGAGAAGGCGGACTGGTCGAGTTCAACCGCGGTATTTAAGTCGGAATATTTCAGACAAGTCGCTTTTCCCAACGAGGCGGAGGCGGAGAATTGGATCACACACCGAAGGGAAAATCACACACCTTTCCCGCCGAACAGAGAGAAAGAATCAACCAGATTGCGAGTTCTGCCCCTTTCAATGTGCCCGCGCAAACACTGTGCCGTCGTCCCAAAACTTGATCCTCTGGCCGGCGGAAAGCGATAAGCGAGAGGAGCTTTTGCGAAAGCTGTCGCAATAGACTCTAGCCAACGGTCAACGAGGCGACAGGTCGCAAATTTGTGAGCATTTAAGGCGTATTTTTGACAAGGCATCATCAGGATTGGAATCGCCGGAACGGCAAAGATGCGAGAACTGGGTGCCCACAGAACTCATCCACGTGGAGAAGGAATAGCAACATGATAGAGAGACAAGTGTGAGACACAAAACAAGCATCAATGAAGTATTAATTCCGTGTTGGGCTTGAACTTGAAGTCTCCGAACTGACAGAGTCCCGTATCTATCTCGGCTTGCTGTTCCCAACGCCTTTTGAGATCTGGAAGGAAAATCCGGACTGCGCAAACCGTTGACATGCTCAGATGAATCCATCAACTCTGGCGGCGGAGCACCATTCGTTGTGCTAGCTTCGCACGTATCCGGTTTGCGTCCCCAGCAAGAGACGACAGGGTTTTCACCAGCTCACTTTTCCATGTCAGATCCCCCACCCGTCTTTCTCCTTGTCCTCTTTGTCCTTGTCCCCTCCGTCCACCTCATCCCCTTCCTCGTCGCCCTTCTTCAACATATCCGCAAAGCTTGGCCTATCGCCCGACCCTGCTCCTTGCGCCGAGGTCGCCGACGCTTCCTCTGCATTGCCACTACCATCGCCATTAGTTTGAGTGTTTGCATCAACGTCCTCGTCTCTGACGACCTGGCTCTCGTCGATGATCTGGTCTTCTTCTTTCTTCTCCGCCTTCGTCTGTTCACTCTCATCCGCTCTCCCCTCGCTCTGACTCTGCCCAGGCACCTCGTCGGCGCCTGTGCCATTTCCGTTTGGGGACTTTGTTTCCGGCGTTGTATTCGATTCTTGGTTTTGTGATGTGAACTTGTCTACCTCGGATTGTTCTCCCTCTCCCGACGGTGTGCCCTGTTCTAGACTGTCCTGGATCTCCCTGGAGAGGTCTTCTGCTTTGCTCGAGGCCGATTCAACAGTGGCTTCTGCAGCTTCCTCGGCAGTTTGAGCGGTCTCTTCGGCTGCGTTGCCTGCTTTCTGTGCTGGCTCTTTTGCCTCATCGGCTGTTGTTGATGCTGCTTCTTTGGCTTGATCTGCGACATTTTTGGCAGTTTGCTTTGCCGACGCACTTGCTTGCTGCCCTGACTCTTTGGCCTCGTCAACTGACTCTGGTATGGATGCTTTTGCGTCGCCTGCAGTGCTCTTGGCTGTCTCGAAGGCCCGATCCTTCAGTTCGGCGGCCTTGTCAGCTGCTGCGTTGACAGTGGGCTCAGCCTGGTCTTTCAACTCGCCGGCTTTCTCTGAAGCATAGTTAACGGCAGGCGCGGCTTGCTCACGCGCACTTCCGGCCACGGACTTGATGCTGTCCACAGCCTTCTCCACGGCATCGGCGGCGCTATCTTTCAAGGACTGCACCTTTGCGCTGATCTGCTCTCTTCTCTCCGCATCTCCAGCCTTGGCAGCTGCATTCTTCACTTTGTCGGCTGTATCTTGCAGTGTCTTCCCGGCTGATTCCATATCACGGTGGAACTCCTGCTTTACGGCCTCGGGACTAATGCCGCTGTTTTTGACTGACGACTTCACCTTGTTTTCTCCTCGCTTGATTGCGTTCTTGGCTTGTTCAGCGGCTTCTCTCATTTCTCTCCTAATTTCATCGCCGTCCACAAAGACGGTGTCATCGCCAATGTCTTCGGATACATTGTGCATCTCTTGAACTGCTTGACTCAGACGTCTGGACACACCCTTGGAAGCGTCGAGAAAGCTGTTTCGAGCGGCCACGGCAGCATCGCTCGCGGATCGACTTCGTCTCCGCTCGGTTTGCTTAATGTATGCCTGGATGAAAAATTGCAAGAAGAGCCAGGTAAGCGGTAGGAGGTACACGCAGTTCAGGAGGATGGCAAAGACTTGCCCACTGGTGTCAAGGCAATGAGCCCACTGGAGTTCGTCTCTGTAGCGTGTCTCTTCTCTCCTGACTGCATCCTCTACGATATGAACGGCGTCGACTCCGAACGGCTTGCCTTGCTCGTTCACGACGTTTTCTGCGAGACCCTCATAGCCCGCGCCTCGGAGGACGGCCTTCTTCAGCCAAGCGCCATAATTCGCAGCGGTGGAAATTGTCGAAGCGACGCTGGAGGTGACCTCGGTTGGAGCTTCTGAGACGACCTTTGAGGCGACTCCGCCGAGGTGGTAAAGGTAGGGCACTTTGACTGGGATCTGGTACGCAACGAAGATGTGTAGGAATGCGTAGGTCGCTCCGACGACGAACTGCGTAATCTGCAGGGTCGTCAAGGTCTGCTTGAACCACTTGGGCACTTTGATCCCGAGCGCCGAGAGAAGATAGAACGTGTACTAGATACTTGTGTTAGCGCTGTCGGATATTCCCCTTCTCTATCAACTTACCATGACGGCGTGAATGCCGGAGTTGACCAGAACGAACATCCAGATGGGCGGAGACATGTATCTAATACCAGCCCACATACACAGCATGGCACCAGCATGGTGGTAAGTCTGCAAGAGGCTGCTCCTCCTGCCCTTTGCCAGGATGATCAAGGTATCCACAATCTCGTAGAACTTTGACAGGTAAAAGAACCAGCCGTAGAACGCTAGCCCCTCGTTCCACATGCGCCCGGCATCGGTAGCCTCAGGACCGAGGCCGTCCGCAGCCAGGTGGAATAGATGGTTTGTCATGGTCCATGCACTGGTGGTCGCGTTGTATGTCGCCGCATTTCCCGCTCCTCGAGGCCCGTGCAGCTTGCATAGCGCGTCCACTGTTGTTGAAACACTCCATTCTTCATCCAGCGCTGGTAGCGACCGGTGCAAGGCATTGACCATGCCCACACACGTCCATGCTGAATATGCCGCCAAGAAGACATTGTGGAAGATGACCAGCAATTTGAAGAGGCGTGTTCTGCTAATTGCCCATGGTTTGTTCCCGCGGTTGGCATTGACCTGATTCAGCACTGAAACCAATGACATGTACACCAAAGCGACCGTGATGGGGACTTGCGGCTTGAGGAGGTCGTTGTAGATGTCGGTGGGTACCGTGAATGGGTGCGCAAGGGTTGGCTCATTGTAAGCTGCCGGTGGAGGCGGTACTGTAGTCGGTCCTGGCGCAGGAGGAAACTTGAAATGCGACAGTGGTAAGGTGCTTAGCTTGACTTGAGGTGAGGTTTCGCTCAGACCTAGCCAGTCAACCAGGCTTGAGACCGACATGATGCGTACTGACAGTCAACTGGCGTGTCGCGTGTCAAAGTTGCTGCGCACAATTCAGCCGTCGCATAAAGAGGTAGATGGAGTGTGTGCGGAAGCGGAAAGGAAAAGAAATTGGCTGAGGCTAGCTCCTGGCCATGAAAGAGAAACAGGAGACGCGCCAGTGACGCACAGCAGTCGCCAGTGAACGACAAGTCAGCGCTCAGTGAAAGAAGGACAAAGCCGTGACGAGCGAAGAACGGGACGCAGTGAGTGTGTGCCTGAGCCAGCGAAGAAGCTCACCAGCATACTCCGTACAGGCCCGTGAAGCCCTACGTCAAGGCTTTTTCCAGCCACAACGAGCTTCACACGTCATGCACTCCACCAGCCTCCCGCCAGCGGCCACCCCCAAATTCCAGCGCCACAACCTCGGCTGCTGGCGTGTCGGGAGATACATCCGTGCAGCCACTCAGGTGGCGCCAGAAGTTCAAGGTTCAAAACTTGGGGCCTTGGATTGTCCAGAGCGTGCGGTTGGCTCAATGTTACTACGGAGGACGTACCCGCAAAAGCAGGCGGCCATCATGATACAGATTGAGATCGAGATTAACATTAACACTGACTATTCTCTCCCTAATCCGTCACAAATGCAAACCATTCTGGCGGCCAACGGGTGTGCTCGAACTCACGTGCAAGCCATGAAAGCCAAAGCCAATCGCACCGTCAACATGTGCCCTTCCGACCTCTGTCATCGTCTTCGCGTCCAGAACAAGTAGGTAGCTCTTCCCTCCTGGCCCGTCGAGAACGACAGACAAGAGCACCCCGCCATCTTCGTCCTCCGACTGAGGATCTGCCACAAATATGGGCTCCCCCGGACTTTGACCATGGACACTCCATCTGAGCGTGGCATGTGTCTCTGCGTCGTACTTGACCAGGCCGTCAACAAATGTGGACTTTCCAGTATCGGATATGCCATACATGTACCGATGCTTCTTGGTGACCATCATGGGGTTGATGATTGGAAGTTCGAACGCGTTCGCCTTGCTGCCCTCGAAATCCAGCATTGCTTGCATATGTTTTGTCTTTGGCGTTGAGGATATACCTGGAAGCCGGTATCGCCGATAGTTGGGAACTGCTGTGGATGGCATAGACTTCCTCGCGGAATGTGCTTGAGGAAGGTCGCTGATGATGTTGTCCAAGTAGAAGTGGTGAAGGACATCCATATTTTCATAGGCGACCAGGTCGCAAATAACGTCGACCGCCCCTTGCTGACTCGTCGAGGGCTCTTCGTAGGCGTTGATGCTGTGGAACGAGAAGAGTGCCTTGGACTCGTAAGAAGCAATGACGCCCTTGCCGCCCTCTTCGGGCGACTTCTTGTCAATGACAAACCAGGTAGTCGACCGCTTGCCATCCCAAGCCATTGCATCAAGCAAGTTGCGCGTCCAGAGAATCGAGGCGCCTCCGGCTTTGTAGTATGAGTTCCAAACACACAATACCACGTAGTTTTTCGTCAAGAAAAGAGAGTGGATGTACGCAGGAGCGTGTTGAAAGGTTGCCAAAATCGAGGTTTTGCCAGTTGACGCCGAAGCACGCCATACCCGATACGTTCCGGTCCGTCCAAAGTCGAGATTGTAGTTGAAAACATCTCCAGTAGCTGGATCCGACTTGGCATGTGCACCGCTCCCTACGCCTGTGAGCGCAGGATGAAGGGTCGCTTGATGCGCTACCCCTATCGGTTCGAGGGTTTCCGGGTCCAGGAATTGCAACATGTTCGCGTCAGTCTTGTTGCAGAGGGTCATCCCATCCCTAGCATCACGGGGACGGTCAGTCTTGTGGCCGTCCCTCGACAAGCCGGGGAAATTGGCCGACATTGTCACGCCGACGTTGACCTCATTTGGTTTTGGTTCGGGCTGCGCTGGCTGGAAAACAGCCTGCATTTTCTGGAAGAAGGACTTGCACGGATCATACCGCGCGGCAAATGTGAATCCGTCGAGCTTGCCTGTCTTCCTGATCTTTTCGATGAGTCCATCGCTAGTCAAGCGCGAATTATAAGTGACCCGAGCTTTGGCACCTGGCTGTGGCGGGTGGATCTGGAAGCGGTGGACTTGCGAGAAATTGTCAAACCAGTGGTTGACTTTGAAGTCTGCATCTTTGGATGTGCGGATCGTCCTGGGTCCTAGACCGGTGCGGAACAGCGTACCCGCCGCATACGCTGGGATATCTCCTTCGACCCTTAACTCGACTGGGGTCCTCTCCTCGTAGTGTGTATCGAACTGACAATGTCAACATTAGGTCAGAGCCGACCCCCAGACAGGATCATACATACCCCTAGCGTGTTCGGCCAGTCATTGTAGTGTAATGTGGGAGCGACCTTCGCGCCAGCTAGAGATCCTGCGTCACCCATTTCGACCTGATCTAGATCAATGAGAGAAGCGATCCCAGCTGAAGAGATTCTGTTACGGGTGAGGTTTAGTCTGGAGCACCTTTGCCTCGATGTATTGCCGACTCTGTAGCAGATCATAGCATGCAGGTGGTGCTTGCGTACATATGTTTGACATCCCAACCCTTATATCTAGGTGTTGCAAACCAAGTGAGATCGGCGTCCTGCTTTGAATCTCTCCGTGGCTCAACCCATAAGGACGTAAAACAGGAGCGTATATGGAAAGTACTCACCAACAACGAATTGAACTTCAACGAAATGACCAAAAGGGTAGGAAGCGCGAGGCTGTGATGAATGCAGCCTCGTTGATATGCTTACGGCCGAGAGACCTAGCGACCTTGCCAAATGAGTGCCCTCTGCACGAGGTCTCAATGATCCAGAAGAGATGGCACGGTGGGAATACTGACTTCAATAATCCGAGAGACAATACAGGTGGACTCAATCAGGGAAGGATTTGCAGCTAGTATGCTAGAGGAGAATGCGCCGCCGATGCCCCAGGAGAGTCAATACGGTTCCACTGTAGGCCACTTCTTCATAACTTCCAGGATACTCGAAGGCTTGCTAGATATCATAAGCGCCCTGCGCCGTACTCATAGAATATTGAGAAGGCCCCGAATTTTCGGTGTGAAGCGATTTGTAGCTCGCGCCATCGAAGAGTAGATGATGGCAGTGGTTTGGATTCTGTATATTCTCTGTGACGGATGAAGCTGAGATTACAGTAAAACTGGAGTCAGAAGTGACGCTCAGCCCCTCCCACGTGACTGCCAACCAAGGCAGATGCAGGTGCAACAGTAGAGGGAGGGCGTTCCGACCCACCTGTGCCCTCGAAGCTGGCGCCGAAGTTCGATCACACTCGAGCTTGCGGTCCATCACCTGGCGTGTCGTGAATGCAGGACGGTGGACAGGCTGCTGTGAATAAGGGAGAGTGCGCGAGCTCGAAGTTCAAAGGCACAGTTGCAAAGATAAGTTTACCAACTGCTCGCGCCTCACCCCGGATTCGGACGGGGGTGATGCTGCCCTGTGCTCAACCCCGGCCCTCGTGAGCCAGGGTGACAGGGGCTGGAGGGGCCAGCGATCGCCCGTGTCACACCAGTCGTGGGGGGAACGGGGTACGCCTGGCGCCTAGCCTCGGGCTCGCCCAGGGCGAGGTCGACTCTTCGCCTTTTAGGCACCGTTTTAAAGGCTCCAACTTTGTCCAATGAAAACGTGGTAGTTTATAAAAGCAGCGTCATTAACCCGTGACTCCTTCTACGTAGGATTGTTACCACCATATCGTAACTGAGGCAAAAGATATAGTGAGAAGGTACCCAAGGAGCTCCCTTCGCTGCCAACGTAATTCACCAGAAAATGACTACGGAGTACATAGCGGAAAACGACACAGGTCGTTCATCAATATGCGCAGGCCTCCTCAATACAGCTTATGCGCAACCGCCACAGCCATTCATCTACATTATGAAAAAGTTATTACCGTTAAAATCCGAGTTTCGATATTACCTTACCCACATGGTTCTACCGGCCGTATCTACAGTAGGATGTCCCGACGCGCCTTGGCGGATCTTCCAGCAGAGCCTGACCCAGCTAAGCCTTCTCCGTTGCAAAAGCAGGCTCCACGTCGGCCGCGACCTCGTCGGCAAATTCAAGGTCGGCCTCCAGGCTGGTCTCGGGTGTGATCTTGAACCAGATCAGTGGGAATGCAAAGACCAGGCCGCCCAACAAAAGACCCCACGCGATCCCGAACATGGCATTGTAAGACTGTGGCGACGACTCGTGTCAGCGAAACAAACCTGTTTTTCTTTCGTCTGTTGGGGAACCAGGAAAATGTGTGCACTCACCACCGCCAGTGTATCCAGTCGGTACACAATGGCACTACCCGCACTCTGGATGGATTTGTAGAACCCGACGTACATGGCCAGTTTGCGAGCGCTGTTGGAAAGAGAGCCCATGTACCAATAGATCGACGTCTGCCACGCGGCATCGTAAAAGCCCCAAAAGATGTAGAGCACGAAGAGACCGCCGTAGCCGGAGCTGCTCCAGTCCATCCGCGCATCCGCCGTCGGTTTGACATCGCTCCGAGACCAGTGACTCTGATGCTTCAGCGCACCTCCCCAGATGGCCAGAGTCAGGAGCAACAACGCCACCCAGCAGACACGGGCGCGCACGGGCCGCGAGAACCGGGTCCAGTCGAGAGCAAACCCGAAAACGAATGAGGCCACAATCTGCATGGCCCAATAGATGACATTGTTGAGTGACCGAGTTCGAGCATTGAAGATGGCCAGGTTGAAGTCATTGAACTGGTAGGTGTAGAACCAGTTTGAGGACAGAAACATCTAGCGATCCCCAACGCATCATCGGGTCAGCAACTTGTCTCCAGTCTTCTACAAGGAGCAGGCTGGCATACCGGAAAGAGGAGGACCACGAAGTAGTCCGTCCGCAACAGCTCCCAGAGGCCCAAAAATTCGGTTTTCCAAGAAGGGTGTTTCATCAAGATCACGCGACTGCCGTCTGGACGAACGACCTTCTTGGCAGGCAATATACAGAGCCCGACGATCCCGCCAGCAAACATCAGGACAGCAAAGGCGGCATATGTGGCGTCTCCCACACTACTACCCGAGCCATGGATCGTCTGACCGAGCGGGATCTGAAGATCACCCAGTCAGCAACGCAGATATCCTAAAGCGAGGTATTGCCGTACCAAAGCGCCGATGACCGCCCCCATGTTGAAAATGGCCCAGTTGAGGCTGATGTATTTGCCTTTCTGACTCTCATGGGGATAGGCGAGAAGGATGGCTCCTTGAGCCGTCCATAGCAAGGCAGCAGTAAAGCCAGCCAAGGCGCCCGCGAAGATGACAAAACCGGAATTGCCGGTGTGGTTGTAGCAAATGTACGAAAGCACTGAGGTGGTATAGCCGATGCCGGCAGAGGCCAGTCCCCATCGCGACCCAATGATGTTGATAATCGAGCCCGAGAAGAAGGCGAAGAAGGCAAATGAACAGTAGGTGGCCACAGTGGCGTTGTTGGCCACGGTCGGGTCCAGCTGCCCACCTCCACCAAGTCCGGACCTGTTCGACGGTCAGTTCCAGGTCGTAGGTTGGGCTTAAAACAAGAAGAGGTGAGGACAGTACAGTGCATTACTCATCCCCGGTAGCAGGAAAAGGCAGAACGACAAGAGCAAGATTTGTGACAACGGCGAGGCATAGTATGTCAACGTCCACGCTCCGATTTTACTCCGACGATAGATCCAACCATCAAGTCCTTCTGGAGGCACGTTCTCGGCATTGCCTGTGACCGCAGCGCCGGCTATCACGCTGGTATCGGGATTTTTCTCCACGTCAGCCATGGTGTGGAGCCTTGACGGGTGAGTTATGAGGCTTATAGGTTGCGTTGTTTTATTATTGAGGGCCAAGGGACAAAGAAAGCCCCAGTGAAGCGGCTGGAGTCAGAAGCTGGGTCTGCCAGTCTTTGCAAAGCAACATCCTCTCGGGAATGGAGGAAATGCACCAGATCATATATCGTCGTTGAACTCTTTAGCCACCTTGGGCTGCTGTTTCCCGCAACCCGCTTGACCACAAAACGCGGGCTCCGCGATCTACCCGGTCTAAGATAAGCTGGTAGCACGGCCTCGATGCGACTGCTAGAAGCAATCATCACGCGACACAATTCGACAAGGGTCATAGTTGACGGGAGCGATGCTGGAAGCTGGTTTACGGAATGTGGAGGCGTGGCAGCGTAGCACAAGTGGAGACACGGGCGAGAGGCCCTATCGTGGTGATAAGGTCTAGCCAGGAGTGACCGCTGAGTAGCGACTAGTTACTGTCAGTCAGTTGATAACAGGAAAATGACAGGAAATTTACAAGCAATACAGGCCTCTGCAAAGTAAACGTTGAAGGTTTGCCAATGATAGATCGTCTATCGAGAACCTACACCAGACCTAAGGGGCCATCATAAGAGCATCAGCGACGTCTCTACTAATTTCTGCATACTCGCTGTCTGCCTCGAATCCCAGCTCGAGGAGACTGCGAGACACAATTCCTCTGGGAACCTGGAAATTGGAGTCCGTCAGCATCGGACACGTTCATAGAATAAAGGGAGTTTCGAATTCGGAAACACATACTCGGCTGGATATACACGTTTCACATCCCTGGCGGTCCAATTCACGAAGCGCGAATACGGACATTCTCTGAATAATATCTCGGAGGTCAGACCCCGAGCTTGTAGTTGACTGTTCAGGACTCATCACAAGAGCGGACAACATGCCACCGGATGGAGGACCCATGGCGACCTCGCAACAGAGCGATGCAAGCCGCGGACCTTTTGTGTGGAGTAGCATTGACCCGACAATCCGCTGGGAGATGATCTCACGTGCCAGAACCAATGCACAGTCTTGCCTTCGAGAAGATGAGTGGAGACGATATAGGCTCTCAACGAGGGGATCGGCTGGCGTTCCACGCCCTCGCAGATGCGAACAAAGGTCATCGGACATATTCCAGTTGTAGCTGATCTGAACGTCCAACTCGAGAGATGAATCCTGTGAAATGTGAGATACATTTTCCCAACAAGCTTTGATATTTTTCATTTTCAGCGTAACGAGATGCCGGTGAGTGGTAGCAGGCCCGACCTTCCAGCCTCTGCACGGTGTTAGAGATTTACCTCACATGTAAGGTCGCCACCTACAGGTTTTCCAGCCACTTTTTGGCATAGTCGTTTGCTGGCGTCGATGATTTGAGCAACCCTGGGTAGATCCCAAACAGAGGACATCCAACTTGTACAGTGTTTGCGTTAAGGCGATCCCTCAAGAAACTGAGGGTAAAGTTGTACAAGTCTGTTCCAATCGAAAGTCGGCGTTTCGATGCTTCAACCAGAATGAAGTCTAGACAGCTATGGCTGACGCTCTTAAAGTGGTGTAACCTGCAGAGGCCATAGATGGTTTCTGTGCTGGCGTTTCTGACGATGAAATAGTACGTGGCCATGGTTGAAGTAGGTGCGTTTGAGAAGGCGTCTGGACACAAACCTGACAGCCACAGACTTAGCTTCTCAGCTGGGCTCCCCTCGCTCTCGCTCTCGGCCGCCGCTTTCAGGAATACGTATAGTGATGTCAAATCGCGTGTCGGGTCGAATTGTTCGACGAGCCATGTTGGCTGGTGATCTTCTCGGGATTGCACCCGCTTGGGCATCGGATGGCCAGGAGCGCGACCCTCAGCCTTGAGGTTCCCGCAGAGCACGCGAAGGACGCAACTCAGAGATACGGCTGTACAGTCATAAATCGCCAGATGAGTCCCCCTCCAGCTCCCGATTGGCAAGTCATATGGGGAGCTCAAAGAGAGCAAGACCACTGCTGGGGGCCCCTTGACCGCTTTCTGGCCCCGTTCTCGCAATCTACAGAGGACATTCACATGCCTGGCAAAGGCCGCCTGGTATTGATTGCGAGTCGCATCGGCCACCATGATAATGACAAGATCAGCATCTTCGAGGAGCCGTTCGTGCTCAATCTGCACACCATGGGAGGAATACGAGGTGTGCACAACCTCTCCTACGCCACAGCGAGATAGTGCTTGCCCAAAGGCCTGAAAATACTCTTCACCATACATCGAACCACTGGCAAATTTGCGAGTCTGCAGGGTCAAGGAACTGCCACGCGTACCGTGCGAAAGGCTGGATTGGGGTTGTCCAACCCTCAGGAGCGGTGTGAACAGCGCGATTTTACTGCGTGTAGGCAACGTCTGAGTGAGCGGAATGACTGGGGGATCATCTTGCAAGATCGTCATCGATTGCTCGTAGACTCTGAGTGCGAGCTGTCGGTGCTCAGCACGCAGGCTTTCGAGATGCTGGAGGCCCAAAGGTTGAAGCGCTTGTTGCCAGTTTGTGTATTTATTCTTCATCGATGATATTCTCAATGCCTTTTCTTCCACTCTGCTTGCGGGGACGGTCTTATTATCAAGTGCCAGCGACAAAGACGCAAACGCCTCGAGCTGCATGGGGAACGACCGGCATACATTGATCATGTCGCACCCTGCGCTAAGGCCCATGACGGTGGCTTGACCCACGCCGACGCTCTGTGCGATGCCATCCATCTCCAGACATTCTGAGATGATGACACCTTCATAGCCGAGTTGCCCGCGCAAAAGTTCGGTGAGGACTTTTTTCGACAGGCAAGCATGCATCAATTTCGGCCCCATGGATGAAATGGCACATCCTGCGGCGGCAATACCATCAACCCCATCGTGAATCGCCTGTTCGAATGGGACTATGATGGACTGGCGCAGTTGCTCAAGGCTGGTAGAAATCACCGGAACCTTAGCAACGGATTCGTCAATCTCAAGACTGCCTCCAAGAGGGAAATGCTTCGCACAGCACGCCACATGGGCATCTCGACAGCCTCTGATGAAGTTAGAACCCAGCTTCGCGACCAGATGTGGATCATCTCCGAAGGACCGTGTTCCCAATCCCGGGACCGTCCTATCAAGGATGACATCCAGTGCCGGGCCTAAAAGCCAGTTCACGCCGATGGCCGACAATTCTCTTGCAGTGGCATGTCCGACGAGATAGGCATTCTCCTTGGAGTTTGTTGCAGCAATGGCCATCGACGAGGGAAATTGCGTGATATGAAGCTCATCGGTGATGGAATTCACCAGACCGTTTTCCTGATCGAGCGCAATCAGCAAGGGCTGCTCATGGCCCGATCTATGCGCAATAATCTGCAAGTCTCGAATGAGGCGGAGCCCTTGTTCGGCAGCTGATCAACCTGCAATTAGTCTTTCCGGCCATTCCAGAGGCTCCGGTGATGAGGGAGCACGGTCCGGCGGCAGCAGAACACTTACAAACGAAGTTTTTGGCATTGAGCAAGATTGTCCCAAGGCGGTATTCTTCAATGAGGGTGCGTATGTGCGGATTCACCTCGGTGCCATCAAATCCCATCATAAACAGTGATCCCACGGTGCTGTTAAGGTTGAGTATCCTGAGAAATGGTTCAAAAGCGCACCGACTCACGATTTGAGGACTGGGTTCGGCTGCGCAACTGGCCGCTCCATGTCGGTCGCCCTATCTCCTTGTCGCGAGAGTCCGCCAGTAGAGACGCTTCTGAGTTGGGTGACATGCTCTATATGAACGATAATTCTCAGACACGTCAAAGGTCCTGCTGCAGGACCGGGTCAAGCGATGTTGATGAAACTGCCTTCAGTCGACGAGAAACGCGCACGTGACTCGGCTGAAGTCTTGGCCATATCACATGACCGGTCAGGCTGATACTGTCATTACAAAAATCATACGTGTCAAAATACCAGGTAGGGGGGGTCCAGGTATGGGTATCTGCTCTCGATGCAACGTCTATTGAGAGTTTCATTGGGCAAATCGTAAACCACAGTGTTCTGGCTCATGGTGCTGCAGATCCGAGAAGCATTTCAACTCTATATCTCTCTATCAGGAGAGCCTCACGGTCAAATACTGGCCGAAGGACGAGGAACTATCTTGTATCTTCCACCTTCCACTACAACCCTCTATAACCAACACTGAGACGATGCACGAGCCTCTCATACATTTCACAAGGTGTGTGCTGGCGAAGAACGGCCAGGAGGTAGAAGAGGACCTTTACATATCGCAATCGACAGGTAAGATCGTCGAAGGAGCGTCTCGAGATGGTCCCGTTTTCGTTGAGGACCTTGGGGGTCGCATAGTTGCTCCCGGACTGATCGAGGTCCAACTGAACGGGGCCATGGGCTTCAACTTTTCCGAGGTCCCAGAGTCTGACATTGAGATGGAAGAATATGCGAAGTCATATACCAAGACCTGTCAAGGCCTCATCAAAACGGGGGTGACCTCATTTCTTCCAACGGTGACCACTGCTCCATCGGACATCTTCAAACGCGTATGTGGACGTTTCCAACGGGAATTTGGGACCTTGACTTTGCCATACAAACCCATTCTAACATACGTTGCCCAGGTTCTACCATATCTCGCTCCTAACGGTCACCTAAGAGACCCGTATGTTGGGTCCGAGTCCTTGGGTGCTCACTGTGAGGGGCCTTTCATCAGTGCCTCTCGAAAAGGTGCTCATGTGGAGAAGCATCTACAGAGCGTGGAAAACGGATGGGAGAGCATCCTGCACTTCTATGGACCGGAGAACTTTCTTCCAATGCCCTATGCGTCCGTGAAAGACGAGTTGGCTACCACCCGAGCCGCTACTATCAAAAAGCTGACCGTGGCCCCCGAGCTCGAGGGCATGGTTGATGCGATAAGGCATCTTACACAGGAACGCCAAATTTGCTGCTCCATTGGCCACACTGCAGCGACGTATGAAGTCGGCCTTGAGGCTGTCCGAGCCGGAGCCACGATGATTACGCATTTATTCAATGCCATGGAACCCCTACTCCACCGCAGTCCAGGCATTCCAGGTCTGATCGGGGCACCCGAGACGGACCTTGAAAACAACAGGCCATCCTTCGGCTTGATCGCCGACGACGTTCACGTGTCCCCGAGCTGCGTGAGGACAGCTTGGGCTGTCCACGAGAAAGGCTGCATCCTGACCACGGATGGCACGGCTGCGACTGGTATCGAGCTTCCGGATGGTGTGTACCCGTGGAAAGCACGACGTCTGGAGAAGAGAGGGAGAAGGATGTTCTTGGAAGGGACAGATACCATTGCTGGAGGGTAGGTCGCCTGTGTTCTGACTAGATTTACGTCTTCTCTCTGCTGACCGTTGTCTCTGAAAAAGAACGACGACTCTGTTGCAGTGTGTATCGAATCTCATTCGTTGGACAGGTATTGGAGCTGCCCGGGCTCTCGAGACGGTGACGACGAATCCCGCCCACTTTCTGGGTTGCTCAGAAAGCAAGGGAAATCTGAGGCCCGGCGCTGATGCAGACCTGGTCGTTCTTTCTTGGGGAGACGTGGACGGTGCCAGGGAATTGCAGGTGGATCAGGTGTGGAAATTTGGCTGGAAAGTATATGACCGAAACCCTTGATAGCGAGCATGGTTAGATTAGAGTTCCCGTGTGTTGGTTTCCAGCGCTGGGGAGCATAACATGCTCCACTAGGGAATCCTTGGTAGAGGCAACGTTACACCACCCGGGCCGCCAGGCTTGCCACCAAGAGATACCCGAGACCTGGTTGGAAGAGCTGCATGGACCTGAACGCTGATATGAGCATCTCAGATGATAGTTGGCGTTCGGTTCGGACCCGTGCTCTCAGGCCTATTGGGTAGGGAGCATAAAGTATTCTTAGCACACCTAAGAGAGCAGCACGGGGAGTCAGCAATCACTTTGGAATTCTTCACGGTTGTCTCTACTGGTTAATATAGAGAAAATAGCAGTCTATGTTGCAGACTATGAGGCTGATTGTCCGAGATACGGTTGAGGGGGCCTCAGAGTATGTGGCCTGGTATATCCTGCGTGAGTTCGATCTTGCTATTGCAGCTCTCCCTCCATGCCCATGGTTCTGATCTGGGTTATCAGAACGGATCAACCGCGCCTGTCCGAGCAAGCAGAACCCATTTGTTCTGGGCCTTCCGACAGGGACCAGTCCTCTCGGTATCTACGCCTGTCTGATCGACTTCTTCAAGAAGGGGCTTGTCAGCTTTCAGCATGTCGTCACCTTCAATATGGTATAGCCCTTGAACTCTCCCATTGCCTCAAGTGAAGCCATAACAATGCCATGGAGACCGTTTGATCAACTATTTCAGGCTAACCTACGTCTGTTTTTGGCAGGATGAATACGTGGGTATTCCCCGTGACCATCCCCAGAGCTATCATTCCTTCATGTTCCAACACTTTTTCGACCACATTGACATCAACCCCGAGAACATTCACATCCTGAACGGTAATGCCCCGGACCTTCAAGCGGAATGTCAGGCTTTTGAGGAAGCCATCGTCCGAGCTGGTGGCATCGATCTCTTTCTCGGGGGGATGGGCGCCGATGGCCACATTGCATTCAACGAACCAAGATCCAGCCTCGCTTCTCGAACGCGAGTGAAAACACTTGCCCGAGACACGATCAGAGCCAACTCGAGGTTTTTCGGAGACGATGAGAGCCAGGTACCCATTCGTGCGCTCACGGTCGGCGTGCAGACTGTAATGGACGTGAGTCATATTCCCCCGAAGCCTTTGCAAGAATGACGTGGAAAAGTAGCCTCAGGCATGTCGGGCTGAATCTTGGATTCTCGATCACTTAGGCACGCGAAGTGGTTATCATTGCCACTGGAATCCACAAGTCGGTGGCATTGCAGCGGTGCATCGAATCGGGCGTCAGTCACATATGGACACTGTCCTGCTTGCAGATGCACCCGCGAGCCATGGTGGTCGTCGACGAAGACGCAACAATGGAACTCCAGGTGAAGACTGTCAAGGTACGTCCCAAGGTATCTGTGCAACTCAGCGGTGATCCGCCATCTTGTCCGTCTCATCCACACGGCTAACGCTCACCCGGGGAGCAGTATTTCAAAAGTGTTGAGAATGTCGACAACGAGAACACTCTGGTCGCCACGTCGGACATGGCCAAAACAGACCAATTCGAATCGTCTCGAACGACCAAAATGACAGCCGATCCGAGTCCAGCCATCCAAGTAGACGCTTCAACGGACCAGGCGTCCCCGGTGACCGATCATCGTCTAGCAAATGGCTTTCTTCTCAACAGATCTGAACTTCTCCTGCCTCCACCGGACCGACCGAATCGTACCGCGTCGGTCAGCCCCGAGCTGATCCCCGATCGAATGGCATCGCGGATTGCGCTGACTTTGCCCTCCCGCGCCTGAATGCACATTCAACACGGCCCCGTATCCTGGCGGTGCGAGTCCTTTGTGGTGAGATACATGCTCAAAGCTCCATGACCATGGTATCCAAATGTTCCGTCAGACCGGGATTTGAACCTGTCCAACAAACCATGCGTAAAAGGTCTCCAGCTGGCCCAGTGTCACTGTTGGCCGTTCGGTCAGCATCTAAAGCACCAGGGAGGTGGCGTGCTATCGCGAATCCTCGGCACGCGATGCTCGACCAAGAAGAAAATTATTGGGTTAGCAGCAACAGGCCAGCCTGGTGGATCCGTCGCATCTATTGACTAGTGTGGCAGCGTTACACACGATCTCCACACTTGGTAGCAGAGGGCAGATAAGCCTCGTTCGTCCATTGAGCCCCTCATGCTGCGGATATGGCTCTCTACAAGTAGTTAGGGTTACACGTTCATGTGGGGATCCATGTACGGGGTGTCAGGAGGGCCTTTTACTGCATGCGAAAGAGTACGATCAGGGTCGAATAGTTACAGTAGGTCCCATGTCATGTCTTGTCGCATTCGTGAACGTTCGGCAAGTGGATTCCAATCCCCGTGTGATTGCCGTTCACGACGTGTCCTTCTTTGCACGAAAGTCCTAGCATCTGGCCACGTGGAATCAGGCAGGGGCCGAACTCAACCGGCGGCCCGTGGTCAACACAACTGGAGACATCTGTCAACGGCGCCTAACCCTCCTTGCGGCTTACGACATGCCGAGTCTTTAAAAATGCCAACAGCTGGGACGCACAGAGCCACCCCTAAGGACACGACAACGCCAGGATCGACAACTGTCACCCTCTTGACTAAGAGGGCGTCGTATCTTGAAATCCCAAACGGTCCGGCGGAGTTGGTAGAGAATCCATGATGTCGACTGATTGCTTTGACCCAATATCAGAGATGGACACACCTGAAGGAGCAAGAGGGGACCTCGCTGCGGCCTTCTTTGATGAGGCAATCTCGAGTCTGACGTCGCCATTGACTACGCCCGAGCTCTTCAAATACTCGGAGCTTTTGACTGGATCGCTGCGCAAGAATATGGAGGATGCGACATCTTTGTCCATGTTGCCATCTTTCATCCATGGCTTGCCGACTGGACAAGAAACGGGTCGAGCCATCGCCATCGATATTGGCGGCTCGACGATGCGCTTCGCACTCGTCGAGTTGTACGGGCAGAGGGAGGAGGCCAGCCCGAGTTCGTCAACCCCAGGAGCCAGTCCTGACGACAAACAATATCATCTGCCTCCATCTCAGAGATTGGGTATCATCACGCAACGGCGATGGGAGATCACTCAACGAGTCAAGGAGTTGGATGGGGAGCTCTTCTTCGACTGGATCACGCTGAACGTGAAAGAAGCAATGCTCGAAGCCGGTCTCGACTGCCAGCAAGGGTTTAGGGTCGGTTTGGGGTGGTCATTTCCGTTGGAGTGAGTGTTGCTTCATTATAGGCCAACCCGAACTTTTCTTTTGCTATACACCTGACTGACATGTCGGACCAAACAGGCAGACCAGTCTCAACGACGGCAGGCTGAGGGAGATGGGCAAGGGTTTCAAGATCGGGGTGCAGTTGAAGGGTCGCCGGTTGAAAGAATGCCTGGATTCGGCCTTTGCGAGAAGGGTAGGTCAATCCAGAGAGAAGTCATGTCAGACCTGTAGATTATTGACAGCCAACGCAATCGCTGACCTTTACCGCAACAGCATTTATCGCTCGAACTTGATGCCATCATTAATGACAGCATCGGCCCATTGCTGGCTTTGGCATACACAAAGCCGCGGACTGGTGTGGGCTTGGTCGTAGGAACCGGATTCAACGCCTCGATCAAACTTCCTGCACGGTCACTCACGGCGGAAAAATACGGCCAGCGACCAAGCCGATGGAGAAATTTGGCCGAGCATGTGCTCGTCGACACGGAGCTTTGTGTTACAGGTCGCAACATTTTCCACCAGACGGTGTGGGACGATCAGATCACTGCCCTCTTCCCACGACCGGACTCTTTGGCTCTAGAGCAGTGGGTCGGAGGGTTCTTCATGGCCGAGATTGTTCGACGGATTCTACTCCAGGCCGCCCAAGCCAACCTTTTGTTCGGAGGAAACACACCGGAGAAGTTGCGGCAGGCGCGCATGATCGGACTGGAGGTGTTTGGCGATATCGAGGCGTAGGTGAAGGGCTTACACTGCCCTGGACATCCTCATCCTCTGCGTTTCTATACGCATGGTCAGTCAGCTAACTTATGAATCTTTCTCGACGACAGCGACCACTCGGAAGACTTACAGTTGGGAAAAACATTGCTGTTGACTGCGCTCGATCTTCCCACGGAACCGTCAACCCAAGACATGATATATGTCCGACGCATCTGCCAAGCGGTTTCGACCAGAGCAGCAGCATACGCTGCTGTGAGCATACGATCGCTGGTCACCCTTCAAAGTGCCGAGTATCACCGACTGAGTCTGACAGAGTACTCGTTCCACACGCGTCCTTCGGCCCAGGACGGGCGCCACATCTCGGAGCAGCGTGAGGATGGCACTACCATCGTCGCCTGTCTAGGTTCCGTAATCGAAAAATACCCTGGATTTTTTCACCGTTGCCAGGAGTACGTGGACAGGCTCCACGAATACGAAGGGCGTCCGACAGTCATCCAGCATGGTTTAGAAGGCGAGGACAAGGCCCGGCGGGGCACATCAGCAGGAGGCCGCCGTGCCCAGCTCGAATTGTGTCCAAATTCAAGTCTGACTGGAGCCGCCGTAGCCGCTTTCCAGGCGCGTTACAGCCATGGTCAGAAGTCTGGGCACTCGTGTGCGGATGAAACGCTATCTAGCAGCCCTGGCGTATTGGAAAGCTCATGCGCATCCCAAGATAGAGATGAGAAGAGCAGAAGTCGGGTACTCACAGTGGTTGAACAAGCAAAGCAAGACGCCAATGCATCTAGGTTGGAACATAGTAGTGCAGACGAGAAGAGTGTATCCTCGCCAACATTGACGCTATGGACGAGCCTTAGAAAATGGATTTGCTTCTCCCGAGTGAGGGGCTAAGCTGCTCAGGTGTGCGTCGACATGGCATTGTCCAGGCCTTTGATTCCAATGGTTCTTGGCACATGGAACTTTGCATGGTCCGCGGAGAGCGATGACTCGAAAAGAATGCGCAGTTTTCACACATGCGACCAAATACGGCCAGGGAGGTTCCTTCCCTTCTCGAATGGTGGGCGTATATGGCTTTTCCGTCCTTCTTCGAAGTGACACCACGGATGGTGCCAGAATACGGGATTCACTGGTTCCTGCCAGTTTTGGATACCCACGGGCACATAAGTGTACGACGCAGGCGACGACTGCGAGGCGATGGAGCCAAGAAGGGAGGATGTTGACATAAGAACGTCACTGTTGAAGGCAGCTGGACTGTGACCTGCGACGAGTGACCCGGACGGTGCTCCTATCAGATCGCCAGCCTTGGCTCTGGGCATCGTGTCATCTCCAACAGAATTTGGCGTGGCTAGGGAAGAGTTAGTAGATGTCTGGTTCATCGGCAAGCTCTGGCGTTGCTGAAGCGGGACGTCAATCGCTACATCAGTGGACTGGATGCCCGGTAGAGGCTGTAAATCGTTGTCGGTGATTTCAGTCATATTCTGCTGCCCGAGAGGGCCTGACCCTCCGGGCAGAGGCAGATAAGCGTCGTTGCGACTATTAAAACGGTGCCCACTCAGTGCATGATCATGGTTCGGCACGAGAGTCCCTGTATCACTTGCTGGACATGTTTGGTGAGGAAATGAAGATGATGAGAGGACATTTGGCGAAGCCATATCTGAAATCTGGGAGAAGTCAATCCAGTCCCACATGGCGGGTGAGTATATGACTTGATCGAGTCCCAAGTCATTCTCCGCTATCGTCGAGTCCAACGGAGAGACTGAAGGCGTGCGTTGGTGATTGCTAGCATCTCGCATAGTAGAGGGAGGGAAATTTCTAGCCGCAGAAGGGTTGGCATGGTAGGAGTCAGTGGAAGTTCCGTCTCTTGTCGACGGCCAACTGGTCTGATCTAAATTGACGCCAATGTCTTTGCGAGAAGAGAAATTTTTAGGACTCCTTCCACGAACCGTCAGCGGCATCGAAGCTGTAGCCAGAACTTTGATCTCCGAACCGTCGGCCATGCAGGCCACGATGGTGCAATGGACAACGAATTTTTGGCGTATTTCCTTCCTTCGTCGGCCATTGTTGCTGGTTGCTGAACGAAACTGGAGACGCTCCCAATTGATACGAGCCGTGAACCCGGACGGAGTTTCCTGAAACTCCAAGTCAACGTCCCCCAGGGGCTGTGAGTTGGGAGCGGCATCTGGATTCCTGCTGGAAGCTGATAAGATCGGTACCGGCAGCCAGTCAATAGACTCGACGGCCGAAAGAGACGCCCTCAGATGCGAGACTGCGCGTAGCGGCCTTTCGTGTGCGCTGCCTGAGGTACCAGTGCTGTCGTTGACGGCAATATGGGCGGGATAGCCGCATGCATCGACGCGACCGGCCACTTGGAAGAGATTGCGACGATAGCAGGTCAGTTCGTCTTCCACCGACTGGGTCTCAGGGTCCGTTTCTCGGTTCAGGATAAAGGTGCCATAGAAGCGAACCGTCGTAGAGATGTCTATAGGAGCGTATGTAGCATCGTAGATGGTGACATTGGGTTCAGACGACCGGAACAACAGCTGATGGCTGCTAGAATCGATGGGCTCGTCCAGAACGCCAGCAACGTGGTCTTGGGCATTCATTGGCGGCGAAGTGCCTACGACATTATTGGCATCCTTTTGGCAAAGGTCGGGAGGGTCCAAAGCAAGCGCGGGCGGTTGAGACGCCTGAATATATTAAAGGCGGCAACAAATACAGCCGATCACTCCCGGTGGAGCCTAGCCCGGAGGTCCAGGGAGGGGTGAGCCTGCCGCGAATTAATCACCGCTTCCGCAGATAATGTGTGGACATCTCTACTTGTACAGATAGAGAGGCGTGGGAGAGTGAGCGTCTATAAAAGCGGCACAGTTGAGGTGAGTCGCACGTGACCCCAGGACTCCTCTTCACCCACCAACACGCTCACTCGCTTAATTAGCGAGACCCCTACAGTACACTAAACTCGTCCCCAGTTCTCAAGGATTCGCCTTTCCAACTCCGGTACTCCGTATTTTGTCCGCGTTCATGCGCTCGGCCACACTGGCTTCCATGCGATGGCCGAACCGCATGATCAGGAGATGACTCTGGAGGACGAGTATGACGAGGAAGCCGACAGTGACTTCGAGACAGAAGGCTCAGATGCCGAGGACCCGTCATCTGCCTCCGATGATGAAGGGCATAGCGTCGCAGATGCGCCTGCACGTCCCCACAAAAGACGAAAGACGGAAAAGACACAGGAAGTGTTGATCGCCGAGCTCGATTCAGGCGATGAAGCGACTATTCGAGCGCAGAAGAAGGACCAAAAGAAGGGTGAAAATGCGAAGGGCGCTGCAGCAGAAGACGCCGGAAATCAATCAGAGGAATGGCGGGCTCGCACCCGTGCAATGCGCATAAAGGAGAAGGAGGAGCGAACAAGACGCAAACTAGCATCAAGCAAGGGCAGCACGATCGATGTGGACAAAATATGGGAAGAGATGAACAGGCCGGCGCCGCTCCCTCCACCGCGCATCGAAGATGACGGCGAAGCTGCCAACCAGGCGCAGCAGTCAGGACTCACAGACGACTCCAGAGGACTCAAGATTGTCAGCGGAGATGGCGAGAAGGAGAATCTGCCAGCCAACAACGGGGAAGAGACGATTACAATCAAGAGGACGTACAAGTTTGCCGGTGAAGTGCACGTTGAAGAGAAGACCGTTCTCAGATCGTCAGCAGAGGCTCAGTTGTGGCTTTCTCAGCAGCGGCCTTCAGAAGGCAGCGGCCCAGCAGCTGATGGCAAACTTGTCAGTCGACCACTGCGTAGATTCTCACGCTTTGACCCAAATCTCAGCAACATGGACGCGTACAAAGGCTCTTGGGGTGCCAGAAACACCCAGGACACCAAGTTCAGAGGTCCTAAGCTGAATGTCGTGGAGAAGAGCAAGATGGACTGGGCTGAGCACGTTGATTCTGAGGGTCTGAAAGATGAACTGGATTTGCATGCGAAAGCAAAGGAGGGCTATCTGACGAGAATGGACTTCTTGAGAGAAGTTGAAGAGCGCAGAGATGCTGAAGCCAGGGCTGCAAGATTGCGAGCGCGTTGACCTTCAGAGACTGTCTCTGCCTCTCGTTGTCGGACCTACAAGTAGACTCTTGTCCACAAGGGCGACCTGCACGTCCTATAAAGCCCGCGATGACACTGGTCAGTCCTACTTGACGCGGGTCACTCTTGCCCCGGCGACGTCGACAACTAGTCCACCACCTTCCTCGGCGACGTCAAAGCGAAGTGAAAACAAACTCGGCAACCGCTTCTTGTCGACATCCAGCGTTTTCACCAGGCCAACTTTATTGATCAGTTTCGTTTCCGCTTTGCGAAGGTTCTACCTCAGGCTTCAGTGTCATGGCAAATCGCTCTGCCTGGCGCGCTCCGGAGATGCATGAGCTGAGGCGTCAACCAGCCGAGCCATCCCATCTTACAGATCACTGGAGAACTCACCATCCAGTTGCCCCAAAAGACAAAGGCAAAGCGGTCCTGACAAAGCGAATGGTATCTACCTCTCCTCTAAGAACTATCGATAGAAACAGAATGTCGCCAATCAAGAGGCGCCCTGTCCTATCCGCAACAGCCTCCATCACGTCTAGGACCAGCAGCCTACCGGCCACTCCTCTTGACGAGATACCCGAGACCCTTTGGCCACGAGTTCTCCGCACAGCTACTACTCCCGAGGCGAGCACTCCCGAACTGTCCATCGACGAAATCACATCTACCAGGCTGTCGCTTGACGATCAGGCCATCCTGACCACCCTTCCCAAGAACGGCGATCGGAAAGAGGGACAGTCTCGCCGAGCTGTGTCGAGAACAACTTTTGGGAGCATGTGGGGAGAGAACAATAGCCGATTCAAGAAGATGACCAAGAAATTGAAAAACATACCCAGCGGACTGTTCACTCGCAAGGATCGACGATCGCGGGAAGCTTTGACGCCGACTACCACACGAACAATCCCATCGCCAGAGCCGTCATTGCCACAGCTTGAACTCACCACTGAACTGTACATACCCGCGACTCGCACATCGTCGACTAGTGGGAATTCCGGTCACAGCAAACCGGTGACCTTGGTACGCGGCATGTCTTCAGCATAGCGTGAGCCATTGCTGACCCTTTCTGAGCAGATGGATTATGAATGCAAGCCAAAGGAGTCCGAGTCAGAGTCGCGCCGGGAAGAGATGGCCAAGGTACGACTATAAGACGTAGAGCCAGTTGGACAGACCTAACAGAGTTTTTGAGATATCCTCCCTTATCCGCAAGGATCTCCATGATGCTAGAAACAGAGACTCTATCCGACCGTCTTCACGGTTTGGAATTGCCGAAGTTTGTCAACTCTCTGCTCTTGTGTGCGCCTCTAACCAAGCATCCAGCCAATCCCACCCCATTTTCTCAGAGCACCCACCTACAATAGTAGAGCCTCAGCTTCAGCAGGGAACCTCGCCCAAGTCGCTGAGGACCGACTTCTGCATGGTCCGCGATCTCTGAGAGCCACCTCTCGACAGGCAATCGGCAGGGCAACCTCGGTCGGCAGTGTTGAAGAGATGCGCACTCACGCCTTCGGGAATCGCAGAAACAAGCGACCGAGTTTGTCTGGCTTGTCATTCCATCATAGCTCTGCACCCAGTATCAGTCGGACATCATACTCCACCTGTTGGCCTGTCACACATGCGGGCTCTGTTTCTTCCGTCAGTGCTACTTTGGTGCCCCAGAAGCCGCTTCTCTTCATGGATGGTCCGAACGCAGGCTCCGAATCTCTCTGGAGAGTCTCGGACCCGCAGAACCACCCGTCAGCATCCCCCACAGCACGCCCAGTCTCGAACGGAGTCGCCGCCAGGAACAATCAAGACGGTGCTCCAGCCCCCAGCACAAATTGTACACCAGTTGCGGATCTCGGAGTTGGCTTCGGCGATCTTCCAGACTACATCAAAGTTCCGATCTGTGTTCCCCGAAGGGTAGAGCCACCACGGCGATCTCGACACGCAGCGGAGGAAAACTTGGCCGAAGAAAACCAGGGGTTAGCTCTTCATTCCGAAACGAACATCTCCACTCCGACGTTTTCAGATAGGTCATTTGGGTCGTCACTACAGGCTCAATGGTCGATCCGGTCACATCTTGAGCGTCAAGCCATTGAATGGGAGCAAGAGAAAGAGCATGAGGTGCGTGAAAGCCGAGCTATGGCTCTGTATGCCACTTTGTTCCGAGGAGGTCGTCAGTGAAGCGGAAGGAAGTGGACTGTGTCGTCTAAGCAGAGTGCTTACGGGAATAGTCGCAGCAGTCAACAAGGTCGGATTCTGCCTGCGAGTCGAGCTCTTCCTCCACAAGGACAGGTCGAGCCCAGATTGTGGAACATGTTCAGAACGGTGTACGTGCCTGAGCTGTTAGTCCTCATGTGCACAGGTTGACAGCCTTTCTTTACTGGGACTCAAGTTCTTGATATGTAGAGCTTCTCCCACAAAGACAACCTCAGTGCTTTTCGTTCGGATTGATTTGACGTCACATGAACTATTATGCTCAGGCATTTTCAGCGCACACTCTGCATTCCACTACTCTGGAGAAGCTCAAACTCATCTCGATTGTGCAGGTTTAGGTTGACTTGTTGGTGAAGACGCATGCATGCATGTTGAAGAAGAATCTAGAGGCTTAGACTACGCCGTACAGCACGCCGTGGCAGGGACGCGATTCCGGCAAGTGAAGCATGCGAGAGAACATTTAGACTTTGCACTCACTGTAGTTATGAGAAGTTCTCTTGACTTCATCTCGTTCTGACTGTCAACGGCATTGTGAGGACCGGACTCTCCAACCCACCACAACACGTGTCATATATCATTAGCTTGCTCTTCCCTGAAGATCACCTCACCCGTAATTCACCGCTATTTTAGGCGGGGGCCTCGCTGCAAGTACATAATGCTCCCTGCAGCCACAGACGCGACTCTTACGCGAGAATGAGACACTGATACTCCTCACGCCACACCTCACCGCACCACTTCAAATCCCGGGGTTTTGAGCTTTGAGCTCTTCATCTCATTTCTGTCTCTTGGTCGATTCAAGTCTTCGAAACCTTACATCTGCTCCCTGATTCGTTCTGCTATTCATTGAATCGCTATTTGCTATAATGCCACTGGAAGAGAGCCCCAAATCCTACTGAACCCGACGCAATGCTGAAAGAATGCAGACTTTTCCAGTCAAATGCTGCTCTTTTTTCCGTACTCATACACACCCACGAACAATCGTACCAGTTGCAATGGTATCTCGACTTGTCACAAACACGATAACCGACCCTTTTGGTACAGGCGAATGCAAAATATTTCCAATTACAGATGACAAAAAGATAAACCCGAAATGAGAGCGGCTCGCTCTACGGAACCGAGCGCGTTCCCGTCGATCGCTCCAGATGTACCAGCATAAGGGCGTGGCACATTTTGAGGTGACGCGGACCACCGAGACCTGAAGGCGTGGACCGCTATGAGGACATCGGATATCCGTCTTTATCGAGCTCACCAACCCAGTCCGGGTCATAGAACTCGCTGTTCTTGTCCAGGGTGGCAACATATCGATTGCCCCGAACACCGGGTCTTTTGGAGTGAGTGTTCCTCAGATGACTTTTAAGGTTGTCGGTCCTGCTGAATCCTCGCCCACAGTCAGGCACCCAGCATGTGTATGTGGTGTGCTGCGTTTTCTCATGTACAGTCTTCTCATGTCGCTTTTTGTGTTCTTGACGTTTGAATCTCTTCTGCTTGCCGGTGTGCTTGTCGATACAGCCAGGGTAGCTGCAGGCGAACTCGTTCTGCTCGATCACCAAGGCACACTCCATACCAGTCTGGGTCGGTGAGCTTTTGGGGTTTGAGGACGACCCGACAGGACGTTTTCGTTCGTAAGTCCGACGTTGCAAACGGTCGTTTCCGCCACGTTGTCGCTTCGTCCTGCTGAGAGCTTGCTGTAAGGAGGCATATGAATAGTCATCCACGTCGTGCTGGGATGGCACAATCCGTGGCGAGCTCACCGACAGGGGACTGCTGCTGAAAATGACCGAGGAAGGCATTTGTCCCTTCAAAGGTGTTGATGGCTCTACCTTGTAACAGGGTGAGCTCGGCAAAGTCCCCCGGAAAGCGACGCTGGGTTCGATTGTTTCTGCAGGAGGCTGGACACTTGCTGGGTACAAGCCAAGCATATCATCTGTCGCAATCAACGCACAAGCACCAGGCGTGGTAAATATTGACTTTGTCAAAGACGGGTTCCTGTTTCCGTGGTTTAAGCCGCGCCCGTCTAACTGATATAGTGGATGGGCGACCCCGGTCATGGTCAGGTCGTGATTGCTGCCCAGCAAGGGCAGGCTAGTGTCATCAGTGGCGTCCCACAAGACCGTGTGATGATCCCGCTCTTCATCCTGGAGATGGTGGAATATGGGATGATTATCTGAGAGGTAAGCCGCGCGTTTCACGTCCTGTCTGCAAGACAACTGTGTGCTTGGCTCGAAGGATATATGTGTCGTTGGGCTCATGGAGGTTGCCGACGGGGTCCAAAAAGCCTCCGGCGACGCCGAGTGGACGGACGACGCCAGCGAAGGCCTGCGGTGGCCATGGGAGTCTGTCGTTGATCCATCAGAAGAAAAGAATGTGGACGACAGCGAGGGACAATCCCCTGCATACTCCAACGAAGAGTCTCTGTCGAAGTCGGGGTCGATGTGCGGTAACAAACCAAAATGGCTCTCCTCGACCTTGGTATGTGGCCTATACACTGCAGCAACAATCAGCCCACTGTACGGACCAACCAAAGACCCGATCTGTTTCTTACTTGGTGAGTCTTCCGAGTGGCAATTGAACGACATGCTGAGCTATTGATTTGGCGGTGTTATCAGCATACAGTTCGGTCGAGATGGTGAGTGAAGTGCGATAGAAGAAGGGGAGCGTGTGAATAAGAGGGATATCGTGCCCCCATTGAAATCAGTTCACGGTGCGCGTGTGTCTCGAACAGAATGCAAGGCAAAAGTATGTTACTTCGTCCAGGACGGTTCCTGAGATGTGGCCACCGGCTCCACTTCCTGCGAATCGGGCAGCTCAGACCATTGAGGGATAGAAGTTTCAGTTACGCGAGGCCAGATTTGTCGCCTCCGAATACCTGAAGGAGGAAGACCCAGGCCCGGCAACCCAAATTGGACGGCCTCGACGGTTGTGGCTGCTGGAGTCCGGCACAGCGGCAAGGGATGGTTGCTTGACGGACTCCAGGAACCTGCCGCACGGATGAACAGGTCTTGACGGCGAACTATGATCGACAATGAAGCCCCCGATCCGTATTGCTAGATTTTTGTGCCTCAATAAGGCAGCTCACCTCTAACAAGCGGGGCCATATCGAAACGCGAGACGGAACGGCAGAGCGGGAAGGTTAGCAATGGAGGTCTCTCATAAGCGCAAGGGCGTTGATCAACCGGTTCCAGACCACTGATATCAACTGGTGGTGCGATTGATTCCTGAGAGCATTCCTAGTCGCCTGCTTCATTCCGTCGGCATCATGATCATGGTGGCTGGGTTCTCGCATCGGTCATGCAAACCAGACGCTCCCCAGGACAGCCGTGTGTACGCCCAGAGGAACAAACAAGCCTAGCTAGCGATAACGGAACGGCTCTGCTATCGATTGCACTATCAATTTAAGTGCTCGCATATCAGAGGACCATATTGGGGCACGTCAACTCAGTCAATGCAGGCTCTATGGAGCCATATTGAAGAGACGACATGCAGTCTACAGGTCAAATCCTTGCTCATGCATACCAGCCGAGGGGTTGACTCCGGAACCCGGGTTATCGAGAAGGCGAAGGTTGGAAGCAACATGATGGTAGCGAAGGCAGACTCCATCTCACTGACGCCAGAATAACCGCCACAACGGTTCAGTCGCGTTCAAGAATGCGGGCAAATCTGGTTCTGTGAGAGCGGAGATGTAGTCGGCCTCATGGACGAATGTATGCGAAAGTTTGGCAACGCCCAACCCCGGGATGGCCTAGGATGTACGGAGTACAGTACAGGGTTCAGCGCTCGCCAAAATTGCGCCATCCCCGAAAACGGCGTCCGTCATCACAGAAGGGTATGCGCCAGTCTCTTAAACTGGGGCGGCCCTGGTCGCTTAGTGCTGCATCTGGAAGGGAAAACGCCACAGTCGAAGCGCACTGACCACACCTCAGGTACGCAGCACTACCAAGCACAGCCGAAGACAGTCGCTCGACCCTCCAGATTGGTATGTTGCACGAACTCTTCTGCGGCCCTGCAACGCCCTCAGCGATTGGCTCGCGCACAATCAGACATCAACTCTCAAACCGAGTAATATCGGACATTGGACAGAACCAAGCGTAATGACATCAACATACACTAGGATACCCAGGAGAACCTCCAAATCCCATTCTTTCATATATCGATGGCTGGCGTGGTTGAGGGCACTTCTCATCGGAGACAACACCCTGGCGTGATGTGTGCACGGTGTGCCGCGCCGCGCCCATGACACTTTTGCGATGCGGGTGATGACACTCAACGGTCCTGTTCTGGGACTTCCCGACCGTTGGATTGCATTGCGTTGCCGTCTGGGGATAATCACGGGCGGAATTCTATCTGCGGACATGCCGGACGCTGCGCCACTGGCGACGGGGTATCAAACCAGCCAAGGAACGGCCGGATGTCAGGCCTGTACCCCACACAGCCTTAACACTGAGTCATGTCCGAAGAGAAGACGCCAAAGAGCTTGCAAAGCGGATCCAAGCTTCTAGGGTTCATTCGCTTGCTCTCTTGTACGCTCAGACGGTGTACTGTGTTTCGGTGCGCTTCTACAGCTCCAACACAATTCTGCCCGAAACGTCGCCCTTTTCCAGCAGCTGATACACTTCTGGCAGATCCCTGAAAGGTCGAACCTTAACGTGCGGCTTCACTTGGCCCTTTCGCACAAATTCGACCGCTTCCAGTGTCTCCTTCAATGACCCAACCAGATTTCCCTGGATCTTGAGTCCTTTGATCACGATACCGGCCACTGGCGCGTCCAGACGCACGTCCCCTGGTGGTATTCCCACCAGACAGATGCTTCCACCAATCCGGGCCATATCAGCCAAGCCTTTGAAAGCAAGAGGGTGACCGCTCGTGACCACAACAGCATGCGAACCGCCACCTGTGATGCTCCTGATCTCATCGGCCAGGTCCTTGCACTTCGAAAAGTCGACAAACCGGGCACCCAGGGACTCGACAAACTTCTGCTTTTCCGGACCGGCATCGACGCCAAGTACGTTGACGCCCAGGGCAAGGCCGTATTGCACTGTTCAACCGAGTCAGAGGAAAGCGACTACAGTCAATGCATGAAGATGAGGGCCCACCTGCGAAGTGGCCGAGGCCGCCTCCCGCACCAATTACCGTGAGATATTCGCCTTTCTTGAGATTCGCGTTTGTCACAGCCTTGCATGCTTAGCACATGTTGCTATTCCGGAGAAGGGCTTGAGTACCTTGTAAGCCGTGACGCCCGCGCAGAGAGCAGGACCCACGACCTTGGGATCAATATCCTGTGGCAGCTCCGTCAAGAACTTGGTGTCGAGCACGCAGTACTGTTGGAAACTGCCGTCTTCGTGGTGCAGATGATTTGTTGCATTGCCGCAGTGCTGATCCCGTCCAGAGGTGCAGTACTCGCATTCGTGGCAGACCCGCGAAAGAAAGCGGATCCCGACTAGAGTTCCTAACTTGAGTTTCTCCGTTGGTGACAGGTTGGGCCCGAGTTTGACGACGCGACCAACGCCTTCGTGACCACCAACATGCGGCAGCTTGATGTTCGTGATCGGTTTCCCATCTGCACCGGTTGCCGTCCCGGCTTTGGTGTGGAGGTCTGGCACAATATCTCAGTTCTAGCCTGCTACACGGGTGAAGAGTCTATGGTGCTGACCACTTTGACAGACCCCGGTGTACAGGACCTTGACCAGTATCTCTTCGTTGCCAGGGAGAGTGACAGGGTAATTGTCATCAAACTCTACCGGACCGCCTTGCTTCTGGACTATGGCAGCTGTCTGCGTTGTGGGAATATTTACTTCCGACATACTGCCTATCGATGGTCTAATCGCTGACAGTAAGTGACCGAGAAACGTATGAAACGATCAAAACGAGTATGATGGTTATCCTCTCCTGAACGAGGCTGATCCCGTTGTCGAGCGTAGTGGCTTTTAACAGTGATAATGTCGGCAGGGTTTGCAATGAGCGGCCTTTATAATCTCAACGACACACTATGAATATAACAAATCAGAGCCCGATTGACCGTTGGGCTGTGAAACAGGCCTTCTGACCAGCGAATCTTGCGGGACAGGATCCCAAGTAACGCCGGCATTGTGTGTTGTTCAGTCGGAGATGTTAGGACGGGCATGGCGTCACGAAGCGAATGCCCGTCCAACGAAGGGAATCACGAGTAGCCGTCCAACAGAAGGCCGACGAGGTGTGGACTTCGTACGATACTCTCTCACCCCTGCTCTGTCCTGCATGAACTGCCCGCACACCCCGCATCTGCACAACGTCGAGCAGGGGTCGATGGTGTCGACAAGCGTTTTATGATTCTGATGCAAGCACTTCGGCTGTTTGACGGGTGCCAACTGTCAAGTCCGTCCGCATCTGCATCTGACACAGGGGTAGCATTATAGTCCTGTGCTGAACCTTGACGCGTACGAGTCAGGGTTGGAGGGCAACCAGGCTGAGAAGGCTGTCACTGTCGCCGTCATTGACTTCCGTTTCCACTCACACGGTGGGGAAGGGAATATGAGCTGGATCATGGGTGATGAGACATTTGGAACTCGACGTTGCTAGATGCAACTCCTCTTTCCGTCTCAAAGGGCAAACCCTCTCCTCTTTCCTCCCCACAGGCCTCTCAGCTTCAGCGAGATGATGGGTCGGATTCAGCTTGAAACTTCCTCTGAACGAGTCATGCGATGGGTGACATGCACACCTTTAGGCTAATCTCCCGCCACGGGGTAGTCGATCAGCGTGGGGTTAGTCCATCTTACCCCGTGTGCCCCCAAATCATCATTACTACGATGGAATGAACAGCCGGAGGAACTTGCAGCTCTTCTGAGCGGAACACACTGCGAACCGGGGAACTCAAGTACGAGGTACGAGGCAGTGGCGCATAACAGTCGCGTCGGCTATTGAATGTGGCTTAGCGCCACCCGCCTCGAATCACGTGCATGGACAAAGTGCCTGATGACGTATATGCGTCTTCATGCGATTTCCCAAACTCCAGACTCTTCACATGCAACACCTCGTCGTCGGGTTTTGCAAGCAGTCATACTGCCCACGCGGCCAGGTCGGCGACGTTGAGCTTCCGCAGCGCCAGATCCATACCATCGGCCTAATGGCGTCCTCATACAATCCAGCATGCTACCTCCCTCAGTCATGGTCACCGTACCTCCCCACTGCCGTCTCCTGCCCACCACCTCCCTCTTATGCAGCCCAGCTGTATAACTACGCGACCGCACCAATTTCATCGACGTATACCGCATTGCGCACCATGACGGACGCCATAATAGGGCTTCCAATGCTCTCGTTCCTCCTCATCCCGACCATGTCCTCGTACTCAACCTCGCTCAACCTCCTCTTCTTCTACCTTACCTGGTCGACTCTCGTCTTGTCGCACCCTCCTCTGAAGGTAGAGATCATCGCCAGCCTCGCGGTCCGACTGTTGTTCTACGTCTTCCCGTCGCTATTCTTCCTTGCCTTCGACGCATTCGTCCCCTCGGCAGCCGAGAACTTCAAGGCCCTAGGCGACTCGGCGCTTCCGTTGAAGAACGCTTCGAGGAAACGGACAATCGCACTGCTTCGCATGGTGGGCTGGTCGATCTTCAATACGCTACTCGGCCTCACGATCCAAGCGGGCGTGGAACTCGTCTTCACGCGTGTCCTCCTCTGGCGCTCCGCCTTGCGCGTCACCACAACGCTTCCCCTTCCATGGGGTATCATCAAGGACCTTGCGAAGGGCTACCTCTTGCGCGAAATCATCGCGTATACCCTCCATCGCTATGTCCTACACGATTGGAACCACACAGTCTCCCTTTCGCGAAGTCACAGGGATTGGTATCACGCCATCGATGCGCCCTTCCCACTGAGCGCAACGTACGATCATCCGCTCGCTTACCTCGTCCGCTCCTTCTTGCCCATGTACCTCCCCGCCTTGATCCTCCGATTCCACCTACTCACGTACATCTTTTATTTGACGCTCACGTCGCTGGAAGAAACGTTCGCATACAGTGGGTATTCGACCATGCCGACGAATTTCATCCTGGGAGGCATGGCGCGCAGGACGGATAACCACGTCGTATGTGATGGGGAGGGCAATTTCGGACCGTGGGGACTGTGTGACTGGATTATGGGCACGAGCGTGGGAGCGGATTTGGTGGACGATGTCGTTGCCGAGGCGGATAAGCATGATGTGCAGGGAAAGGTGGAGAGGGCCAAAGGGCGGGTCAGGAGAGGAGTTTCGCAGGAAGCAAACGGGGCGAAGGAGGCTGTAAGGAGGAGAACGAGGAGAAGGGCGGATGACTGAATGTGAAGGGCAATCTAAGATACACAATCCTTCGTTGTGATGGGGCCCAGCCATATACTGTATGCTGTCCACGATGGGCTCTATGTTCTGCATGGTTCCTGTCCTTTTGCGTTACGTTTCGTGGAAGTCAAGCGATTGAGCAAGCGAGTTGGACAGCCAGGCTGATGATGTGGTGGTTTCTTTCTGTCGATGATACCCAGGGTAACATATATACCACGTACGCAGATGCAAGCACAGATACGAAGGTTGCGGTGGAACGCGAGCACGTGTAGCGATCGAAACGAGAGGAAAAGCAGTTGCCGTGCGGCAGTTCACGAACACAGCACTTTGTAAAATGGCTCTTGACGCAACGGAAAAAAGGGCATTCGAGTGTTCATTTCAGACCCGTGCTGGGAATGTGTGTGTCTGTGTTCATTGATCTTGATTTTTCTTTCCCTCGTCGGCCTCGACTAGACATTACCAGCCACAATCGCATGGGGGGACGACTGGGTCTCGACCTTCGTTCTGTGTTTCGGGGCCATGGTTGGCGATGACAGTACGTATGTATGCTGCGCGGCATCCGACGCCCCCCGACTGGCCTGTCACATCATTGCTTCCCCCGGGTTGAAGGATGATTGGATTGAATTGGGTGTTTTTGCTTGAAAGTCGCCTCTTGTGCAAGCGTACACGGTACATCAGCAGAAACGCCCGTTCCACGAATCTATCTCCACGCGCTCTCCCTCACAAGCGCTCATCACGGTCGTCCCACGCCGCACCCACTTCACATGACGGTCCTCCACTGGGGAAAGGAAGGCCCACGCGCGCGCCCGGCCTGGATTGACTTGGCTGGAAGACCCTACCAACCAACCAACCAACCAACCAACCAACCAGCGAGCCGGCGTGCCAGCCAATTTAGAAGGCCATCTCGTGGGGCTTCTGGCCGCTTCTCAGGCTGAAGCTGGACCTCAAGTAGCTGGCGAGGAACTCTTCGTTCTTGATCGCAGAAAGTAAAGGCTTGTCGATGCTCTTCTGGTCGGCTGCGCGTTCGGAGGCGGGGGCCTTCTTCTGTAGAAAGGGTGCGTCAGTCGCGAACAAGATAGATGACATGACATTCTAGGACAGGCGATTTCAAAGCAATGGGGTCGGATAGAAATCAGTCCTACCTCTGGCTTCTCTCCCTGCTTCATGAAAGCGTCCTCGCCCTTCTGCTTCCGGCTCTTCTTCTCCCGGGCAAAGTACTCCGGGCTGGCGACCTTGTCCACCGTCTTCTGGTCAAGACCGCCGATGTCGACTTTCGTGGACGTGGCAATCACGTATCTCGAGTTCACCCGTCGGAGGGGCACGCCGTTGATCTTGAACGGTCCGGTCACGAGCAGGGCGCCTTCCTTGAGGTGCTTGAGGAGGATGACTCGCTTGCCGCGGAATCGGCCGGCGAGGAGGATGAGGACGGCACCTGGTTGCAGAGCGGCTCGGGGTTTGGATGGGTGCAGAGTCTTGCGAGCCTGGGCGTCACCGTCGGGTTAGTTTGGCTCGTCATTGCACGTTAGGATTGAGGATCCCCAAGGGTGAGAGAGAATGTGCACCTCGCGAGAGTTCCCGTTGTTTCTCGCAAGGATGCTCTCACACTCAGTTGTCCTGCAAACTCACCTTCTTACGTTGTGGCTCATCGTAGGCGGGATACCACTTCGAGGCCTTCTGCGAGTGATGGGGCACCGTTCGCTCGCCCGAGCCGAACTTCTTGGTGACAGCGGGGTTGGCCTCCGTAGAGGACATCGTGCCTGCGATCTGGACCACGACTTGCTAAGGGAGGGAACTGGTAAATTGATGGTGGTGCGTCGCCGAGTGGTGGTGATAAGTTATCGACGATATCTGGCGCAATCGTGCTCGACTTGGCCGCACTGTGCGATTTCGTTCTCTTGGCAGGCCGGGGCGGAAAAACTAAAGAACGAACTAAGTGAGTGTGGCTTAGTCATTAATTCTGCCAAGCCACCACAGCTTGTCCCTTGGCTTCCTGAGTGAATCCACAAATGTTTGCCCTGTTTGTCTTCTCTAGGCTGGCCGTCGTCGTCGTCGTTCCTCAAAGCAGCGAGAGTCAGTGTGAGCCCGTCTCGACATTCGCCCGCATTTCAGATATCAGTTTGAAGCTCTTAGTCTACAACGCCTGTCTTTAGGAGACTGGTACCGCCTCTTCACTCCTCACTCATCCCTGCAACCAGCTGTCCAAGATGTCCATATCCCCGATTCTAACATTCAAGGCAGGGCTATGCGATTTCGATGTGAGTACTCCAGGGGCTATTCTTCCTCCGTTCAAGCTTGACGCTGATATTGTACAGACCAGCTCCTCGCCAGCTAAGGTCAAACCTCTCCCGACACCGGGCTACCTGTACCTCTATGCAGAAGATGAACTGTTGCACCTGTGTTGGCGCCCAAGAGACGCTCCGTCGGACGAACCACAGCTCGATTTGTTGATGCTTCCCACCGATGGCTCCTTCACGCCCTACCACCCGACGAGTGCCGCGAATCCGTCAAATACCAAGAAAGCCACCAATGGCAGGATATATGTCCTCAAGTTCACCTCGAGTTCTCAGAGATACCTCTTTTGGCTGCAATCCCGAAGCCAGCACCCTCAGGGCGACCCATCATGGTTCAGCGCCCGAGATTTGAAGCTCGGCCAGATCGTGAACAACCTGCTACAGGGTGAAGAGGTCGACGTGGAAGCACAGATGGCTAGCATTCCGAGGGACCAGAACAACCCCGACGATGACGATGAGCCCATGGAAGACGTGGAAGGCACAAATCACGACCGCAATCGTCGTCCGTCTCATGGCGGTGGCGGCGCTGGTCCCGATGCCACGGGCGGGGATATTCGTGAGGAAGGCGAACCTTCGAGAGAAGGTGGTGCCGATGGCGGAAGAGCGTAGGTAATGCACCCGCGCCGTGCGTTTCCAACGTCCACCACCAAGCCAAGTCGCTGACTTCTCGTGCAGGGCGGCAGCTAGTGGGGACGCAAGCTCTCTGGTCCAAAACTTCCTCCGAGCCATGCAAGAACGCAATCAGGGTGGCAGTGGCGGCGGCGGCGGCGGCCAGCCGCACGAGCAGCTATTCACCACTCTCGCGGACCTGCTTACACCGGCTTCAACGATACCTCTGCTGAACGCGGCCGATGACGGACTGATCGATCGGCTATGTGAATGTCTGCCACCGCAGCTGGTGGCCACGGCACAAAACTCGGTGGATGCATCAGCTTTGCAAAATCCCAATTCGAGCGCCGAGGAGAAACAGGCTGCGCAACGAGCCCTGACCGTGGCCCGAAAGGGCATGTTACGAAGAGTATTGCATTCGCCGCAGTTTTCACAAAGTTTGGCCAGTCTGACGGTTGCACTGCGAGAAGGTGGTCTTCCTATCATTGCCGAGACGATTAATATCCCGGTTCGAAACGGAGGATATCTCAGACATGGCGGTGTGCCAATGGGAGGCGGCGAAGCTGTTGAGGCTTTCATGGAAGGCGTCCGAAAGGATGTCGAGGACAATCTAGCGAAGGAAGAAGACGACGGCCGTGGTGATCGGATGGAGCACGACTAAAAGAGCCATGTACCTTTGAACACTGGGTAAGAATGCTGTACCTGGGCCGAAAAGTCGTCTCTTTCTCTCCTGATCTACCTACTCATATCCTGTAGAGACTATTGACCGTGCAGTTACCCCAGTATCTGGCGCACCAGCAAGCAGCCGGTGACTGCCTGACCCGACCACGACTTCTTGTCTCACAAGACTAGTACCCAGCCCACAGTACTGAGTACGTGCCTTGTACTACCTCAGGTTATTAGGACTAGTGCGTACTCGTACTCGTACTCGTACATCAGCTCCTGCGCCGAGCACATCCCGCAGGCTCCACATCATTCCCCCGCCCCGGCCCCTCACTTGGTGAACATGTTCATGATGCTATACACCATACACAGTACAAGTCCGGTCTTCCGTGGAGGAGGGATCGGGGTTATGTCGAGCTTCGTCACCCAAGGAGCTCCGCGAAGAGCAATTGATTCTGAGAGGTCGTCCACATCAGGCTGCAATCCCTATCTCTGAAGATCAAGTGTAACGACGTTGATACAATACTCTTCAGCTCCTCTCCCTAAGGAACCAGGTCTTCGATTGCAACATCCCTCGCAGAATGGACGGCGCGGGGCGTCACACCTTCGGCATCCCAGCATCATGTCCGTTTACCATCCAGGAGATCCGTCTCAATGGGATCACCAAGTCGTACACATATCTTATCCGCGAGCGTGACGAGTATGGAGAGTATCCCCATATTTACGCAAAGATATGCAGTGCACCTGGATCGTCTACCTCGCCGAACGAGTACGTCTATCGCCATTACAGCTACTCGCGCTACTTGAAGGGTGGGGATTTTGAGAATAAGCCCGAGACAAGCTCCAAGGTGATCGTCCTCAGCGACTCGGGATGCGGGAGTGAGGTTCCTAATGCTTCCTCTGCCACCTCGAGCCTCTCATATCCTGCCTACGATGGTGGTCAAGGGCCGTACACGAACCGCGCCCAACCTGAAGTGTGGAATATTCGGACTTTTCTCGAGTACACGATCAATCCGGGCGGACGGATACCCTACTTGGTCATGACGACGCATTGCCACTACGATCACATCATGGGAATCGGGAAATTACTATCTTCATCCACTTCTACTACGGTCTTGTCGTCTTCGCACGCTTATTCGTACGTCTCTCCGTACGCCCAACTACAGAATCACAGCCTCTGCAATACCCTCAACCTCAATGCCCCCAAGTACGATGTAGGGATCTGGGCCGACGACCTCTCTCGCGTAGCATACAGCCCCCGATTGGGTGCCTCTGCCCTCTCCGTGGGTAACAGGATCCCCACGCCTTTCACAATTTTGCATACTCCAGGCCATACCCCGGACTCTCTTTCCTGGTATGATAGTGAGCTCCGCCTGCTATGTGTCGGCGACAGTTTCTACGCCAAGGAGACGAGTTCCACGAGAGATGGGAAATGGGGGCGCGAACCAGCCATGCCAGTCATGTTCAATTTGGACAGCGATCTGACTGAGTGGTGGAGGAGTGTGGATAAAGTGCTTCAATTCGTGAGGGAGAGGAATAAGGAGGTTGGAGGCGCTGCCCAGGGCGAGTCCGAGGAAGCTATCGGAGAGCGATCAAGATCAGCGACGCATGGGCACAAAAGTGACCTCAAAAAGGACGACGGCGAAATCGAGGACGAGGGGTTCGTCCTCATCGACGTCGGCGATGCCACCGGAGAAACAGATGCCAATGACTCCCTGGCCACAAAGACTAAGCAGTTATCTCTGGCGTCCACTGCCACTGCCGCCGCCGTCGCCCCAACGAAACCAGCCACGGCGGTAAAGTCACAGAAACAAACCGGCTTCGACAGTCTTACTCGTGCGCAAAAGAGCCTCGCCGCCTGGCCCACCACATCCACAAATTCCCTGTTAACACCGACCATCGTGCCCACGGCAGCAGCTCCCAAAGGTGGCTGCGCGCCCGGCGCACCAGCCTTCGGCGTCAATAAACTGAACCCAGACCCATGGATGCTTGTCGTCAATCGCGACGAACCTTTCCCTCGGCCGAATTCTTCGGCTCGACCTCCGCCTCCGCAGAACCAGCTCGGAACCACGCCCAATTCTTCTTCTCATGTCCAGCGTCAGCATAGGTCTTCTCGCGCTTCCCTCGTCTCGAACAACGCCCCACTACCCAGAGTCAAGCTCTGTGCCGCCCACACGACTCTCTCCCTAGACGCCGAGCACGCGCTCGTGTCGATGCGAGGATTCCTCCTCCGCGTCTTGAAGGACGAAGTCCCCTGCCAGCGCGTCGAGGACGGCCCCCACGGCGAGGAGCGGTGGCTGTGGGACTTTGCCATTTCTTCTTCCGAGGCGGCGGACATGAGGATAAGACGGCTGCCTCCGACCGCCCGGACGTGGGGATACTGGGTTGCGGAATCCCCGGCGGAACAGGCGCGGAGAGAAGGCCAGATCACCAGCGATCGGGATGTGGAGAGGGGAGGACGAGGACGAGGCCAAGGGCAAGGGCGAAGGCACCAAGACCACGCAAAGCACGCGTTTAGTGTGCTTGCGCCTCTGAGGGTGATTGAGGCCGGGAGGAAACAGATTCTGCATTTGAAACATGCGGGCACGACGGGGCCCGCTGGGGTGGTGTAGCCCGGCCGTAGTGTAGGTGTATTTTCCACCATGTACCGAATTGCACGTTACTGTTACTGTTACTGTTACTGTTACTGGAACCCACGGCTTCGCTGTGGACATATGTCTACCTGGATTCCCCGACTGTTCGATCGACGAGGCTTTGGTCAATCAGTGGCGGGTCAGACAGACAGTCAGACAGGCGGGCCACCAGGTAAACAGGCCCTTCATGATATCACGGCCGAATCCTGATCAGCCAGCGCGTGGTGTGTGTATATATACAGAGCGTATACTCCGTACGGACTGCATGCGTGGATCCAGCCACGCAAGCCGGGAGGTCATATTTCCTCTGGGGGATTCGCACGTTGAAAGGCCAGGCTGGAAGGATGTCTTTTGGGCATATTCCATATCTACAGGATTCTTTCGAGAACAGGAAGTGAGCCGCTTTTCTGATCCAAAGCGTGAACCCGTCCCGGAAGTCCGCCGTGTAGGCAGCAGGCTATAGCGCTACTGTATGCAATTTCATGCCAGCGGCTCAATGCCCTGGGATGGTGCACCATCAATCGCTCTCCTCATCAGTCTCGATCTCGACCTCGCCGTTTGGCAGGAGGCCTCTCCTTCCACCGTTCGTAAGCCGGGCGTCATCAAGATCTTCGTTCTCAGCTTCGTGGTTGTCGTCTTCTGCGTCTTCGTTCTCGTGCTCGTTCTCGTCCTCGTCATCTTCCGTTTCGTCATCCCGGTCATCTTCTTCTTCTTCGTCGTCGTCGTCGTCGTCAGCGCCATCGGCACCATCGTCTTCGGCATCATCTGCATCGCCGACGTCTCCATCTTCGTCCTGTCCATGCGATAGGGGGATGGCCTTCTCCTTTCCGTTACCAAGCCCATTCTCCACAGCCACAGAGGTCGCGTCGTCTCCAGAGCTCTTCGTGTTTCCGTTCACGTCCCGACTGTCGACCTCGGCCTCGGCGGCCGCCGTCCCATTCAACTGCTGCTCCAGCATCCTCTCGTCCTCGTCCTCTTCTTCCTCTTCACTGGTGCGTCTGATTTTCTTACTGTCGGGCTCGCCCCGATCCTCTTCTCCCCCAGCCGACTCCCGCGCCTTGACCTTCTCTCTATACCCTTTCCTCTTCTTCATCACGCTCTCCTCATACAGCGCGACTTCCCGCTCTAACCGGCCGCCCTGTCGGCCGTCCTTTCCGACGGCGCCCAGATCCATGACCCCGGCCATTTCCATCTCCTGCAGAGCGACGTACACATCTTGTACGCCCAAGGTCTTCCGATGGCGTAACTGGGACTGCTCGTTGGCGTGGTGCGCGAGGTACGAGACGAAGACGGTGGCCGAGCGTGTCAGCGCCAGGAGCGCGTCTTTCTGGAGCGACGTGTTGGGAGGCAACGATCCACGCGCGAGCCGGGATATCAGCGACCGCGGGAGGAGGAGGTCCTGTAAGAAAAAAAAACACGAGAAAGTCAGAGTTAGGTTCAATGCGTTTCGTTCGTCCGTCCGATACAGTTCACAGGATTGTGCACTGCGCACAGCGCGGACGTCGAATCACATCACATCACAGGGCAGACGGGTCGTCCAGCCCATGGCCATCACGTACATCAATGCCAATACCGTCGTCTTGCTTTCCTGACCCTCCGCCTGATTGCCGCGACTGTTTGGGATGCGCGTGCGTGTGCGTGTGCTGAGTAGGTGAGGTCGTGGCGTTGTTGGTGGTGGCATTCGAGACCACGGATACATCGCCATTGGCGTCGGGTGCGCTGGCTGTCGAGGCACCGCTCTTTCGGGGCGGCATGGCGGGGGCCCGTGGTGGACGGTGAGGACGAAGGGAAAGGCAAAGTGCTGTCTCGTGCTTGGTGCACCGACTAATCGACCGTTGTGCTGGCTTGTTTCCTCAAGCGGTTATTATCGCCTCTCTGTAGCTAGCACTTTCGATGTAGAAGACGAGGGCTCGTATTGAGCAGACAGCGTGCTCAAGTCGGGTTGGCACTAGACAGTGGTCATACAAGGATCGCGGTGTCGTCGGTTGAATGCTCGTAGTCCCGAGCCAAAATCAGAGGGCTCCAATGCGGGACAGGTATAATTAGACGGGGCCTTCAAAGGTGCGTGCGATGCTAGATATCCAACAGGACACGTCTTGAAAGGGTCTTTGAGGACGTCGATGTTCCGCGAGTCAAAAGTTGAGTGACCTGTGCATTTAGTCGGAATCGAGACGCGGTTGACCTCAAAGTCGCGAACGCGAGCGCGACGATGGGTAAGAATTTCAATTCTCCAACCCGGATCTATCAACGCCAAGGACTACATACGGTGTACGAGGTACTGTTGTAGGCGGATGGTACTCGTAGCAGTGAAGATGGAAGCAATAGGTTGTGTGACCGCTTGAGATCGTATTCTCCATGAAACACCTGGGATTGCACAAATTCCTATCCTCGACGCCTGAAGCCCGACGCCCGACGCCCGACGCCGTTTCATGGGTTCGTCAGCATTCATGACTCGATCTGCATGGCATCGTCTTTGGCAGCGGCGGGCTCGTCATCGCCGCCAAAGTCTACCAACTTGAACTCTGCCGCCCACTCCTTGACAATCTGCTTCCGGTCAGCCCCAGTAGGCATAGCTGTGTCGGCACCTTCTCCTTCTACCATTTCCGCATCATCCGCTACTTTCAGCGTAGGCGGCTCAAGCCATCCTTGTATCCTGCCATCTCTCCAATCCGTGATCACCGTCATGGCCGCAGAGTGAAAGTTGGGAACGCCGCCTTTCCCTAGCCGGCCTCTTTTCCGTGCCACCTGAACCAAGAAGTCTGTGGTGTTATCGCCTTGTCCGAAGGGCCCAAGTGCCACAATGCCGTAGTAATTCAGTAACTTGTTGTACAACGCGTCTGAAGTGGACAGTCTCTCCAGCAAGAGGTTGATAGCTGGGATAGGATCCGTGATCTGGCTTGGCGGTAGCGCGTTGAGGAGGATTAATCGTGCTTCATGTTCTGCCCTCCTCCGCAGTTTGTCTTCCTTTGCTTCTCCATCCACTGTTGAGGGAAACACGATGCCAGGCGAGTCCAGGATTTTGAGCTTGCTGTCAATCTTCACTTCTCTGAGACTTGTAGTTACTCCCGCCTCCGAGCCGACGGGGCAGGCGAAGCTCTGCGTACCCTTGTTCAACCGCGAGGTGAGAGCGTTGATGACAGAGGATTTGCCGACGTTGGGATACCCTATCACGCCCACGGATATAGATCGTTTGAGTTGCTTTGAGGCGGCATAGGACTTCAATGAGCGGAGAAGTGCTTCGGATGTGGCTTTGAGGGTGAGTTGTTTGTGGTCAAAGGTTTGAGCGTTGGAGGCAGGAGTTGAGGCGCGGAGAGGTATTGTAGGAAAATATCGCCGCAGATGGGTTAGCCAGCCCTTCAAGATCGACGGAGGAACAAGGTCGATCTTGTTGAGTACTAGTACAAGTCGTTTCGAGCCGCCTTCAGCGGCCAGGATCTGGCGTTCCACTTCTCTTGATCTTGTGCCTTCGGGGTCTCGTGCGTCAAGTACGTATAAAACCACATCTGCTGCGTCCAGGACATGCTTGAAGATCTTGTCGAAGGCTTTTCGTGACGAGTCCGGGCTTCGGTGGTCTGCGGCGAAGGTCTCTGAAACTTGGACGCCCTTACTGTCATACTCGTCTTCCTCGCCAGGCCCGACGTCGCCCACAGGGGCGCCGCCGTCAAATTCCGCAGCCCTTGCTTGTGCAGATGCCACCAGAGCAGCCAGAGGATTTGAGTTATCAGTTTGCTCATCGTCTTCGTCCATTTCGTCGTCGATTAGATCGTCGTCGCCTTCCATGATATCGTCCTCGCTTTCGTCCCCTGCAATGCCTGCTTCATCCCCGCCCTTTTTCTTGCCCTTCGCAGCATCTCTCAACCTCTGGGCTTGTTCTGCCTTCTGTCGTTTCTTCTCCTCGATTTCTTCAAGAATCTTCTCTTTGAAGGGGAAGAGGTTGGGGATTCCAGGATCTTTCTTTAGCCGGGACTTCCACTGCGGATTCTGTTCATCCAGAGTTAGAGAAGGAGGGCCTCATAGGGACAAGGTGGGCGGACCTTTTTGGCCTCTTTCCTCAATTTCCTCTGCTTCGCCGCACTGGCCTTTTCGATTTTGTGCCGTAGCCGCACAGGTGTGCGCTTTGATCTGGAGACTGAAGAATGTCAGACGAGGTCAGAAGAATAGTAATCATACCACTTACATGGCTTGACCATCCTTGCGGTCGAGGGCCGTTTTCAACGAGATCAATGATAGTTGCTAGACTTCCGATCAAAAAAAAAGTCGCAGCCCGCAATCGCAAATGTGGCGCGTCGTGGCGTCGGCAGATCGTCGGCACAAAGCCGATTCGCTCACCGCCGCTCAGCCTTGTTAGGCGGAAGCTCACCCGATGAGGTAATCGAACCGAAATCCCTCAGATAAAAAAGCCTGCTTGCTGTGTACGGAGTATATAACAGATTAATTCCCTGGAGACATCGATGATAAAGTGGGCTATAGACATAGAGATTTCATTACTTCGCCGAACATTGACACATTGATCATCTTACTTTGGAGAGTAGACTGAAAATCTCACGATGGGTTCGATCGACGACCACAGCTTTTCCGCGCCACCCGAGGTCGTCTCGGCCCATGGTCTACTGTTTGATTTTGATGGTGGGACTTCCTATTACGCTCCGCGTGAGAGCAGAACTCCTTGCTGACGAAAGAACAGGCACTATTATAGACAGCACACCCGCTATCGTGAAGCATTGGCACAAACAAGGGAACCTTATGGGGGTAGACCCCAACGTTATCTTGGCGACGTCCCACGGCAGAAGAAGCATAGATGTCTTCAAGATGTATGACCCTTCCAAGGCAAATTGGGAATGTAGGACTCCATCGCTCTTTGGTCTTTGTCAATCCGTGACTGACAATGGTGTCCAGATATCAGCCACGAAGAAAGCCTAATACCCAAGGAATTCGGCCACGATGCTGTGGAGATTCCCGGTGCACGGAAACTCTTGGAGAGTTTGGAAGATGTCAATGCTCCGTGGGCGGTAGTGACATCAGGCACGAGAGGCCTAGTTAACGGCTGGCTTGAGGTGTTGAACCTTGCACATCCCCGCACAATGGTCGTGGCCGAGGATGTAGAGAACGGCAAACCCGATCCAACTTGCTACCTGCTAGGTCGACAGCGCTTGAGACTGCCTGACACTGCAGAGATGCTTGTTGTCGAGGACGCTCCTGCTGGTGTTCAAGCGGGCAAAGCCGCTGGTTTCAAGGTCATTGGCTTAACCACCACACATACCCTCGAGCAGGTGAAAGGGGCCGGGGCCGATTGGATCGTACGAGACTTGACCAGTCTGAAGCTCAAAGACTTCCAGAATGGGAAGGTAGAGATTGTCATCAGTGATGCTTTGGTCAACTAGCGTACGATGCGGTGGTATTCTCTCGCACAGCGGATCCCACGAGCATTCTCCAGCGCGGCGTTGGCGGTATGGAGCGGGTGGAAAACGGAAAGAAAGATGGGCGGGTTCGCATAGACGATAGAACTGACGGACTTGGGCACCGCAAGTTCAGTACGATAGAGCTTTCAGAGGCACCTCTCAGCGGAAGACATGACTGTCACAGGCGAAACCTGTCTGGCCTTGTTCGAAATCGAGTGAGAAGTCGGAGGCCCAATGGAAGCACTGTGGAAACGCGGCCTATAAGACGCTGATCCCGCCTCATATGGAAGCTGTAGTCCTGCCTAATGCAGTTAGCAGCTCGTCGGGTACTCTGGCGCTTCTGCTCCAACCCTCGGAAGTGGGAAGACGAGGACATGTCTGCCAAAGAACCAGCTAATGAGACCAGGTCACCACACTGCCGTCGGGATTTTGTACAGGTTTTGTACAAGAACAGCGGTGGGAGATGCGCCGGCCATGGTCAGTTCTCTTCTGGAGATCGACTCACGAGTCTGAAGCGTGTACAATTGTATGAGCCGTGAGTGTTGCTGCTTCCGAGGATGGATCCTCGTGTATCAAAAGTTTAGTGTTGCCGTGCCGTCAAGCTCGCGCGGGTGAGTGCTCGTGGGCGTGCATGCTCACATGTTACACACCGGCAACATTTTGCCGCATTGCTCCAGAGATGCGGAAAAGCTTTGAGACTATTTCTGTTTTTGTGTCCCAAGGAATCTAGTTCCGTCCCCAACCCCAGATGCAACGAGCAATCAGAGCCTCTAGGACCGCGACAGGCGAAAGCAAAGTGCAAGACACTTGAAGTCTGATCAAGATGCATAGTACTGTAGGGAGGGAAGATGCGGAGCCATGACTCGAGCGAACCACGACAGGTGCCGCTTGCAGATCTGATTGGTTGAGCCCAGAGTTGATGGAAAATTAAATCAGAATCGAGGCGAGACACATCAGGGGCGGACTGCGGAAACAGCCTGAGCGGCACCTTGAGCATGACGAGGCTCGGCTGAAGCCCGAGAGCGGCGACCAGAATCGCACGTGGCCAGAGACGCGCAAGGCCCGGGGATTAACAAGCGAGCAGCCCGTCGGTTCTACTAGAGAGCCCGGAGAATAATTGCTGGCATCAATCGCCTAAGCAAGCTTTAGAAAAGCGACTTGGACCAGGACTGGGAGCAGCTTGCGCTACCGAGATCAAAGGAGTCCGGTAGAAACACACGCGAGGTTGGTTCAGGTGGTGGTGGATGGCAAGGCAGGCGACGGACGCGGACCGACAGTGGTCGAGGCTGAGCGCGGGATGGTTCTTGTGTAGAAGTCCACAGTAGGCGATTGCGCTGTCAGGATGTCAGGCTAGCCTCTTGTGGGCCATGCGAAATTGGGTGTCTCTGATTTCGTGCTGCCCAAGCCTGGGTGAAGCCTGAGTGTTCCTTGCATCTGTCAGCACACCTGCAAGGCCCACAATGTCAAGAGGCGTCAGTTCGCATTTTCGAGACACTCTCAGATGCTGCATCAGCCGCTCAGACCGTGCCTATGATCGAAGCACCCCCTGCATAAGGTCGAGTCCGCGACGTGCTCGAAGTCCAGAAGAGCTCTTGTCGCGCGTTTGGAAGCGGACGTGTAACAGGGCGACGGAGATGCAGTCCAGTGCCTGAGCGTGTAACCGTCATGTGTGAGTGGATGTCGGGTGCAACTTGGTGATGCAAGCTGCGTGATAGGGTGATTTTGGCATGGTCGTCGCTGACTGGACGGAGCCGCAGGTGGACGGCAAAGTGCGCTTCAGCTGTCTTTGACACTTGTGGGCTCCTTCGCCACAGCTGCAGGTACAAATTGTGTTGTGCGTCTGTCAACTGCGGACAGGGGTCTACCGGGGTAACCATCATCACGGGTTCGCGCGGGCACAGAAAGTATCGCAAGCCAAGGACGGATCATATGCCTCGCAGACTCTATGTTCTTCGCGGGCCGGTTTCGCGAACCACTTCTACTGGTAGCCGTCCTTCACCCGTGGCAAGTCAGGCCATGAGAGGTGACGCCCGTCACCCGTTACCTCGACAAAACGCGTGTCAAAGGGACAGGAAAACTGCAGCTCGCTGTGCATAAGGTTGTAACTTTCGGGCAAGTGAGGAGATGTTGAATCTCTGCTTGGCTAGAGTTCACGGAGCGGCCGCAGTCGACCGGTGCGTCATCTATTCGACTTGGATAGCCGACGCGTTGGTGATAACTGGGCGTGCACAAGCTGATAGCAGTCAGACACGATAGACAAGCCCCAAGTGGCTGTGGTTCTCGCCTTTCATTCTGCGAATTTTTCGTCTTGGTGCCAGAGCACGGCCACAGGTCATCTCGGCTGATCCTCGTTCGAAACACCTCTCCAACAAGATATCAGCGGGTTCGGCTCTTCTGACTGGTAGAGACTGTTTGGGTCCATTCCCGTTCGGCGTATGACTGTGGCACAACACGCCCTCTGGGCTGAAACCCTGACAGAACAGGCTAGATCTGACACCGCCGTGGCCTGAAAGGGGCAAGAGAAATGCTCGCGACTGAGTTCTGCCTAAATGAGCCGAGTGGAGGGGCTTGTCCCTCTTCCGCCATCGATCACCTAGCCCGCTTCGCCCTCCTCAAATTGCCCTCGCGGACTGGCTGGCTCACAGCATGGGGTTCCTGGTTATCCACTCTTGTTCCTGCATATTTGGCGCCCGACCAAGCCGAACAAGGCCTCTTGGCCAGCGAGACACTTCCCCGGGGAGAGGCGGCAGCTGTCGACTACGCGCAGACGGCGGCGAGGGAGAACTGGTGGACAAACAAATCAACATTGGAACATTCACAGGACAAACCTGCGCGAGTGATGAGATCTCCCGTGCTGGCTCTAGAGTGACTTACTGGCGCCGTGTCTTGACGATAGTGGTGAGCGCCTTTGTGGGAGAGGGCCCGAGAGGGGGAGTCACTTGCATGATGATGCGGTTTCAGTGATGGAAGAAAGTGACTGGTCCCCTCGAGTTATGCGGGAGCGCCTTGTTCCGCAGCGCAGGGCAGCGCGGCTTGCAACTTCCACCCTCTCAGTCTCGTCGCTCACTTTCACCTCACCCTCCAGCGCTTAACCTTTCACATCCAAAGCCCGACTCCTTCGAAAGTGCTTGTCTTTGACGCTGGTAGGGGTCATCATCATGGTCGCCGCTAAGAGGCGCTCCACTCGTTGGCTTCCGCAGTGGCTGACTGGCTCGTCTCCGCCTGATGGGTCTTCTGAAGCCCTTGTCGTTTGGCTTGCCAGCTTGACGGCTGTTGGTCCTCCACTACGACTGTCGCAAGTGGGGAGTGTGCCGCTTCTGTTGTCTGTTGTCTGCAAGAAAGTGAGTCGTGTACCTGCTCGGTATCCCTCTCGTCGCGATTGATCAAAAAGATCCCAAGCGCACAATCTATCGTGACAAACCTTTTGCTTCTCGTGCTTCACCACGAGGACAAACTTTGGTTCTGCAAATTGCTGTTGCCAGTGTACTCGTTACACGCTCCATCGTGGTATTCCCGGCTTCAGACAGCCTCGACGCTTCGATCCATATTTTTGCCGTTTGCCCCGGCCCTTGGAACCTCGTTAAGATACGTCTCGCCTGATCCCTCGCGGCGCCGCCTCAAGTCTAAATCCCCGAGTCCGCCCAGCTTGCCTCGCTCCTGTTTCTTAGTCTATCACTATCGACGCAATCAACAATCACTCTATCGCCCGCTGGGTTTCGTTCGTTACAACGAGCCGAGAGAGCTGCTCCTCGGTGCTCGTCACCATCGTCAAGCTTGAAGCCTATCGATTCCTGTGGTCGAGGCATCTTTCATTCCTTCCTCTTTTCACGGTTCGACCATTCGCTCCTTCCTTCGACTTCAGATCAGCGTCACCTCACCTCGACTATCTCACCCTCAGTCACTCTTTACCAGTTCCGACTCACTCTTCTTCCGCAGAGATCCTGATACTTGGCTTCACCGCTCCCTCTTTTGAACAGCACGGCACATATTGATCAACTGACTGCTCCACCATTCCGATCCTGCTCCATCTCATGTGCTGGCCTCGGCACATGGAGCATACCTGAAGAAAACGATACCAGTGGTGCCGGTGCTGTACTTCGACCAAAGCAAATATCATTCGCGGCTGAAATGAACATGGCGTATATGCAGCAGAACGCCTTTGCCTTTGCTCCTCAGCCTCAACCCCAATTCTTCTATCACCCCGACCAATACCACACCTATGTCGCTCACCCTCAGCAAGCCCCCGATGAGTTTTATATGCCCTATGCCGGAGCAGAGTACGCGGATTTCATGGAGGCAGGGATGATGCACGACGATATGGGGGAATCGCAGGAGATCTCAACTCGCCCAAGACTCACCAAGGAACAAGCAGAGGTCCTCGAGGCCCATTTCCAGGCGAATCACAAACCGAGCTCGCAGCTCAAGAGAGAATTAGCCATACAGACAGGCTTGACTCTCAACCGGGTTGGGGTATGTGTGGAAGACAACGAAGTAGCTGCTCTGAGCTGACAATGAAACAGAACTGGTTCCAGAACCGACGAGCGAAAGCAAAGCAGCAGAAACGACAAGAGGAATATGAAGCTCAAACCTCCTCAGTCAATGTTCCATCGAACGAACCCGAGGGGGACGAAGAGGCAGAGGACGTGAAAGATGCCAAGTCATCCGAGGACTCAAGGTCAGAAGCTGTTTCCCCAACTGGCTCTGCTTCGCCCACGAAAGCATCCAGCACGACGACGACGACAGACTCAACATCAGCCGTTGAGACGCCGGACACTCCCGTGCAGGCAGTTGACAACTCGAAAGAGGCAAGCTGGAACTCGTTACAGAGAGCACTTGGGCAAGCCAAGGCAGCACGGGCTCATCTATCAGGCCAAGCCCAAGTTAGCATGTCACCTCCAAAGATCCCTGCACGGGCTCCTGGTATGCAGCTGCCATTGCGTCTCAACCATCACCAAACGACCCCGTCAGCCTCGTATGTGTCAGCCTGGCGAAGCCAGCACGCCAACTACATGGCGTATCCATCTCCCATCACGCTTCAGGACACTTCGTTCGATTTCGGCTTTGGGAATGACATCGTTGACCAGGCGCCAGCTCAGGAGTCTACGATCGACCCAGTGGTGGATTACGCACAGGACTCGTTTGTGGTGACGCCCCAAGACTTCCAGGAGCCTCTGGCCACACCGAAAGGCATCACGCATCAGCAGAACGATCCGATGACAGCTTTGCCTTCACCTGGATTCTCGATGCCTTCTTATCCCGGATCACGACGCCCTTCGGCTACAGAAGACCTTTCAGCCACCTTCGGCAACGTTGCCCTCGCAGGAACACCGCCCAACTTTGTTCCGGAACTCTATGGTGCAGCATCAATTTGTCCTCCTCCGAGCGGCCCCCTTGACATTGCTGCTCGGCGAAAGCGACCGCGACCAGCTGCACTGACTTCTGCGTCGCTTCGGAGTCGTTCATACGGCGCAATGACCTCTGTTTCCCCCACCTTTCGCCAAGGTATAATGAGTCCCCAAGGTCCTCACAGCGTCCGCCACGTCAAGTCGGCAGGTCAAAGCCTGCACTCTCGGTACGCTGGCATCCGTAAAGCTAGTTCAGCTCAGAGGTCCCCCATGTGTGCGACAACCTTTGCCGAGGCTGACGCTTTCAACCAGCTGATGGCACAGCAAGCCATTGCTACAGCGCCGCTCACCGAAATGCCGGAACCCCTGTTATCGCCGGATCATGTCTCGCACGACTTCAGCTCGGTTGAACCTGAGAAGAATCCTTTCTTCATACAGAACATGGACATGTCTAACCAGTACTCTATGCCACCGCCTCAGAATCTTTCTATCACCACAGCATCACCTCCAGCTACACCAATGATTGCAAACTTCATGAGCAGAGGGCCATCACAACAATCACTCATGCCTCCAGCTTCCGCGCCTCCACAATATGCGACTTTTCCTGACTACACACCACCCTACTCTGCTGGACCTCTTACCAATAGCAGCTGGTCAGATGCTCCGATGACGTCGCCGGATGTTCCTTCATTCCCTGTCACCTATATCTCGTCTGTGGGCTTCCCGCAGCACTACGACGCTGTAGACAGCCAAATCCAGCAGTATGTCCTACGTTCAGACAACAAGTCCGAAGTAGACTTTGATTCTCATTTCGACCAAAAGAAAATGGAGTTCTGCATCCAAGAGTTTCCCAATCAAAAACAAGAGCACGCACATGTTGCCCAACAGCTCGCCCAACAGAAGCCGAAGGCTTACGTGTTTGCAAACACGGCTCCTCAAGACTACAACGGTGCTTGAGCAGCTGCGAAGATACCCCCTTGCTGTCAACAAAAATATTGACAGGTGTACGGATATGAATTTTGAACTTTGTTCTTTGAGCGTATCAAACTGACCGACGGCGTTGTATGTTTTGAGAGAAATGGATTAGCGATATGGTTCATGGCATGAAGTTAGACCTTGAGGGGCACGGCACGAGGCCAAGGACGGCTCACACGGACCAGAAGGGAGGCACCCTGCTACTTTGAGCGAAACGTATAAATGTAATAATGAGAGGCTACCATGGGAAATGAAATGAGAACATCCAAGGAAATGAGATCAAAGATAGTGTGAGCTGGGGGCAGTATGACATTCCCACGTAATTTAGACTCCCAATCAATGGACCCGACAACTACGTATGCTGCCTCCTCACACTTCTGACCTTTGCCCAGGGAGGTTCAAACTGGTTTCCGAAGACTATCCATGGGATTTGACGACCTTTACATATCAGTTGATAAGCCCGCTATTGTGAAGATTGGCACAAAGTCCATTCCATCAGGCACGCACAGTTATTTCCCCAAACTTCTCCGTGTATGAGGATAAATGTTAGTGTATCGACTACACGCAGGTTGACTTTGTGACGACGCCAATCTCTCAGCAGGCTACGGTTAATCAGTCGATACTGCCGATTCTTCAGTTCTTCCTGATTGAATCTTCTTCTTGCTACTACTCCTATGGCCGCCACTGCTCGTGCTAGTTTATACAAAGTCTCTCACGATGAGCTGCTACTCCTGGCCAGATCCTTGGTAAACTGGGTAAACTCCTTGACCTCCATCCTTGCCCACTTGTCATGCCAACGCCCATTCCTTCCCCTCCACTGCCATCACATCACGTGGTGCTCAAGAGTCCTGGTTCATCTTCAATCGCTGGTCGGGCTGGCCGTCCTTGCGAAGACCCTCGCCACCGAGGTGCGCGGCACCCTGAGGAGCGTCACTGCCTCCCGAGCTGGAGTCGGAAGTGCCACCGCCGCTGCTGTGGCCACCCTTCTTGCCTGCCTCGACGGGGTCGACTTTGCCGTGGGCGAATTCACTCTGCTGGACACGCTTGTCGGGTTGGCCGTCCTTGCGGAGACCGTCGTGCTCTGTGGATATGTTAGTGGAAATGAATTATAATGTCAGATAGAATGTGAGGGGGGAAGGAAGGTCTGTAGGGCATGATGTGGAAGTGAGGGTGAGAATGAGTAGGGCAAAGACCGAGCACAAGACAGGTCTGACGTGGAGTGAGGGTGTTGTGAATGATGGGCAAGTGTGGAGGGTAGCATGATGTGATGTGGTGTAATGGAGGAGTGGAGGCCGAGAAGTCACATTGAAGTGATGGTGAAGGGAGAGCGAAAATTGGGCAAAGTGTACGCACCAGTTGGCTTGTAGTCAGACATGTTTGTTTGTTTGGTGTTTTAGGTTTGTCGAGATGACTTTGTTTGATTGAGATTTGTTTGACAGTGTAGAGATTGCTGTTGATGCTGATGAGAAAAAGTGCTCCTTCGGGAGGGAAGCAGTCGTCTTATATAGACAAATCGAGCCGTACTTGCCTTCACACCGCTGGACCTCACCCGCTGTTCCCTTCACGGCCGCCAGAGGTGACGAAATCCAATGCAGGCATGCTCAAGATTGTGACGTCGTGATTTCAGCTCGGATCTATGCAGTTACTCGTATGGTCGCTGCCTTCGTCATGCTTCAGCTTCATCATCGAGTCTGCAGCTCAGATCATCAACAGGAGCAGGTCGGCCCTGGAACGGGGCAGTGATGATTCATCATTCCTGGGCCATTTTGTTTGACCGCGTGCCATCAGCTTGCCAGAGATCTGGTGCCTGGTGCCTTGCAGAACGATCCCGGATCGGAATGTCCAAGGACCAAAGAGGATGATCACTTCAGACACCAATAGTGTGGGAGCGTGCTTCGACGTCTGGCATCAAACCGAGAGAAGGAGTCACGGCGAGGTGAATCAGGCCCCTCAGCTGATTAACGACGCCACATCAATCATCCGGCCCTTGGTGACATGTCCTCATACCTTGTATTTTGTGGGCTGAACGGCCGTGAGGGGCCCCGGCCTACGCGTAAGTTGAAGTCGATACGTGCCGCGTGGAGCAGTCCTGAACAACTGTATCGATCGATCGATCGATCGACTAGCGTTTATCTGCATCATAAGAGTATTGGGCGAATACTCGTCTGACATGGAGCAATGGTCCCGCTATCTGACAATGGACCGGAGGCAATAACGTCATGACCAGGGGCAGCATCAGGAACACACCATGCAAGCCCCAAATTCATATTGGGATATGCCGACACCATAGTTATAGTGATAAGTGCATCAAATGGTACATTGTATGATCCCCGGACTGTGTTAAGAGCCTGAGCTGCATTTTCGGCATGGTCTACTCCAAGCAGGTACCCGTACAGACGGCTGAGGAGATTCGACGTGGGTGTCTCGAGCACATAGAGGAGCCAGGTTGAGCGGGCTGGGTCCCCACCCAGTGTCCCGGGTGACAATGTTTGGCGGAGCCTGCCTGTCCCTGGCACAGTACCTGTCAGTTCAGGCCTCTCATCAACGAGCGATGCGTCCTGTGAGATCATGACGACGGATGGAATGAGGTCAAGAAGTCAAAGCTCCTTTGTCCACATCGAAATTCGCCACAATACTAGATCGCGCTAAGCATCGAGGCCAGGATGATGGTTGCTGATTCGTTCAAGACCGAATCCGTCTGCAGGAACATCCCGGCAGTGGTGACCTAGACCTGAAGGGGCACAGTCACAACCGGGGAAGACAACGGATCGCTCAGATTGGCGAGGTCGGACGCTGCGGATGATCGGACTTCGGTTGCTGGTCCGTAGGTTCAAGGACGACGGTCGCTGTGTGGATGGAAGAGTGTGCAAGGTGGGAAATCTCGTCATGACTTTTCAGCCGAGCCTCGTCAGCGCATCCTTTTCAGCCTCGTCAGAGATGCGAGTTGGAGGCCTAAGGCTTGGCGATGCGGTACGTACCCGAATTTCTCACTTTCCCGTCACCAGTCACTCATCCTACGTGGTACTCTTCCCAGAAGCCCATTGAGGCAATGAGTGCTGTTGCGACTGTCTCTCTGCGGTTTCCGTTCGACAACATGGTAGGGTCCGTTTTGCTTACCAGACATGAAAGCATTGCCAGATGAAAATGTACAATCCGTTCGACTGCTGCTCATCAAGCAATTCTAGAAGAAGATTGTATTAATCCAGTTTGGCAGGCAAGGGTTGCAAAAGTTACCAAAGAAGCGACACAAGCCTTCATCTCTATCTAACTTCGACGATGAGCAGCGTACGATGCTTAACTGTGGAAGTGCGATGTTCGTCAGTCAGCCCTGAAGTCTCCTTCAGCTCGTCTTCACCGAACGGTAGTCCTACCCACTCGCAATCCTTGGGCCATATCACCGCCAAACAGCCAGAAAATTCTCTTCATGCTAAGGGACTGCACCAGGATCATGCTGCTGTGCAGGCGGATGTGAAGCTGGAATCGAACATTTCTGATATCCGGCTCCGAATATTCCGTTGACTGGCAGCAGAGAAACGGTGGCTTATCGGCCGGTGAAGCGAGCATGCACTAGTGCTGAACTGTCTCGACGCACTCGCCCCAACAATGTCAGAATCATGCCCTCTCTTGCAACATCCATGACTTTGACAACCACGCCATCCAGCGATCTGTTCTCCTTTTGGAACCGGCCGCCCAAAGGTGGCAACCGCACACCAGCCCGCGGTGCAATCGGGTTGATTATCGAAAGACGCCTTTCTTACAAGAGTGGCCAGTTCTGTCCTGTGGCTCTCTGGAAGAGTAAAGAGACTGCGTCGTAGCCTCTATACTGTGGGAGTCTGATGTACGGGAAGCTATGAGGGGCCACAAGGGCTTTAACACGGCGACAGCCTGGTGCTGCAGATCAGAGGGCTTATCAGAGAGCGCAGCCGCATGGAGTCACAGTTGCTAATGCCAGGCCGATCCCGAAGCCCGCCCAGGATTGTTGCCAAATTCTGTTGTTACTAGGACTGTAATATGAGATACGCAAGGCGTTCCATTTTACCAGCGTTCCAGAACAGATGACCTTGTCGATTTAGATGCTCACCAAAGCAGCAACCTGATGGACGGTATATCCACAGTGTATCACCGCACAGAACAGCATGGGGCGCTGACAATGTACAGACGATCAGGGCGAGCGTAGTGACAGACTTGAGGCGTTTCAGGGATGCTTCGGCCCATTTACGTCCTGGACACGGCGCTCAGCGATGACATTGCTTCCGCCGGTTTCTGGAGTTGAAGGCAGCTCGATAGAATGCTGGAGCTCTTCTTCGTGCTGAGGCTAGGGTTCAAGGTCAGGAATTCGATATCGTCAATGTCGGGTTTTGGCGGCTCAGACGGCTACGATCGGTCTTTTTGGATGTGCTTTCCGTGTTTACCAAGCACAGAGCCGGAGCCGTACTCCGTCCCTGCACAATGAGTTTGAAAGATATTGACTTGCAGATCGAATAACGTTGGAGTGAATCGCCAGCTCATACGGATTTTATCCGTCCTCCTGGAAAGAAATAAAAGTTACAGTTCTGGGGACTACTGTGGCCCTACCAGGCTGTTTACTCGCCCCCGAGCGCTCTGGGGTGTTCTCACTTCTCAATGTTGAAATCTGCTACACGCTACTTATAGGCCACGCCAGCAACGAGACCTTGCTACATATCGCCTGTGTGGTGATCTGCTGCCACCGAACGCGAGTCCCCCTAGCTCGACTCACCAGAGCTCGCATGCTGCAAGACACCCCGAAGAAACACCAATCGTGACGGTGGAGGTGGCGCCATATCAACCAAGGCCGTAATTGCGATACTCTGTCCAGAGTACGAGTACGAATACTCCAAGCAGATAGCCATGACCGACGTCATTCGTTCTGATTACCGCCCCCACACGATCCTCATCATTCGCCGGGTTCTTGCCAGGCTCTCTCGCCTTGACGGACGCCCTACGTACACAGTACACGGTAGATCTAGCAGAAAAGCGCAACGGACGCTACACCATGTCCCAACCGCACCTCGACTCGGTCAGGTCAATGTACGACGAGAGAAGTGAGCATTACGACGAGAACGAAGTGCACATCAAACAAGCACAGGACTACTGCGAGTGGGCGGGCTTGCGACGCGGAGAAAGCCTCCTCGATCTCGCGTGCGGGACCGGGCTGGTGGCGCTCGAAGCCAAGCGCCGAGTCTCGGGGGCGGGCCACGTCGTCGGCGTCGACATCAGCGAAGGCATGCTCACGGTCGCGAGACGCAAGGCCGCAGCCGCAGGTCTGGACGACGTGCGCTTCTTCAACCACGACATCTCGGATCTCGCCGCCATTCGCGACGACATCCTGCCGGACGGCGCCGAGGGGTTCGACGTCATCACTTGCGCGTCGGCTCTGGTGCTGCTGCCGGACCCTCTGCGGGCCGTTAGGAATTGGCAGGCGTTGCTCCGTCCCCAGGGCGGCCGGCTCGTCACGGATGTGCAGACCAAGGACGCGAATCTCGTGATGAATGTCTTCTCGGACATTGCGTCTCGGGTGGGTGAATCGGTGCCGTGGAACTCTGAGCTGTTGCGGTCGCAGCGCGAGCTCGAGAGATTGGCGGTCCATGCGGGATTGGATGTCCAGACCGTGTTTGAGACAGACGCTTATGCGAAGACGCGATACCATGTGGACGATGCACGGCAGATATTCGATCAGGCGGTTGGCAAGGCTATGTTTAGTAACTTTGGTCGAGCTGACATCCGCGAGCAAGCCAGGGACTTGTTCGTCCAGCGGTTCACGGACATGGCCGGGTCGGCAGGGTCAATTGAAGAAGAGACTAGATTTTGGGTCTTGGTGGCCACGAGGTCTGCATGAACGGGGCTGGACTGGATAGGTCTGAGTTACTAATTATGTGGCAATGGATTATCAACAATCAGCTCAGGTGGACAGGGACACGGGACATGAATTCGCTAATATAGAGATCGGGAGACATCGTAAATTATCGCCATCCGTAACTCTGGCGTCGAGTGGGACATGAGGCTTTTGATCTGAACTCGAATTCAGAAGTATCGCTGCGAACGCCCGACAGTCGCATTGCTATTTGGGACCGGCTCTGTATCAGGACGGCGTTAGCTCGTTCGATGCGAAGCGGGATTATATGACGACCGGTATCGGATGATGGTAGCAAGACGGACAGGGAATGTGTGTCGAGGGGAGGAGGAGGAGGCAAAACACACGCACTTGAATCGTCACTCTATCCATTCATCATCTGGGCATACCTTGTTCAGCCACAGGTTTACGTTTGAACAGCTTCCGCAACCCCTTTGACTTCTCGTCTGTGGTAGGCGAGACCTCCCTCGCCGTCCCTGGAGCTACCGTCTCCTGTGGTAACGTGGTTGTGTCGTGGACAGGCACCGGCTGGTACTCGGGGTTCTCGTGTGCAGGCCACCCGCCAGGAATGCCCTCCATCTCGGTACGGCCCCTTTCCAGGATCTCCTCGTTGTAAGCATTGGTTCGGGCGGCTTTTTCCGGGTTCTTCGACGGAAAGCGGCGGTCGATCGTCGAGTTCAGAGTGCCCCGGAGAGTCTCGCCCACGCCCTGCGGAGTACCCGATTAGTGTCATACACTCATATCAATGGTTTCGCTTCTCAACGCACATGGAGTCCCTTGGCTGCTGCTCTCAAGTCGTTGATGGTGGTTTGGTTATGCCGTTGTGGCTGTTCGGCCGTCTTGAGGGACGATCGACTGGGATAGCTGAAATTGTGCCTCGAGGGGCTCGCGGGAGGTGTGCCACTATCGCGGCTCAAAAACGGAGGCTCGACGGGGCTTACGGGAGCAAGATCAATGGGGTATCCATCTCGAGTCGTCTCCCGAGAAAAATCGCCCGATCTCCGCTTTGGGCTTTTCGCGGGTATACGGGGCTGTTCGGCCGCCAGCATTCCTCCACTGGTCACGGGCGGTCGTCCTTGGTGAGTGGTGCTCGTCGTTGTCGGAGCAAGTTGATAATTGGCTGGCTCGGGAGTTGTAGGCCCAGCTGGCATTTCCAATAGGTGCGGCGGCGGTTGCGCCGGACCGGACTGAACCTCGCGCTTGACATCCTTTTGAACATCTTGATGCTTCTTGCCGCCCCTCGTGGTCGTCGTGGTCGTCGTGGTCGTCTACAGCCTTGGATCAGCCTCGTGGTTTCCACAGTATCACGTAGACACTTGAAGTACACGTACCGTGGTTGTCACCACTGTGACGACCTCGCCTGTATCCTCATCGAAGACCTCCCCAGTGGACGGCTTCACAGCAAGGTTCCGGTCTTGATCGATGTTCGCTATTTCACTGTTTTTTTCAGCCGGGATAATGTCGCTGGTGTGTCTCTCATTCTCTGGTATGATGCCCTGGGGCCCCTCTCCACTGTTCGCTTCGCTGCTGCCGTAGGCAGAATCAAGGCCAGCTCCGGGGGCTGGCTCAGGCGTTTTCTCCCGTTTCCCTAGTAAGCGACTAAACCGGTGCTTCTTCTCTTTGTCGCGTGTGGGCGAGGGCGTCTTGGAGTCTACTGCGCGGGACATTGTGCAGGCACCGTATAGCACGAGATTCAGACCGAGTGGGAGTCAGCTGAGGACGACGACGTAGCAGCAGGAGGAGCAGACCGCAGGCATTATTTCAGGGTTCTGCTCCTCCATGGCAGGCGTAACGGCGTGCCCAGTCGATCGCGAGAAATGATGTCACTTTGCAAGCCATGATCGGCCATGGAATCGAGAAAACGCCACGACGTTTGCACAGCCACATGGCGTGGGATAGCCGAACGATAGCGAGCATCCAATCATAGTTTCTACCGACGTGTCGCTCGCTTGTCCCAGGTCTAGCCTCTAGGGGTCCGCTCGATGCCGAATCGTCGATCCCATCCCTCCGCGTCGACGCAGACTTGTATAGGCCGCATCAAGCTCAAGCTCGATGTCGCAGCGGACCTTGAGCTCACAGATGTAGGGCCACGTGCACTTTTCTCCCCGGGCACTCCAGTACTGCAGCTTCGCTGGGGTAGGGGTATCGAATGTTCTAAAGAAGTCCAGGAGCCCAATCTGGGGAGTGATTGACACCTTGGACCACGATGCCATGGTGGGCACGACCTCATCCATCAAGACCCGCTGTAGGAAAGTTGGCAGCATGTTGAACCGATTCAATACTTCGAGCCAATGCCGCAATTCTGACAGGGTGAAGCGAACTAACAGGCCCAAGGGTTGGTGACGATCGGCAGATTTCTGCAGTTGGATGAACGGGGCGATATAGGGTCTGGTTTGTGACACTATGAAGTGGTTAACGTTGAAGAGTTCTCCTATCCTTGTCAACGGCGCTTCCGGATGCACCGTTGACTGGCGGTGGTCGTGGTCTTTCTCGGAGAAGTCGGCAGCAAAGTACATAACGATGTCGCCTGCCGGATCCTTACACAGGAGCTGGACTGGCGCATACATCGCCTTCGACGTGGCTATTGATGCCACCACCGCAGATCTCACAAGGACGTGAGGGGCTGTCAGATAGTTGAGGAGCTGTGGCGTACCGGTCACCTCGGACATGGCGATAGTGATATTGAGAATCCTTCCCGTCTTGTGGTATGCTTCTTCAAAAGTGATATCTCCAAGATTGTCTCGGGTGCATTCTTTGAGGACGTCGATGTCAAATACATGGTGTGAGGTACGATATCGCCTGTACCGCCGCTGCATTGTTGCGAAGAATGAAGAATGAAGCCATGACGAAGCGCCACTTGCGGATTGGTTATTCTGAGAACGAAGAAAGGCGTCGAGGTTGATATGAGTGGCCTCGAGTACTCCCGGAAGATCTTCATCCTTGGTGACACAGATATGTGCAGCAATCAGAGCTCCGGATGATGTACCTGTGATGATCCTCGGAAGCAGCTGTCGCTTGTAGAGTGCTTTCACCACCCCTAAATGGCTCATGCTGATCATGGCACCTCCCTGGAGTACCAGGCTCGTACGGCCAAGGGTAGTCCGCATATCCACGATGACCTGCCGCCTTTCCTGGGCTGGAACAACAGACGCAGCTCCATTGGTGACCCCGGTTCGCTCCCCAAGGTACCTGATACACTGTTGCACTTCCTGAACATAGTCATGAATGAGTTTCTTGGTCTGGATATGAGACCTTCGGTAGAGCGCTGGTGACAGAACCCGACACATATTGCGCGAGCTTTGAGCTCGTAATTGACTGCACAATCCTCTCTCATCGCCTAGCCTTCGGCATCGCTCGAGATCCTTTTTCATTGTCCGGAGGACTTGCCAGTCATAGCGAGGATGGCGATCCATTACAGCCCAATCATCCACTCCTCGAATGGCATCAAAGTCGGATTGCTCGTCGTACCAGGCTTCATAGGTCAACGGTGGCGCGTCGCCATTGACCTGGAGCTTGGTCCATGGCTCGATCCAGACAAGCACGAGTAAAGACCGAAGGATGCTCCTAACAAACCCCAGGATGACGAAGAGGAACAACATCGTGACAGCCCCTCACATAAGATACCCGATGGTATAAGAAGACCCGTTGACGATCACATGCCGGATACTGTCAAGCACTGACAACTGCCTGCGATATTGAGAGTGATAGAGAAGAGAGGCAGGCGACTATTTGCTGCCAAGTTTGACCCGGTTGCTGGGAGGCTCTGTGACGCCGCTTTTAGGTTGCGGGCGAATTGTTCCGTGTTGGTGAGAGGTCACGTGAGACGTCTGACGTAGATGGAAACTTAGACGGCACCGCACGTGACCACATAGTGACCGTAGTTTCTTACATACTTGACGGCTTCGAACATATTCCGTCTACGCAGATTCTATCATAATCACCTTCAACTCCTGTTCTTTTCCCTCATTCCAAGACTGGGGGTTCTCATCGTCAATGCCCCCGTCCGCGGCAGTACGGAGGCAAAAGAATGGATGAACATTATCTGGAGTCAAACTGCTGCTGTTGACCTCCATATCCGTTCTGGCTGCGCAACGGTCAGAGGGAAAAGGATACACTCCTAGATTGCTCTCCCCGCATCGAGTCACCAGTAGCAGTGGTAGAATCAGGCGTTTCGCCAGCCGTGCAAATCCCAGAAGCTGGGTATGACAACTGCCGATATCGGCCATATCCCTGTCACGTCTTCATTCGGCTATATATGCACTACAAGCGAGCAACCAGTTTACTGAGGCACTGTAACTCTAATCTCTTCTAACAGCTCTGCAGGACGCAATCCTCCGCGGTCCTTCGGAAACCGCCTCTGAACCTCGATAGACACCAACCTGGTTCAACATTGACAATGGCCCAAGAACAAGCAATCTACTCCCACGGACATCACAAGTCCGTGGTACAGGACCATGCGCGCCGAACAGCTCAGGATTCTGCAGCTTTTCTTCTACCACATATCCAACCCAATCACAATATCCTCGACGTCGGCTGTGGTCCAGGCACCATCACAGCCGACCTAGCGGCTCTTGTACCGCAAGGCAACATTATCGGCGGTGATGCCGTGGAATCTGTCCTGGAGCAAGCAAGAGAGTTCGCCTCCTCCAGAGGCTTGACAAACATCACCTTTCAGAAGATCGACGGAAATGCTCTCCCGTTCTCCGACAACTCTTTTGACATTGTCTTTGCCCATCAAGTTCTGCAACACGTTAAAGACCCTGTCAGAATCTTAACAGAAATGCGAAGAGTCGCGAAGCCGGGAGGCATCGTCGCCGCGCGGGATGCAGATTACAAATCCTTTGCCTGGTATCCTGAAACGGCCGAGGTCGCCAGATGGGCCGAATTGTACCAGAAAGTTGCCAAGACGAACGGAGGTGAGCCCAACGCTGGGCGGTATGTCCATGTCTGGGCGCGACAGGCTGGCTTTGCACCCGGCGAAATCACTGCTACGTGGGCGACCTGGAGATACAACGGAGAAAGAGTGACTCAGTTTGCTCAAAGCTGGTCCGGCAGGATCCTACAGCCTGGCTTCATGGGAACAGCTGTCAGAGAGGGCTTTGCGACGGAAGATGAGATCAAGGTTATTTCTGAAGCCTGGAAGATTTGGCCGACTCATGAAGACGCATTCTTTGGTATCCCACATGGTGAGATCTTGTGCCGCAAGACGTAATGAGGTGTTGCTGCAAAGGCCGAAGTAAAGGGTAGGAATACAGAATCCCTGGGCGCAGCTACTGCTATCTCGATACGGATTTGCTGTTCATATTGGATAACTCCTTTATGCCATGTTTGGCCATACTCCAATTCTCTGGATGAGGCATGCCCCTCTCAGCTGAGCCTGGCCATCGTTGGCTCACTTCAGAGTGAGAACGAGGAGAACCCTGTCCAACCCCCCGAGTATTCTACCAATGTCGAAGATCCGCTCGAAAGATGGAAGTTACCCAAAGAAGACCGCTCACGATACCTCGACCACCATCCCAAACGAAGTCGGTCTCGTTCTCTCTGTCACCGAGTTTCTTTTTGTCAGCCGAGAGCTTGGTGTAACTGCTCTTTTGTCCGTGAATCCGTACACTCACAACCGCCAACCATTCAATTGGCATATAACCCTCATCCGGGGAGCGAAGCATACAGCCGAAGCAGAGGGATAAGAACGAGGACAGACCATGGCGACGGCGACGGCAACACTCTCCACAGTGCACCTCACGTCAATATCTCCAGCAATCATCCGGGTTCCAACAATCTCTCAAAGCTCAGTCGAAAAGATCACGTCCCTGCTCCAGCGGAACCATGAAAACCACTACATCACCTTGATGAAATTGGCCAACACAAGCAAATCGTCCACCATCATCTCGCCTCCTTCTGTCTTGGCGCCGACGCAGAAACCCTACAGAACCAGTACGACGAATGCAGAGTACCAACGACTGCCACCCCCTGTGGATGAGGACACGGTCTCTCGGCTCCGGGAGGCAGAAGATTTCAAAGCACGAGCGGGAAACCCCAACAACTTCACCAACTTCCTTACTTTGTTCAGCCGCCGACTTTCAAACCTCGTCAGTGCCCGCCACCCTGAACGAATACGTCTTCTCGCCTGACTCCCTTGCGTGTACGCTCTTCACCTGCTTCCTCTGAGGCAACTACCACCCCTTCAACCACCTTCAACTTTGGCCTCGACCTCGCCCAAAGCCGTTCATCATGGCCCAAGCGCTCGCCCAGGCGTGCATCCATTCATCGTACATGGACGACTTCTCCACAGCCACAGCACAAGCCAGCGAAACCCGCGGCACCACAGCCTCCCATGGACCTCCCGCACGCCATCCACAACAACCGAATCTTCCTCAACGCGGTCAAGTGGGAGGACGGCCATGGAATCCGGGACGGCATCCTCGCCCACGCGACCCCAATACGATGATTCACTATGCATCCCAATTCGGCAATTTCCCAACACCCTACACTGAAGAGTTTGCTGGGAACGGCACGCCGCCAAAAGTCATCCACGGGGCCGTCTATCTTCGTGGCCGCAGCCCCCCTCCCCCCCAAACGTCGGACAAGCTCGCGTGTGACGACGAGCCGTGGAAAGTCAAGGAAGACATGTGAGCAGCGGCGTACCTATGATGGGTGCTGGCTTGACAGCGTGAAGCCCTGAGTGTGACGACCGGTGGGCTGGCTAGGAACCGGTGGGCTTCGAGCAGGCGGTGGGAGAAGTCTCCGCCTAGGGGTCGAGCAGGGAGGGACTGGGCTCCTGACAATTATACACACTCACTCACCTACCTAGTACCTACACCCTGTGCGCACGTGGCTCGGACGCATGTGTACGCACGTAGGCACGGCAGTCCCGCCTCAGGGATAGCCATGTACGTAGGTATACTCGGGCTCCATGTTTCCCAGCGTGATCGGTTGTATTATGTATGTACACAGTACTGTCTGTATGTATGTACGCACGTACGTGTGCGTGAGTTCGTGACTGGGCCCCCCAAGCCCATCCATCCATCCACCCATCCACGCAACTCCCCCTACCGCCTGAACCACATTCTTCATGTAATGTATTGCTCTAGTTTCTGGCCCCAAGCGGCTGAAGAACATTGCTTTTGAAAATAGTAAACTTGACCTTGTCCTGTCATGTCCTCCTGTCCTGTCATGTAAACAAATATTAATATCGCTTGTATGTTGTACAGAAGTGCCCTCACGAAGGTAGAGAGCGCAGCAAGCCCAGGGTATGGAGACCAGCGAGCACGGCGTTTGTTCGGATTGAAAGTCTCATAGAACTTGGTCGTGCACGTCGAGTTGCTTCCACCGCTTCCACCGCTTCCACAGAGACATAAGCCATCGCTTGGGCTGTCCTTCGTCTTTCGCGTCTTGAAATACTGTACAAAAGTCCCTTCTGGGTCATCGTCCATCCACATGACACGTAGTAGCTCTACCTGCATGACTTCTCCAGGTCTAGTGTAAGGTATTGACCTGGCTTTCCCAAAATCCCTGCGGCAACTTGGGAATGTTGATTTTCGGGAAGCTGATGCCGCCAACGGAGTCCTTTTTGGGGTGACCTCTCTGCGGTGTGGGCGTCGCAGGAGGGGTGGATGAAGCCTGGCCAGTGCCGAGGCTGGTTCTTTTATTTTGAACGTTCTCGAACGTGGTGAGGCTTTCGTCCAGACCATCTTGGAGCTGGAGACGCGCGGCTTTTTCATCCAGCGATTCATCCTCTGGCTCGTCGGTGCCGGGCGTCGACCGTTCAGAATGGTCGGCTAGCTCTGTTGCGATCTGTTCTGGGGGTGTTGTTACCTCTTTATCAGGTGTACTGTTTTCCTTGTTGTCTTCTCCTAGACGCTCGAGCTCGGCGCTCATTTTTCCACCGTCCACGGGTGTTTGTTTTGGTGTCGGGATAAAGGCTGGCACCACGCCACCGGCCATCCTTGCCCAGAACAGGCGTTCTCGCAGCCGTACAAGTTCTTCCCAGGCGTCCTCCTCATCTTTCTTGTCCCCAACCTTGACGACTCCTTCGCGGACCATGCGTATATAGGCTACCAGATCGCCGACTCCGCGTACCTTTTCCAGACAGAGGGTACATATACACCATTTTGTGGCGCCCTCGCCTTCGCGGACACGCATAGCGTGCGTTCGAGGATTTTCATCTTGCTTTCTATTCTCGCCGCAAATAGCACAAGGCGTATACTTCCCATACAATTTCATCGACGCTTCAGGTATAGGTTCTACAATCAGGGTTGATTCGCCTAGCGCTGCAAGTATGCTGCGCCTGTTCAGCCAAGAAAGTGACGGCGAGTTGTCGAGCCGCAGCGTAGGTTCGATATCTTCGACTAAGAGACGCTTGAAAAACTTGGTCTCCTTGAGGGGTGCCGGCCCCTTAGGATCCGGGTTGGGACTGAATGATCCGGGCAAATTCGGGGAATTGGCGAGTTTGGAGGTGGCTGGCTGAGAGATTTGTGAAAGGTTTGTCTGAGAACTGTTGCTTAATGATCCGAGACCCATTACATTGAGCCCGCCGTAGGAGCCAGACCCAGCTCTGGAAGGCGTGTGTGACGGATTATGAGAGCGGAAGTGCGACGACTGTACAAGGTTTTTGAAGTCTTCGTAGGCCGGGATATCGGTCCTGCAGAGTGGTTTGACAAGATGGGTAAGTTGTGTAGAAGGACTGGGCACGAGTTCACCGTGTCCGAGAGTAACTGGTGAAAGGTTCATGGCTTCAAGGAGACGCGCAAGGTCGCTGCCTTCTCGGCCCACACCTGGACTTGACGGTGCGAGTGATACACGAGGTGAGTCAATTTCTCTGCGGTAATCGGAGGCGGGTCCAATCTGCTGCATGAGTGTTTTCAGTTCCGTCAACTGTTCAGTCTGGGAGGCTATGACGGCCTCGCCATCCTTGATTTGGTCGCGAAGCTGTTGATTCTTCTTTTCGATAGCATCGCGGTCCCTGTTGGCCGAGGCGACCATTTTGTTTGCTTCGTCGAACAGCGACGCCGTCAAGGTTTCCAGTTCTGACTCTATCCCGCGCTTTTCCTGCAACACTTGAGCCTTCTGCTTCTTCTCCTCTGCCAGCTCCGCAATGAGCCTGTCTTTGTCCTCATCGAGCTTCGCCTTGGGTAGAAGCTCTCCTCGCGATATCCTCTCCTCGTAGGCTTTGGCTTCTGCTTCTAGTTTGGCGATGCGTGCCCTTGATGCCTCCAGTTCCTGCCTCGTCTGCGCAAGGGTATCGTCCAGAGTAGTCTGATGGTTGATAGCACTAATGAGTTTGTCGCTCAGTGCCGCGACTTCGGGATTAACATCGGCGTGTTTTGAAGAGCTAGAGGCGGATCTAGAAATGTCGGAAGCGCTCGCGTTTCTCGGGTCTGCGATAGTTCGGAAGGAGGTCTCCGGAGAGGTTCTATGTCGCCCTGGGGGTTCAGGTGGAGAGTCATCGATGGTCGCCATCGTCCGTAGGCTTGAAGCCGACTGTGCTTTGGACAGGTGGTTGCGTGGTGAGGGTGTCATGGGCGGCCCCAGAGAGAGTGACCGCGAATGAGTAGACGTGCCACCTCCCAAGAAGGGCCTGTGCACTGCCCACGCATTCATAGGTGCGAAGCCAGGCGGGAGTGAGTTGTCTTATGCAGCTGCTGTGTAATACATGCTGGTAGCTGCTGGCGTCGTAGTGGCAGACAAGGCCTGCAACGTGGGCGAGCAAACACGACTTGGAGCCAGAAGTGCAACAGCCGAATAACCGAAGGGGAACAAGCGAGCAAGACGTGAGATTTAGGAGAGGCAAAAGTCAGATGAGATTGAGCTGACCTTGGAGAAGATCTGGCGCCGCCCTATGGACAGTATGTAACATGAGAAGGAGCAGATCCTACTGTGGTGCTCGAGTATCTGAGAGGTTTTGGTCAAAGACGGTCAGTGGCCGCCGACTGCGGGCGACTGAATGATGGGTGAATGATGACGCCGCCGTTACTGGAGCTGCTCCGGAGGATTTGGGCTGTTGTGGCTCTCCACGCCACGGGCGGTTTACCTAAAACTAACTGCTGCGTAGAAGCGCCTGGACTAGATGTTGGGGTCGCCGATGCCGACCATTTACAGTGCTGCCCCGCCTGCCACTGGCGATGCCCGCATCCCACTTTTCACAGTATTCTTCAAACTCGACTCTGCTCAAGGTCACCATGGCAGACGACGACTTGGCTCAGGTACGTTGGCGCATTCGGTTGTTGACACTTGCTAAAAATGACTAGATTCGCGCTGCGCGTCTCGCGCAATTAAAGCAGAAGCAAGGTGGAGGATCAGGCGACAATGGCGAGGAAGAACAGGCGAGGTTAGACATGCGGCATGGTGACAAGAGACACGGCTGATTTTCCACCGCAGGAAACAAGAGTCAGAGGCGCGCTCGCATATGCTTGCTCAGATCCTTGAGCCCGAAGCGGCAGACCGTCTGGGCAGGATACGCATGGTCAAAGAGTCACGCGCCACCGATGTCGAGAACCGCCTGATCATGCTCGCCCGGGCAGGTCAACTACGGCAAAAGGTCACCGAGACTCAACTCAAAGAGATGCTGGCCAGCCTGTCCGAGCATGAGAAGCAGACCGGCCAGACAATGGAGAGCGTGAAAGTCGTGAGAAGAGGCGGTTGGGACGATGACGACCTGGATGACCTGTTGAAGGAGTCCTGACGGGCCACGGAACAAAAGTCTTCGAGCGTTTGCATATGATACCCCCCAATGATCATGCTTTGGTATTCAAGTCTGTGCCTGGGACGAGGCAGCCTTTGCCGCCTTGCGCTCTTCCCTCAGTTTCTTCCTGATGGCTCTCAGATCAGGCGGCTGCTCGATCCCCAGTCTGTTACGCAGGTCCGCAACATCGGTCTCGAGTTCTTCCTCCCAATAGACGTTGATCAGGTCTTTACTCTTCCAACCGTTCGCAAACGCCCAGGGCAAGAAAGTCTGGAACATCCTTCGTCTCTCCAGTGGTTTTAGTCGCACCATTGCAGCTAAAGCGAGCCCAGTCATGGGCAGTCCGGTATTGGCAAACTCAAATGCCTTCAACCCGAGCTCACCCTCCACCCACACCGGCAGCCCCGTCACGGCATGGTAGAAATCATGGCATTCGCGATAGCGCTGCATAACGTATGCCTCCTCCTCATCGTCAATATACTTCACTGCGTCTCTTGTGTCTGGCGTCACTCCCTCCCGATCGAGCCACGCGGCGTACACTCTCCCAACACTGTTCTCAGGCAACTGTCGCAGCTTCTCCAGCGACATCGTTTTCGAAGTTATCCGCGGTCGGTCTCGCAATATACGCCTGCCTGTGGGGTCCGAGAGCATTCGCTTGCGCAGCCAGGAAATAAAGAATGGTTGCGCTGTGGCTTCTCCGCATGCCGCAATCATATCGTGCCGGTAAGGGTCGATTAGGGAGGCGACCGCACTTCCCACTGCGAGACCAACACGTTCGACACTGGTAAGTGGGACATGGCCAGGATAGTTTGGCGGAGGTCGGTTGAGGACGGAGAAGGAGCGCTGCGAGGAAGGTGGTCGTCCATCTTCTTGATTCCGGTGACGAGGACGAGCACAGCTGGCCCAAATGGGGTGAGAACTGCGGAGGATAGATGTTAGCAGGGCGATATCTCGCTGTCTGCTCAAAGAAGGCAGCTTCATCCTCCTGGCATGCCCGCCTAGCCTGAATTATATTATTTGCGAGTGGATATTGTGGTCTCTTATTTCGCACTTATTTCTTTGCTGAGTACGGAGCACTATGTACGGTGTTATCCAGGCGTCGCTTCACGAGCGGTTGATCATTGGCCGAGCAATGCTCGCGGGCTGGCCTCGTTTGATTGGCTGGAGTCTACAAGGCTGGCATCGAGTTCATGTCGTAAGGATCATCAGTGAAAGATAGTCATAGGTCCACAATCCTCCTCAACTTTTTCCGAGTCAATGATGCCTCCAACAGCAGCATCACTCCAGGTAACCAAAGGTAATCGGCGCCATGTTGATAGCCTCAAGGTAATAAATCCCAGACCTGGCAGATGGGGTTGAATCAATTTTCACCGAGTCGCGTTGAAAAGTGAAAGGTTCCTGCCTTCAGGTGATGGTATCTCGTAGAAAGCTCCTGCTCTTTCGTCACAAATGATGTCTCCCTTCATTTCCTCTCATCGTCTCCTCTGTGCTTTCTCTTCTCTCTCCGGAACCACTACCTCTTCAGCTACAACAAGGTCTCTACTGAAGAAAACGATCCCGCCGTCACCCAATACTTCATTCCTGACAAGACCTTTCCATTCCACACTTCTCAGGATGGCCTCCAATCCGGTCCTCGACTCCGAGAATATTTCCAAGGTCACCGAAGCCGAGAAGAAAGTCACCGGCTCTGACGAAGTGGTCAAAGGAGGTCCAACAGCTCAAGCCCAATCCCACGCTGGTGAGCCCATAAACTCCCAAACTCTGCACGACATCACGGAAGGCGAGAAGAAGACAACAGGTGGAGATCGTATCAAAGGTGGTCCAACGTCTACCGCTCAATCTATCCTTGCCCAAGAACGTAATGGTACTTCTCCCGACACCAAAAACACTCCAGCAACGGGCAGACTAGACAGTAGCACCATCTCCAAAATCACAGACGCCGAGAAAGGCCTCACAGGGTCTGGCAACCCTGTTGCTGGTGGCCCAACCGCTCAAGCCCAGAAGCATGCCAATGAACCCATCAACCATGACACCCTCCACGATATCACTGAGGGAGAAAAGAAGGTGACTGGTGGTGCCAGACCTGTTGCCGGTGGGCCGACTGCCACTGCTCAGAGCGAGTTGAACAAGAGTCGTTCTTGAACGCACCTCTCGAGGATGTGTCGTTCTCAAGACCGGGCATGGACCTCAATCAACACGATCAATGAACCTAAACTTCATCACGAGTGGGAACAAAGCCACTGTATCAGCACGTTACACAGCAATCTCTCGAGCCTGTCGCATGACAGGGTCACCAGCAGCAGAAAATATCTTATCTCAAAACCTCCATTAGATGGCACCTGTGTGTTGTAGCAAGCATGTATGTAAATGATCAAAGCATGAGGTGGCACACGTCCGCTGGATGATTAGTCTCGAGCCCGAGCAATGCATAACCCATTCTCGATTCCCATACCTTCTGGTTCTAAGCGACGTTCCATTGTGACGTTTTATCTTCAGGAAAGGAAGGCCGACTGTGCATTGGAGGATAATCCTCCGGGAGAGAATGCTCCATATGTCCGAGCCCGCAATTTTGAACAGGGTCAAGGTTATGGACAGAGTGGGAGAGCACATCAAGAGGCAGAGTTCTCTTGCTGTTAAAAGGCTACAGCGAGGTTGGCGTCCCCAGTGGTCCGTGCTCTATACTCTGACACTGCTTCGAAGATTACGCTCCGTCCTGACAGCCACAGCCAGCCCTTGTCTTCGGCTGATCTTGCATTCTGACCATGATACTCGTGGTCTTGGTCCACAGCGAAGAAGGTCGTCTGGACTGAGCGTGGATCCGTCAAACCCAAGACTCCCACTGCGTATGACCTAGTTGGTAATTGTTTCACACCGCACTTTGACCGAGATTTTATCCGCTGAACATAACCCGACGGGATGAGCGGGGTGTAAGCATATTCCTGCACAAGAAGCGCGTCAAACATGCTCCCTCAAGGTGCATGAAAGCAGGAGCAGGCGGTGCAAACTGGTCAGGATCAACGTCCATTCAGCGCTACTATCACTTCGGGAATGTGCTTGAGCAACTGCAGCTCTAGATAACGGAAGCAGATGGAACTCCTGGAACGTACAACTGGTGAATGGTTTCTTCTTCGCTGCATTTTCTGGAGGGTATGTACACTTGCGGCAACCATATATGATATTTCAACCGTTTGCTGGTCCAGCTGGCACACCTGAAAGGCCATCGGCGAGGCGTGACCAAAGCGGCAATTCTCTTAATAGCCCTCCTTTCCCCATTTGTTGAAGGCATCGTGAATGGCCTAGAACAAGCTATTAGATGGAGCCGAGCACAGAGATTGAAAAGGGACGTACCTTCGGTAAGGTCACATTCGGAACGACAACGGTGTTCAATGCACTAGGAGCATTCTTGGGGGCCTGGTTCTTGTCGCCCTTGGGGTGATATTGGTATTTAAAGTGCTTGGAATGGTCCTCGTGATCGTGGTCGATCTGCCAGGGCATCGAGCTGCTGGCGACTGAGACTTCGGCTTCTGAGGTCGCGGTGGTAGGCTTGCGACCAAAATAGAAGCCAGCAAGTCCGAATGCACCAGACATGACACCGAGGAGGATCTGGTAGACGTCAGAAACTGCTTCGCAGGGCGATCTGGCGGCCAGGACGGCATACATAAAGCTCGGGATCTCGGCGTGCGCCCCTCTTCAAAACTGCTTCATTGGCCGGGCCCGAAGCCGATTTAGCTGCACGGCGAGCTAGTGTTGCGACAAAAGCCATGTTGAGTGTAGCTGAGGCAAGGAGGTGGACGTGGGATGTTGCTGAAGTAGGTACACGATGGTGGTGTGAGTTGCGAATGATGCAAGTCGACTGACAGTCCGCAGTCTGCGTTCGATGCCGCTGAATTGGGCTTAGCTTCACTGCACTTACTGAACATATGCTTCGCCGTAACTGTGCTGACTCCAGATCAGCTGCGGGCTCGTCTCGGCTGTGCCCCTGAAGTCATGTTCGAATCTCGGAAATGCTCATCCGCTTCATTCTCCCTCACTTTCGCTCTCATCAGCCTGGCTAATGCTGCACCTTCACTTTACCTTCGCTGCCATGGCTTTCCCACTCATTCTACCAACTTGAAATAACCCCCAAGCAGCGACATAACCTGCCCTCTTCCTGTGCGACATACTGCGACCCGACGTCAGCGCCCTCGCCCTCGCCCTCCCACTCGTGCATCTCAGCCCACTGCTTCGATATGCACCTGACGTCGCACTCGTGACGCTATCCTGTACTTGTCTGCAATAATGGCGGCTCGGCCATCGACTGCTCGCAGCGAGATATCATCAGCCATATCCGAAGATGGCTACGTTTCTCGACCGCAATCTGGCGCCCCTCTGCCTGCCCTACCTAATCCGCCAGCGTCGCAGCATGGCTACGCCCATCTCAGAGGCATCACACAACCTACGAACCGCTCGATGAGAAGTAACGCTTCGCCGGCGGTCCCCGCTGCACCTTCCAGTACTACAGGGTCCAGCCGCCCGCAGAGTCCCGTCTCGCAGGGCAGTCGCACCCATGTTCCGTCATTGACCGCACAAGGCTTCTTTAAGCCCATGAGCTCTCAGAGATTGCAGGCGCAGAGACTAAGAAGACCTCCGGGGTCGAGGACGATGCAGAATCCGGCACCTATTCCAGACGGTGATGGAGACGAGGATGCGCGAAGTGTGGCGTCTAGTAGACAGGGCCCTTTCCATGCTATGCCTAGGAGTCATCGTCCAGCACCATCAATCACAACCGAGTACACCCAGTCAGAGGCACCAGACACTCCCGATGCTGCGTCTCCCGACTTTGCTTCTCACCACGAAGCCGACACGCAGCTAGTCAATGGCGCAACTGCCCAGAAACCACGCCGTCCATCCCGCCTTAACATCGCCACAACCAACAAAGCTGGCGAAGCTCCTCAGAAATCACCGCTGTCATTCCGGTCTGGCCTCAGTCTGGGCAGCAAACACCGGCTGGAAGCGGGCCATCAACAGCTATCCTCAAATGTCACTTCCCCAGCCTATCCTCCCGACTCTAATGCAGAGGTGGCTAAGAAGAGCGCTTTGGGCAAAAACTATGAGTATTTTGAAGGTAACACTATCTTTTGGCTGGGTGGGCGGCTTCAAAATGCTCGCGATCGTCCCATCAACATAGCTACAGGCGTGCTGTTGGTCCTTCCAGCTGTCCTATTTTTTGTTTACTCGTAAGTCGAAGGATTCTGAGGCAGCTCAGACGTGGACTGACGATTCCAGGGCGCCATGGCTGTGGCATCATGTCTCGCCCGCAGTACCAGTAATATTCGCTTACCTATTTTTCATTTGTCTATCTTCATTTCTTCATGCTTCTCTGGTTGATCCGGGAGTAAGACCAATCTGTGTATAGCTTCGTACTTGTTCTGATTGTGCACAGGTATTCCCTCGAAATATCCATCCCTTCCCTCCCGAGGAAAATAGTGACCCCCTCGCTCTTGGGCCACCTACTAACGACTGGGTCATGGTACGCTTGGCTACCTCACAAACAGCGGCTATGGATGTGCCGGTCAAGTACTGCAAGACCTGCAACATTTGGCGACCGCCTCGATGCTATCATTGTCGAGTGTGCGACAATTGTGTGGAAACCCTTGATCACCACTGCGTCTGGCTGAACAACTGTGTGGGCCGCCGCAACTATCGTTATTTCTTCGCCTTTGTCACCTCGGCAACCTTGTTGGGTCTTTACCTGGCTTTTGCCTCTTTAGGCCATGTGCTTGCCTATCACCGCCAAAGGAATGTCTCGTTGGGGACGGCAATAGACCGGAACCGGGTTCCGTTCGCCATGTTCATATATGGGCTATTAGGCTTTGCTTACCCGTTTGCATTGTGGGTGTATCACTTACTTCTTGTCGGCAAGGGCGAGACAACCAGGGAATATCTCGCGTCACGGAGGTTTCCCAAGGCTGAGAGACATCGACCCTTCACCCAAGGAAACTTCATCAAGAATTGGATCACAGTTCTGGCTCGGCCGAAGCCGCCGACCTATCTGCACTTTAAGAAAAAGTACGAGGAGGGCGATCAGCGCTTTGGTGCGCGGAGAGGGGATCGACAAGCAAAGTTGACTGCGGAGGCGAAGAACGGCGAAATGGAGATGAAGCCTGTCCAGGGTTCTCAAAAGACCTTCGAAGGTCCTACGGCGCGGACGTTCTCGAAGCAAGAGGCCCGATGAGCGTGTATAATAGTGTAATTGGCCTCGTGCCGGGCACCGGGTGTATCCCAGGCCGCGGAATGAAAGTCACATATTTCCACCACACGGACTGAGCACCGACTGAAACACGACAGGCATCGCTCAAGCCTGGTACGAGTACTCCGTATCAGCCTGCGGAATGTTATTGTGTTTGACGGCCGCTGTCCTGGCCGTGCAGCTGTAATTGGTGGAGCATCGGCATGTCGCCCTTGACATGGGGGCATAAGACCCGTTTCCCAATCTCGCACTCCCCTCTGATACTCCAGCCTCTTGTTTATCGCATCCTCCACACTGCTCGGGACACACGCGTATCTCAGTCGGTATCTGCTTCCAGACGGATATAGTCGTGTACAGCGGTTTACTTGCACGCTACCATCCAACTTTGACGCGTCGAACTCGCCGGCGTCCAAAGTCGGGCCCTGCCCGTGATAACAACAATGCCTCTCCGACAGACCCTACTCAACTTCTACCGGGGGCGTGTCGAGAACCCGAAACCTGCTACGCGCGACACCTCTGAATCACGACCGGTACTTGCCCGAACACTCAGCTCGGCCTCGTCAGCAACAGACCCAGACACGATAGTCGTGCTCCCCGATCCCCCGCGACAGCAACTCCCTACGCCGTCCGAGAGCTCGGTCGACGTGTCGGCACATGATGTGCGGGCAATGACCATGAAAGAAGTGCCGAAAGGCCGCGCACGACGCGTCAGTCGCCGTCTTGCAAACGACCAAAGTCAAGCTGGTCTGATTGAGCAGGTTCAGAGTGAGCTGGCCAAAGGTAGATCTGTCAGCGGCGAGACCTTGGTCAATTTGGACAATGCGAGCCAATCCACTCTGTTGAAAGAGGGTGTTGCAGCCTTGGATCTGCCCTGGAATATGAGTGGGGTGTTTACGGACGAATGCCGTGAGGATTTGCTGGCAGAGAAGCACGCCAAAGTCCACGAGGCCTCGCAAACGCTAGACGACACAGAAGACGCCGAGGATGAGCGCATACGCAGAGAGAAGGCGGCGGCAAAGAAAGCCAAAATAGACGAGAACAACAAGTTGTGGGAAAAACGACGCAAAGCCGCAGACAAACAGGCTACGAGGAGATCCTCAAGGGTTCCTGTCCTCGAGAAAGCTGGAGAACTCATGTCTAGCATTGCAAATAGCGTGCTCGGGAAGAGGAAGGAGCGCGCTGCAGAGCTTCAGGGCAGTCTGAGATCCAAAAGCATGGGCGGCATAGAGTCCACACCCGAAGAACCCATGCCAAAGAAGAGACGTGTCAGTGAAGGTGATGCGCCTGTTCCCGAAGAGCCTGTGCAAACCCGGCCACCCGCTCGACGACGGGAGAAGAAGTGGCTCACCTCAGGTCTCTATGCTGGTCAACCTAGAACCTTCGATGGGCGTCTGACCGAGAGCAAGAACAAGCGGAAGAGCACTACTGTCGCTGAGCCACCCAAGGAGAACAGAGTGCTGCCGCTGCCCATGTTCGCCGCAGAACGTGTCTTGAAGCAAGGTCGGGACTTCAAGCTCCCCTTCGACGTCTTCTGTCCCCTGCCGGCCGGCCAACCGAAGCCAGACGAGTGGAAGAAAGTCAACAAGAACGTCTTCGTGGGAGACGCCGCCCAGGCGTGGCGAGTAGACAAGTTCGAGGAGCACTCAAGCTGTATCTGCAAGGCCGAGACAGGCTGTGACCACAACTGCATGAATCGCTACATGTATTACGAGTGCGACGACAAGAACTGCGACCTGAGCCCCGAGCAATGCGGCAACCGTGCATTCGAGGGGCTCCGCCAACGGGTCAAGAAAGGCGGCAAATACAACATTGGAGTTGAAGTGATCAAGACAGAGGATAGAGGCTATGGCGTTCGAAGCAATCGCATGTTTGACCCTAATCAGATCATTGTGGAATACACAGGCGAGATCATCACGCAAGAAGAATGCGAACACCGGATGAAAAAGATGTACAAGAATAACGAGGTATGACGGCCCGCTGAGTACTTACTTCTGGACCTCACTGACCTGAATGCAGTGCTACTATCTGATGCTCTTCGATCAGAATATGATCATCGATGCCACACGTGGCTCCATTGCTCGCTTTGTCAATCACTCGTGCGAGCCGAACTGCAGGATGGAGAAGTGGACGGTCAACGGCAAACCGAGGATGGCTCTCTTTGCAGGCGAACGTGGTATCATGACAGGAGAAGAACTCACTTACGACTATAATTTCGACCCTTACTCGCAAAAGAACGTCCAGGAGTGCAGATGCGGCTCGGAGAAGTGCCGCGGAGTCCTCGGACCAAGACCCAAAGAGGACAGAAAACAGAAGAGCCCAGACGCCGAAGTCATCAAGGGTCGTGGCAAACTAGCCGGAGCGAAGAGAAAGCTCGCTGATGCTATAGAAGGCACGACAAGTCGAGTCACCAAGAAGATGAAGGTCTCTTCCACACGGGCGACCAACATTTCCGCGCGGAAAGTATCCAGTCCCGTCAAGGTTCAAAAGGGAAAAGTCCTTAGAAAAGTGGTGTCCAAGAAGACCAGCGCAACGGTGATTAGAGGATTGACCCGCCGACCATCAAAACTCAAGGCCCTCGTGGCTGCTGCCAAAGGCAAGACGGTCAAAGGAAGAGTGGTGTCCAACACATCTACGACAGCATTGATCGAGAAGGAGAGTCCCCAGAGGGCGGCGAAGACGCTGAGCAGATCGTCGAGTTTGCGGGCGAAGGCTTCAAGTGTCAAGAGCCGAGTGGTGAGAACAGTTCGAGGAGCACCAAGTGGGAAGGCCCGAAGCATCCGGCCTGTTGTAGGTGAAGATGAAGATGGGGACGAGGACGTGGAGATGTCGTAGGAAGAGTCATGTTGCAGGTGATGTTCTGATTAGCGAGGGCGCACATCGAGTTCGGATGAGAGCTGGATTAAGCGACGGAGGCATAGCATGGGAGATCCTGTTATTGCTAGGCAAAGGACGTGTGGCTCAGACGAGCTGCCTGTTCCAGATGGCGGACTTCTCCATGGATCAACAGCGGCGACAGTGGCAGAGCTCGTCGGTTGTGCGGAGAAGCTGGTGCAATGCCAATAATAACACGAGATGGTGCGTGCTCATGTGCCTTGGTAGGAAACTCCCTTTGCGTGTGCCCAGCACCGGCTTCGTCTTCATTCTGCAATCGAGCTTCAACGATGGGGGAACCCAATGCCACCAAGGACGGCGCACTATTCGCGTCGGTCATCAAAGAATATCGACCGGCCTTGAAACCATACGAGGATCTGTACAAGCACTGCCACGCCAATGGCGAGCTGTCGACACAGGAGAAGGAGACGGCCGCGCTCATCACCAACCATCTGAAGAAGCTCTCAGACGATCTAGACATACGCACTGGCATAGGCGGCCATGGCCAAGTCGCCATCCTCAAGAATGGCTCCGGGCCGACGATTCTGCTTCGAGCCGACATTGACGCCTTGCCCGTGCAGGAGAAAACAGGCCTCGACTACGCCAGCACGAAGACCATGCTCGACACGGACGGACTCGTCAAACCGGTCATGCACGCGTGCGGGCACGATTTCCACATCACATGCCTTCTTGCGGCGGCCGAAACCCTCATTGCGGCCCGCTCCAAGTGGTCGGGCACCATCGTCTTCCTGTTCCAGCCATCCGAGGAACGCGGGAGTGGTGCTCGTGCCATGGTCGACGACGGTCTCTACGCCTCGGACAAGCACGCCTGCCCCATTCCTGACGTCGTGCTGGGCCAGCACGTCTTCCCTCTACAGGCAGGCAAGACGGCCACCCGCGCCGGGCCCGTCATGTCCGCGGCAGACAGCTTCAAGATCACCATCTACGGCAGCGGCGGGCACGGCTCGATGCCCCATCGCACGATCGACCCGGTCGTCATCGCGTCGCACGTCGTGGTGCGCCTGCAGTCGATCGTGTCGCGGGAAGTCCCGCCCGACGAAACTGCCGTTGTCACCGTCGGCGCGCTACAAGCTGGGAGCACCGAGAACGTCATCTCGGACGAAGCGGTGCTCAAAATCAACATTCGCAGCGTGAGCGCCGAATGGCGCGAGAGAATTCTCGCCTCGGTCAAGAGGATCATCCAGGCGGAGTGTCTTGCGGGGAATTGCCCGAAAGACCCGCTGATCGAACAGACCTCGAGTTTCCCGCTGACGATCAACGACGACGCCGTCGCTGGCGAGATCAATAAATCGTTCACCGCCTACTTCGGCCCGGAGGCCCACGACCCTAACGTGAAGAATGTGCTGGGAAGCGAGGATTTCGGCATGCTCGGCTCAGCTATCGATAGGCCCTACTGCTTCTGGTTCTTCGGTGGTCATGATCCCGCTATGTACAAGGAGATGCAGGGGAAAGGCGAGGAGCACAAGATCCCCGTTAATCATAGTCCGTTTTTCGCGCCGGTCGTGCAGCCGACGTTGACCGTGGGGGTGGATGCCCTGGTTGTGGCGGCTCTGACTTATGTTGGGAAGAGGGGGTAGAGGGGGCAGAGGGGTTTATGATGAGGACTGTCTCGCGGAAGGGATACGGGTAAGACGGTATATTGTCACGATGCCCAGCTCTCCGTCTGGTGATAGCATGATGGGGGTGGGGGGTCCTGGGGATTGAAAAGAGCTGCGCTTGGTCGTGTTATGGTCCCACCGTATCATAGCTTGGCCTAACCTGCATCTAGAGTTCATGTTCCACCGTACTCGCACCTGGCTTCTGACCATTGTTCCCAGTCTTTTACTTCATTTCACTCCAGTATCCTCCCCAAATTGGCCTTTGAAGCCATGCAACCTCACTTTCTCCCTGGGGGACACAGAAGTTCGTTTGGAAGCGGCGGAGGTGTGTATGTCGCCATACAATCCTAGACTTCCCCACGGACTCAGCAGCGACATCGGCATCTGCGTTGCTCTCCAACTCGGAGAATGGCCGATCACGAACTTCCAGCTCGTTCGCTGCAAGCGTAATATGTGAGTGATAAAGACACAGCCAAGACCGTTCCCTAGCGACACGACAAGAGAATCCGTACCAAGACTCGAAGCCGTGGTCTATGAGATTCATGACCCAGGCAGCTCGTAGACTAAGAGCAACCGCGAGCATCTTGTCCCAACCTCCCCACAGCACATCCAGCTTCAGCACCGCCGAAACCGCGTCATCATCATCATCATCCTCGACAATGTCGTCTCCCTCGGGTGTCAAACTCGCCGTCCTCGACGACTACGCGGCCATCTCGTCGCCGCACTTCCAGCCGCTCGCGTCGCAGATCCAGATCGACTCGTTCCCTCAGACTCTGCAGGCCCGAGTCCCGTCCGAGCATGACGCCCTGGTGGCCCGACTGAAACCATACACGATCATCAGCACGATGCGCGAACGGACGCAGTTCCCGCGGTCGGTGCTCGCCGAGCTCCCCAATCTCAAGCTCCTGCTCACGACGGCCATGAAGAACGCGGCCATCGACACCGCGGCGTGCAAGGACCTCGGCATCACCGTCGTGGGCACGTCTCCCAAGCGCAACGCGACCAAAGGGTACGACGCCACCAACGAGATGACGTGGGCTCTGATCCTGGGGTTGGCCAAGGACGTGGCGCGCGGCGACGCCGTCGTGAAAGGGCCCTCGCCCGCCGCGTCGAACGACCCGAACGCCCACGTCGGCGGATGGCAGACGACATTGACGTTCGGGCTCGCGGGCAAGACGCTGGGACTGCTCGGGCTCGGCAAGCTCGGCACCCAGTGCGCGGTCACTGGACACCTAGGCTTCGGGATGAAGGTCATTGCGTGGTCGTCGTCGCTCACGCAGGACAAGGCCGACGAGGCGGCCCAGCAGCGAGGATTGCCCAAGGGCACGTTCCGCGTGGTGGGGAGCAAGAAGGAACTGTTCGAGCAGGCAGACGTGTTGAGCGTGCACTACGTCCTGTCCGACCGGTCACGGGGCATCGTGGGCAAGGACGAGCTGAGCAGCATGAAGAAGAACTCTCTGCTCGTGAACACGTCGCGCGGGCCCCTGATTGACGAGGCCGCGCTGGTTGAGGCGCTCGAGGCGGGCAAGATCCGCGGCGTAGGGCTCGACGTCTATGATGTGGAACCCTTGCCCAAGGAGACGCCCTGGCGGCGGAGCGGGTATTGGGGCGAAGACGGTCGGAGCACGGTGCTGGTGAGTCCGCACATGGGCTATGTCGAGGAGGAGACCATGCATGATTGGTACGAGCAGCAGGCTGAGGCGATCAAGGCGTGGCTTAACAAGGAGGAGATCAAGGGGATCATTCAATGAAGAGGATGGACGTGATGTGATGAAGATAGGAAAGAACCAGGATCACAGATTCAAGACGATATCTAACAGCAGTCTCGGAAATTGGGGCGTGTATGCCGTTGCCCGAAATTGCCACACCGTGAGTCTAAGTGCTAATCAATGCAATGGATGCCGGCCGTGCGTGCGTGCGATGCGCGGACGAATGAATGCCCACATGCCTTTCACCACGCTATTTCCCAGTACCTAAGAAGTCCGTCCGCCTGGTCAATCTCTCGCACCCATCCCACTCCTCTCATCATAAGCTGTCGTCGTTCTTGATCTGCACCTTGATGGCCCCGCTTTTCGGATCGCTGGCCGTCTTGAATGCCTCGATCGCGTCACTCATGTTATACCGGTGTGTGACCAGCTTCTCCAGGCTGATCACTCCGCTCTCCACCAACCGGATCGCCTTGGGCCACGTGTTGCTGTACCGGTACTGATACTGCAGGTCGATCTCCTGGGTCGAGAGGCGCATGAACGGGATCTTCATCTCGTTCTTGCCCACGCCGATGATGAAGACTTTGCCGCCGAACTTGACGGACCAAATGGCCGCATTGACCGACGACTCGACGCCCGTGCATTCGATGGCCACGCGAGGTCTGATCCCGCCCATGGCCTCGACAATCTGGTCGGCACACTCCTCGGCCGACTTGCCCATGGGCACCTGGAACGTCGACACGCGCGGGACGAGCTCCTTTGCAAACTTCAGCCTCCCAGCGTCGATGTCGGTGATCAGCAGCGGAGACGCCCCCGCCGCGGCACAGCACAGCAACGACACCAGCCCAATCGGGCCGGCGCCGCATATCAGGACCGGATCTCCCAGTCGGACGCCTGCGCGGTCCATCCCGGCGAGCGCCACGGACAGGGGCTCCAACAGGCTGCCGTTCTCGTAGCTCATGTCGCCGATCTTGTGGCACCACGCGGCCGGGTGCTTGACGTACCGGCGCAACAGGCCGTCGACGGGCGGGGTGCTCAGGAATTCGACACTCTCGCATCCATTGTACCGTCCCGTCAGACAGGGCTCGCACTGGAAACACGGAATGTTGGGCTCGATCGCCACTCGGTCCCCGGGCTTCAGCGTCTTCACCGAGGGGTGTGCACTGAGGACCACGCCCGCGGACTCGTGGCCGAGGATGTGGTCGGCCGTCACGATCATGGGGCCTATACAGCCTGCGTGCCAGAAGTGCACGTCCGAGCCACAGATCCCGGTGCTCTTGACGCCGATGTAGACTTCCCCTTCTTTCAGGTCCTTGCCCGCTTGGACGTCCTCGAGCGAGGGCGACGCGTCTGCGACCCAGAGGTCGTGGTTGGGATTCGTGAAGACGCCGATGTTGGATTTCGAGGCCACAGTCTCGGAGGCGGCGTGGGTGCCATTGGTGCCGTTGGTGATGGACATTTTGTCGGTGATCGTCCTTCTTTCGACAGGGCAGGGCAGGTCAGGACAGGACAGGACGAGCGATGGGGGGGACTTGGAAGTCTCTCAGCTAGAAAGGAAAGAATCGTAGACTGTACACTCCCTCAGGAGAAAAGACACAGACAGTAAATGAAAGAATAGAAAGTACTCTGTACTTAGTGGCTAGCTGGCAACCGGGCGGTGCTGGAGATTGCACAAAAACTTTCACAAGGTCATCTTTTGGCACGGGGTTGCGATTTCAACCGGCCACCTGTTTCCTGCGTTTGGTGACTCCCGTGTGTACACAGTACCACAGTAGTCGTAGAGAGACACGGGCACTGCGCAGTCACTCTCCGGGCCTGTTCCGGGTGAATCCAACCCCACTGACGTCGCGGGGCGCGGGGCGCTGGGCGCTGGGATATCCGACACCGGGAAATCACCATTTTGGGGGACCTCCGGCCGCATCCCTCGGTGTGTGGTGCGGTGACACCAGCCAGAGCAGTGGCGAGCAGTGGATAGAGCAGTGGCATGCCGGACCTTGGCGGACTGGCATGCAGCATGTGTCGGCGCTTCTCGGGCCATGTTCCTGCCGGGTGCCGCGCAGCCACAAACCCACCGTGCCACCACAGGGCTGCAGCCGCAGCCACGGCCTTGTGCTTGCCTTGAACTGTGGCTGTGCGTCTCGAGTCACGGCACTGTACTCACACACTCAGTAGAATCAACCTTATCCGTAATTGTCTGCACTGTCATCAATTCAATGGCACTCTCTTTGCATTCAACACGACGAGTCAATTTGGTCTGCCCAGGCCGTCGAGAGTCGCGTCTCTTCTCTTCAGGACTGACTACAAAGATCGCTGGTGCAACATCGAGGGGTGAACAACAGTACCTGGCTGACTCGAACGGCTACAAATATGTCTCCTTGTTAAGTTGAGTTCACGCTTGTCTGAGTCTCACTTCTGCCCCACGGTCCATGCTATGCTTATGTTGCAGATATCATGCGGCCTGCATTAGACGGTGAGATGCTTTTGTCTTGTTGTCATCGCCCCCATGGTAATGCAGTCGGTGGAAGTTCTGCCATCAGGAACACCGACGAGACATACTGCAGGCTATGTGCAAGGGCTCCACTACTTCAAACTGAGCCACGCTTCCTCGACTTCGCTGATGAACTGTCTCATGTTCCTGTCCCGAGGGCTAAGTCATTGAGAGAACCACTTCTGGTGGCTATACAGATGACAACGACAGCCTAGCGGAAATTGTTACGAAGATGCCGGGAACGCCATACATACCGTCGTCACTGAACAGGAACGGGCATGCTTGACTACAAACGTCGACGTGAAGCAGCGGTGCCAAGTGACCCAACCCTGACAGCACAGCACAGCACCGCACAGCACCGCACAGCACCGCACAGCACAGCACCGCACAGCACAGCACCGCACAGCACAGCACAGCACCATGTCAGCGACAAGCCAATTAAGTCCCTTCTCGTTTTCGAGTGTGACAATCGTGACTTGTGAATTGGGACCGGCAGCTCAGCGACAGTGACAGTAGTAGCGACAGTGACAGTAGTAGCGACAGTGGCGACCGCGATCATCGAATATTTAGATCTACTCCGCCCTGCCTCTTACCCTCCCGATCTCAATCTTGTTGTTGATACATCGGCAGATGAAGACCGTTCTACTTTCCAGGACTAACCCTTCCGCATACTACACGGCTCGAACACAATTCAAACCCATCTGAACAATGAACCCCTTCAAGAAACAAACAGCCGACACCTCAAGCATCACCTCCAGCCAAGACTACTCCATCGCCGAAGCAAAGGCCCAAACCCGCGAACCGACTGCCACCCCTGAACCGACTAAGGGCGGGCTCGAATTCTCCATCCCCGCCAGATCAGTGCTCCGGTCCCTCGACCAATGCTGCGACGTCATCACCATAGTCGCGCACAACCCGACCACCCGATTCATCGCCTTCCTCTTGGAGGGCTGGGATGGCCAAGATTTCCCCTGGTCCGCCTCAAAGTCTCACAAGGTGACCTTCTACCACGACATGGTGGCCGAAGGAGCGGGAGAAACGCAGAAGCAAATACTCTCCAGGTAAACCCTCACCACAGAGTGCTTCACCCTGGATTTAGGGCGCGCGGGCCTCATCGGCCGGATGAGGCAATGGTGGACTCTCTTCAAGGACTGGGAGATGAGAACGCAGCTGTGGAACGTCGCACCGGGCGAGACGCGCAAGATCTCCGTGACCAATACCTTGACTCGGTGGGCTGGGTTTTCGGAAAAGGAGAAGGGCCTGGTCAAGCTCTTCAAGCGGAAGACATATGCCGTGGAGTTGTACAAGGATTTCACGGCTGAACAGTGGCGAGATCCGGACTTTCGAAAATGGCTGAACCCGCGCTGGGAGTGTCCGCGAGATGGCCAGTGTGGGTGTTGTACAAACACGGGAGGCGTGTGTGATTAAGTGATGCAGCCGCGGAGGTGTCTTGATGTCCCAGCATCACAACATTGTGGTGTCACCTTTCTGCAGGGGGAAACGTACAGCGACGACTGAGGACAGCTATGGACGATGCAACGCTGCCTCTTAACACTCGCAAGGGTTTTCGACAGTCTTATGACATCTGACAGACGACGACATTAGTGACGAGATCTGCCGCGCATACTCAGGATGAGGATAGCGACCTGCTCTTGCTGGCCGCTGGCAATCTGGGAGAGCTTCCGCTGGGATGGCGTTGCACCACACATTGGAAGACCCAGCAATGCATACCCTGACGGAACTGAGCATGCTTTTGACAAACAGTCAAATCAGATCTTGGACGAGAGTGGGTTCCACTGGGGTTGGTGAGCTTGCCGTGAATCAGATACATCCTCCTCACGGCCTTTGAGCCTGACAGCGGCAGAGCGCAAACGGTACACCGAGTAGGCAACGGAGGTCATGGAAGTAATAATATCTGTTTCGACGTGCGTCGGCACTGGCCCCAATCGATGCTTTGGTCTGCTCCGCCTGGCTCCACGGCATATCGGCTACCCGTACCCCTATTCCCCTGCGTCTTCAGGTACAAGCCCACCCAACACTATGCCGTATGAACGCTCATGGTTCCCGGCTCATGGTTCGTTTGCATACTCGTCATCCAATCCCTGGACGTGCTCCGAAGTGTAGCTATTGATCTTGTCGTACGGTGGCTCGATCGTCCAGATGAGATCGAATCTGTGCCGAGAAGCAAATATGCATGCCATATCAGCCTTAAGCCTTGCCACGTAAGGCTGGGGGGTAACGCCGCGAAACGACGCCGGGCTTGCGTCGAAAGAAATTGCACGGAAAAAGCAACCGAACCCACCCATGCAAGAAAGTCCCCTCCCCAGAACATGGCCAAGACAGCACATAAGAGGAAAGGGCTGAACAGACAAAAATTCAACTCACCTCTTCCCTGGGTAGTCAGGGACCTTGTCCACGCCCAGCACGGCCGCGATCTTCTCCAGCGCGTCATGTTCCCAGCAGATCAGGACGTTTCCCTGGTGGTTGTCGCCGCCGTCGCCGCCGCCGCCGCCGTGGACCTTGCCCTTGATGTAATCGTGCACCGCGTCCTTGACCTTGTCGACGTGATCACGCTCGATGGTGAAGTTGAAGGGCACGCCGTACTGCTCGAGCGACTCGGCGAGCGGTTTGACAGTCAGGTAGGGGCGGTCTTGTTTGCCGTCTGCGCAGGGCAATACCATACGAGGCGTCAGAGTAGAACATTCAGGGCAGATCTGAAATCGATATGGGGTTCCACAGGGGCATGTGCATATTTCGACTACAGGAGATCAATCAATCAAGGAATAACTTTGGTAATGCATATCTGGACCACGGGAGGTCGATCGATCTAACATTGCCAATAGTGATATCCTGTTTTGCGAGGAAACTTACGCTTCTTCGGCTTCTGAGCGAGGATATACCCGATGTTGTAGGGGCTGTTGCGTCCAAAGACCTCGACCAGCGCCTGTGCGCGGTCGACACCCTGTTCTGAGAGACCGGGCCCGTCCTCGCCGTCGGGCTGCTTCGGTGGTTTCTCGCCATGGCGGATGAGGTACAAGGTGGGAGACTTGTCAGGCTATTGGGCGTTAGCAGGTGTGAGCGTCAAGCGAGCCAATGGCATTGCTAGGGAACCTCGCCGGGAGCAATACATACTCACCATATTGTCTGGATCGACGGTCAATGGTTTGGCAATAGCAGGTTAGTATCTTTGTGGCAGTATGGCACGCGACAGCCTTTTTATAGGCAATAATTTGTCGTCGTTGACCGCGGGTGAGTTATTCGTCTCTAGACCTGGTCAACATGGATCTCTGCGGGTGCCCCGCAGCTGTGGCTGCAGGTGATACGAGATGGGAGCGTAGGACAACGGTGTGCTGACGAGGTGCACCATTGCTGCTTGCGGAGGCTGGCATTTCAGCTGAGTGTGTGTGCGTGAGATACTCGTGTCACATGGAACGTGATTCGCGCTTGGTTTGCATGTTCGTCTCGTTTGTTCTCAACCCACCTCGAGTTTCAGCTCAGCCGGGCGTGTGAAGATGTTTCTGTAGACGTGCGGGCTGGGGAGCTGAGATATCACTTCCATCAGAAACGGTCACATGGCGATCGACCGTAGTTTTAATACTGTGCCGCTCTAAGTCTCGGCGGTATGAAAACGCGGCCATTCAGGAGATTTTGCAGCATGGGCGAGTCATGGCGTCAATGCTCGGGCACCTTCTTTTGGCGAGCCACTCCCAGTACTGTTGCTCCATCATTGTATACGAGGCATGGTTACAGACTCTCCTGTTGTGAAGTATCTCAGGAAGATTTGAACGGTGGGAATCGTGTTCCGCGTTGAAGTAATTGGCCGACGGTTCAGAGTCCCTCACGGTGTTGACTTCGAGCGGTGAGTCGTCGAATAGCCAGTGAAGAGCCTGATATCTAGTCGTTATGTTAGCGAGCAGGGCATCACCATTGCACGAGAAGAAATGCCCGGGAATCGAGGGTCGTCCATGTGTCTTTCTTCAGCCGTGGCTTTATCAAACGACTTAAAGGCAGACGAGATTGATGGTCGGACAATCAGGTTGTAGAGACGATCAAGGTTGTAACTTGCTTGACTGGTGAGCGTGTGCGAAACGAGTCTGTGTGCGCGCGCAGTTGGTATGTAATGAATGATCGCTGGGGTCTTGCGTGATAGAACGCAGTCAGTCCTCGAGTTGATTGATACAGCTCGCCCACTGACAAGCAACGACCCTCTCAACGACCTTCGTTGTAGCGCAGGAGGTAACCGTCGACACCGCCAAGCACAACCAAACGTCGGTGAATGACTCGAACAAACCACGCTGTGGCCCGGGGTGCGACCCTCGCGATTCAAGAGAAACCGATAGAGGACCAAGCTTTTCGGAGACGGAGCCAAGCACAATGCTTGAACGTCAAGCGGCCAGCCTGGAGTCCGGCTCCGTCACTTCGGCTCCAGCACCATGAACCACTGCCGGATGCAACGCTGATGATCCTCAGCGTGACGGTTGTCAGCTCCGTGGGATTCGCCCAGATACTGTGGGATATCCCTCCAATCGACGCCCTCGGCGCTATCTCTGCAGAATTTTCTTCGAACCCCGAACTGAAGCTGGTCTGGAAGTGATATGCAGGGCTTACGCTCCTCTAGGCAGGTCATCGCGGGCACACGACCTCTGAGATCACCCCGCTACGAGCCCGCATGTGGCAGGAATAAATACACTGCTGTACGCCGTGGCGCTGGCTTGGGTGTGGGCTCTGCGCGTCTCACGAGAAGCAGCAGTGGTTTTCGCCTGGGTCACCAACGTATCTGAGCCGTGCATAGAGACAACCTCGACGATGGCATCCAAGGCGTTCGACGACGAGAAGGGCGTCAACGTCCCCGCTAGCCCAGTCTTGGGATCCGACGAACCGCAACTCCAACTCTACAACAACACGATCATACGGCAGGACGATGGCATTCTTTCGCGACTCCGACGGCTCGAGGCGCGCCTGGACGAGAAACTCGGCGTGGAAAGCGAAGCCATCGACCGCAAGCGGGCCGAGGACAAGAAGCCCGTGCCGTGGCACGAACAGCTGACCATGGCGCTGCTGTGGGCGTCCGGCACGATGAACACGTCCTGCTTCGCGACCGGCTTCCTCGGCTGGGAATTCGGACTCTCGCTCAAGCAGAGCATCCCGATCTACATCCTCGCCAGCATCCTGGGCGGCGCCGTGACGGGCTACTGCGCGACGTTTGGCGCGGCGACGGGCCTCCGCCAGATCAGCGTGTCGCGGTACAGCTTCGGGTGGTGGCCCAACAAGCTCATCGCCGCGCTGAACACGGTGCAGCAGATCGGCTGGGCGGCCGTGTCGTGCATCACGGGCGGGCTGGCCCTCAACGCCGTGGCGGACGGCCACGTGTCGCTCGTGCTGGGGATTGTCATCTTGGCGATTGTGGCGCTGGCCATCTCCTTCGTCGGGCTGAACGCCATCCTCGTCTACGAGCGGTACGCGTGGTTCATCTTCTTCGTCATCTTCATGATCATCTTTGGCGAGACGGGCCGCCACGCCGACAACACGACGCCTTCGTCGCTGCACGGCGCCGACCTCTCCGGCACGGTGCTCTCGCTGGTCGCCATCGTCTACGGCTCCAGCGCGTCGTGGTGCACCATGGCGTCCGACTACTACGTGCACTACCCGGCGCACGTGTCGCGCGTCAAGGTCTTCCTCATGACCATGTTCGGCATCTCCATCCCCACGAGCATCGGCATGGTGGCCGGCGCGGTCGTCGCGTCCGCGCTCAACAACAAGCCCACGTGGGAGGACGCGTACGAGAACCGGGGGCTCGGCTTCCTCATCCAGACGATGCTGCATCCACGCGGGTTCGCGAAATTCCTGCTCTGCCTGCTCGTCCTGTCCGGCATCAACACCAACGTCATCTCCATCTACAGCGCGGCCATCAGTTGCCAGCAGTTCGCCCGCCCGTTCGCCCGCGTGCCCCGCTTCATCTGGACGTTCCTGTGCTTTGCCGCCATCCTGGGCATCGCCGTCGGGGGGCGCGAACAGCTCAACACCTATCTCGTCAATTTCCTGTCCCTGCTCGGCTACTGGTGCACGTCGTACTTTGTCATCCTCTTCTCCGAGCACGTCATCTTCCGGAAGCGCGATTTCGCAAACTACGACCTCGACGGCTGGAACGATCCGAGCAGGCTGCCTCTCGGCGTGGCTGCCGGCACGGCCTTTGCCCTGGGCATCGTCGCTTGGGTGATGGGCATGGTGGAGACGTGGTACACGGGCCCGCTGGGCAAGCTGATCGGCGCGTATGGAGGGGATGTGGCGAACGAATTCGCCTTTGTCGTCACAGCCGTGGTTTACACACCGGCGAGGTACCTCGAGTTGAAGTACTTCGGGCGGTGAGCAGTCGCCATTGAGGAAAGCAAGAAGATATACCTTACGGCGGAAGTACTGGGTGTACGAATCCACAGCTTGCTCCTTGGGAGGACGGAAAATATATATCTTCTACACGACCAGGCGTCCAGCGCTATTCCATTCCAGAACTCCGCCGAGGTTCCATTCCTATGTGATGCATACAATTACCAGTTGGCCGGTGAGCTAACTTCTCCAAGTTCGTGCGCCGGTAGATCCGGCTACAAAGTCTGTGCGCGGGCTTATTTAGGCAGGCCAAACACCGTAAGACCAGTGCTCGGCGTCTGAGATCAGTAGCTCAGCAAGACCAGGTCCAGCGGCCCAGTTCACGACTTTGGTGAAACCGACAGTGGACCAGTATGTGAAGGTGGTGTTCTTCGGAATGAAAGCGAGGTCGCCGAAAATCAGTTGTGCTGACTCGCCGTCAATCTCCAAATCCAACCGGCCTTCTGTCACCTGGAATGCTTGGTCCACGGCAAAGGTCACTTGCGACTGCTTGCAACCTGGCTTCATGGCAATTGTGGAGACGCTCAATTTGTTGTTCGTCTGATTCATGGACGCCAGCTGGGCAACAACTTGACCGCTTCTTCGATGCAGGTATTTGGGGCCGCGGTTGCTGGAGATGAAGTAAGCTTGGCGGGGGTCGTCTGGTAAAGATTGGTCGGCGACATGCCAGGTACTCAAGCCGTTGGGCGTGGTGCCATTCACCCAGTCCATATTGATGGTGTTGAACGGCTCAGGCACAATATTGTACTGTGGCATCAGCCCTAGAACCTTGGTGACGTTGAGCTGTGGAGAGCCTTCTGGGTTGAAGGGTGCATGCGAATCGTAGGAGTTCCCAGCCGCGGCGAAGAACTGATCGATGCCGCCAGGAGCCATACCGAGAGTAAGTTGGAAATCCAGGTCATTGGGTCGATAGGTATGGTTGTTACCAGGAGCAAGGAATACAAAGTCATTGGCACGCAGCTCTCGACCGGTGTCGGCATTGTGGAACACCTGCACGCTGCCCTTGAGGGTGTAGAATGCCTCGACTTCTTTGTGATGATGGATCAGGTTTAGGGGTGCCGGGCCTGAGTTGACCCCGACGAGTGAGAAGGCTCCGCCCGTCGTGGTGTTGGGGACAAGCGTGCGGATGATCAAGCCACCAAAGTCAATGGCTTGGCCTTGCAGATTCGGCAGAACATAGGGCTGAGCCGTCGTGGGGGCGGAAGTGACCACCAGACCATTTGACGATGCTGGAACGGCGGGCGCCGAAGACAAGGCAGCTGTAAGAGATGTCGCCAGATGGAGGCTGGAGCTTGCTCGCATGTTGCCGGGTTGTAGGTCACTGTCTGGTGTGGAGAAGAGCAACCCCTGGAACGCGGTCTGCAGGAAATTGGTGAGGTGCATGGTACTCGGGCAGGTCTGTTTGCTCAGGAGGTGCCGCTGGCTTGACCTGGAAGGCGGGCTCGGTGCACACGGCCACAGACACAAGTCAAGATATGATATACCACTGGACCTGGACGTGTCAGCAGCAGTTGATCCGTCAAGTGATACGTATTTGACCAGACGGTGAGCCATGACTCGTAAGCTGATGTGGGGACCGAAACCAAGCCTAGCACTCCGTAGGAGTCTGAACCATCCAGGATCAGGTTAGCCACCATCGGCGCTGGAGTCCCAGAGTCATGCACCTGACCGACGCAGCAAGTGACTGACTACTGTAGGAGCAGAATCGAAACGATCCGAGCCGGTGCTTCCATGCTTCCGCCACTGTCAACCACCGTACCTGGTTTGGCACATCCGCATTCCACGGTGGTCGACACTGCGACAGGCGCATATCGCAGCCTCAATGGTGTCGAGATGATACTACTGGCCTCACCTGCGAAGCATTGTACCCGGTAGACGAAGAATAAAATTACATGTTGAGTGTGCTGGATTGATCACGCCCTGAGTTTGAGCTTTGATGAGGGTCGGCCTGACGAGTAACCCGCAGGCAGCCGCTTGTCGGCATGGAACATCATCATTCCGGGACGATTCATCACACGCCACCCATGCCAACCAGGGAGTGCCAAGGGCTGGGAATCGGGACTAAAGTCATGTCGCCCTATCTTCACCATCGGCTCGTGCAGTTTCGCGGTGACCTCACCCTTGACTCACTCGCTGTTCCTTCCTGCCTGAGACCCATGACCTACCCTTCCTCTTCTAGGCGTTGAATATAGCAAAGAGAATCCATTCGGGCATTGCTGGGCCAAGTACTGTGTCAGGCGGACGTTTTCAATAGGCAAACATGGAACCCCAACTCAGGAGCGGATGGCATTGGTTTGATATTCTCATCGATGGAGGGGAAATCGCTATCGAACTGAAGTACAAGTGAAAGTATCTCACAGGCTACGATGGCACCTCGAACAGAGTGGTGCGTGTCCTGCGACGCCTGCCCGGCATGGGAGTGAAATGGATCATCCGTCTCCTGTTGAAAAATCTCGGTCCTGGACAGATAACCCCAGTGTTGGGCAGGAGCCGACTCTTCAGGCTTGGCTGCTACTTGTTCCTTATCGAGTAACACAGTATAGGTGTGTCGGTCTATAATTATTCCACGCGGGAGTAGTGCTTATAGTAGGGCTCTATACCAACTTAGAGTTAGCAACATAGAGTAGATATGTAGTACCAATCGGAAGCTGTTTTAGTGGAGCCAGGGCCGGAGCCGTGAGAGCGGGCTCTACGGCTGGATTCGAAGGATTGCGAGCTCGAGCTTCCTCCCTCCACTTCACCGACGGTTGGGTACTTGCCCTCAGAGGGAACGAACCGACGTTCCCAATCTCCGCATCTTTGACGCCCAGTGATAGAATTGTGTTGCTGAACCACGGTCAGATTCTGCTCAGCCATCAAAAGTTCGGCTGGCTCGGAGGACGTACAAGATAGGACTCCAATCCCGGACGTACTCAAGGCAGACTGCCAGTCGATCTTGACTTTCTTTGAACTTCGGATCACTCTTCGGGATGTTGAGGCCCCAGTAGATTGACGCTTCTTTTCCTCGAAGTTGAACAGTTTGTTGTTGACATCGTCACCGGCTCCCGCCTTCTGTGGCATATACACTAGAACCCGACGCAGTGAGTAACTCGTAATCGCCGAGAGAGGCAGCAGAATGGCATACAGGCATAGTAAAGGCTTGCGCCTCTGTCGAACACCATCAGAGGGTGGCTATGAAGCACCTCCGGCAGTTGCGTCAGCTTCTCGTGCGATAGAGTACCTCTTGCGACATAGGTGGCATGTGCGTCAATGGCCACCAGATTGTTCAGGCCTACTTGCTGGTTGATCTAGCTCACCGTCAGAGTAGGGGACGTCTGATGGGACCGGTTCCAACATACTCGGGAGCCACTCCCGTGGGCAGCAACGAGGATGTCACAGCGGTCCGAGGAGCCGTCTGTGAAATGCACCAGCACTTTCTCCCTGTCGGTGGCTTCGGTATAGATCTCATAATGTGAGAAGCTCCTCTCGAAGCGGACGCAATCGTGTGCCTTGATCGGATCCAGTAAGAAATTCCTCAGCACCACTCGGTTGATCGCACTCGACTCGGTATAGTTGGGCAATGTACCGAGATCCAAGAGCGGTTCGAACGAGGAGTTATGTATGTAAGGAGCAGTGAACGTCTTATTCCCCTTAGCAGCATCGTTTCTCTGTCCGAGCTTGGCCTTGATTTGAGCCATCAGTTCAGCGGAGAGGCAACTTCGGAAACCGATCAGACTTGGTTCTCCCAATCGGATCTAATAGCCTTCTTTTTCGGTGGTCGCTCGATCCCTCTCGTAGACGGTTGCATCGATCCCGTCTCGAATAAGGCCGTTCGCCAGGAGTGCCCCGGAGAGGCCGCCACCAATAATGATAACCCTAATGCCTGGCATGGTCGAATGCGCCTCAGAACTCAACTGGAAAAGTAATTAGCTGGGTCACAACGGGTGACGGTTATATCGCGATAGACCATGGTCATCCTGGGCTTTGGCTTTTCAAACCGCTAGCCGAAATAGAGGTACTTTCGCAACACATCCCGGCATCCCGAAGAAAAACAGGACTGATGTCGTCGGATCTGGCTCGTCAGCCTTTCCGAACATGCTCCATATCTGAACGCCCCAACGAACCTCTGATGGATGTGGAGAAGCGGAGCACTGGAAATCCCCTACTTCCTAGGGCGAGTGAACATCCGGAACGGTAACCAGGATCCCGATGCGCGCGAAAGACATGGTGCCTCGGGCTCGAGCAGTCGAATTGTGCGAGGGTTTCGGTCTGAGTAAGCTCGTGCTAGCAGGAAAACACAAGCGATCGAACAAATGCATCGCCAAGAAGCAAGATTGCAAGGGGTAACATGCGTTCCAATTTCAAATTCCGCATCACGGTGTCAGGTCTTTCAGGTCGTGCTTCTGGACACACGTCCACCGTGGGACTCTCTGCAAGACAGGCTTAACTGTGCTCCGGGACGTCGGCTGGATTCCAACCACCCGAGTTCCACAACCGACAGCGACTGAACCTCGGAGGGAGATTTCTCTTCTCGTCAACGATACTCAACCGGTGTCGTTTTCACGACTGGCGACGTAACAAGTACACTTATGGGTCCTTACAAAGCATTAGTGGCACGCGGTCCAGCCCGTGAAGGTCAATGGAGGCTCGAGTCGGTTACCGCCCGTGCGCTTCGAGAAGACGAACTCCTCATTCGCATAGTGGCCACGGGCATATGCCTCGCCGACCTTCATCTTGGTGATGTCGCGCAAGGAGCTGGTGGCCATCCCAGAATATACTACCCGAGAGTACTCGGTCACGAAGGTAAGAAGCACAACCCCAATCAAGCTACTCTTTGGCATCATGGTCATGCTAAGGCTCTATATCGCGACAATGGCAAGCTGATTTTGGCAATTCTCCTCCCAGGGTCTGGCTATGTGGATGAGATTGGCAGTGCCGTGAAAGGGTTCCAAGTGGGAGATGCAGTTCTCCTGTCCTTCAATTCATGCGGCCAATGTTATAGCTGTCAGGAGGACAAGCCTGCACTTTGCATCCACAGTGACAAGTTGAACTTCGGTGGAGATGAAGGGGTCTATGCCACTGAAGGTAGTACCGATTTCAAGATTGGAGGCTCTTTCTTCGGCCAGTCGAGTTTTGCTAGTCACGCCGTGGTCAAAGAGAGGTCCGTCGTGAACCTGCAGGGTCTGATCGACAGTGACGAAGACTTGAAAATGCTTGCGCCGCTTGGGTGTGGCGTACAAACGGGAACCGGCGCGATCATCAACACGGCCAACGTGCAAGCAGGTCAAGACGTGGCCGTTCTCGGTGTTGGTGGCGTGGGTCAGAGTGCAATCATGGTGAGGCTCCTCCTGTCGAGAATATCAACGACCACGATGTGCTCACCCAGCCTCTAGGCCGCGAGAATACGCGGATGCCAACGAATCATCGCTATTGATCGCGTGCCAGCTCGCCTGCGACTGGCCCAATCTCTGGGCGCGACCCATGTGATTGATAGTTCCAAGGAAGATGATCTGGTGGCCGCAGTGCTAGGTATAACAAAGGGTGCAGGCGTGCATGTGTCTTTGGATACCACAGGGGTGTCTGCATTGGCGAGAGAGTCGTATCGATGCGTACGCCGTGGTGGCAAAATCTTACAAGTCGGCCTTGCAAAGCAAGAAGACAAATGGGACATATCCATGCCAGTCCACATGAATTCAGGCAAACAAATTATCGGCTGTGTTCAGGGCGACGCAGTCCCACAAGAGTACATCGCGAAGATGATAGCATGGTTCAAGGCTGGCGAACTGCCCCTTCAGCATTTGGTCACCTTCTACGAAGTCTCGAATTTCCAGCAAGCTATCGAGGATATGCGAAATGGAAGGACGACGAAGCCTGTCCTGGTTTGGCCAGAGGTAGTGGGTAGAGATTAGCAATGCCACGCGTATGTAGCAGAAAGTATAAGCTCAATATTTTGTTTTGGTGACCGAGATCCTGTGTGCATGCTGTATCACTAGAAATAGCACATATCCCAAACACAATTTGGCTTGGTCTTCCAGGTATAAATGTTGACCACACCGTCTCTGACACTCTGGAAGTGATTGATATATCCTTCGACTCCGTCCCTGTCGTTTGCTCCGAGCCGAACGACCAGCGTGGAGCACGTATCAGTAGCCTCGCACATGCCTATCTTCGCAGCGCAGCCATGGGAGAGCTTACCTTGCCTGCATCTGGCGTGATCCGGTCGAAGAACTTCTTCGGCGACAGTACCGTCGGCAACGTGCGGCAGTTAGCACAAGTTCTCGGCCCGTGATAGAAACAGACCATCGAGGCATCCTTGCCCTTCAGTATCCGGTAGGCGTTCAACGCGTCGTCAAGACCATATTTCTCATCGCATCCGCTGGTGCCAGCAGTTATGTTCACATGATCCTCTAGCCCACAGCACAACGTACCAGGTGTACATCGGGCAGGTGTTGAATGGCTTGGACCGCTCGATGAGATCCATGTTGGCCTATTTTCCATTCTGATGGAACAGCTTGTTTATGGAGCCGAAGTTCTGTATCAGGAAACCCCTGCCGTACGCTAGGTGGCCGACCAGCCATGGCACTTTCTTAGCAAACCCGGCAAGGTCTTGTAGTCGTCGAAGTCTGTGAGCTGTACTGTAGCGCCAACAATTTGATCGGTTTGCTCATTGACAATGTTGACGAAGTGACTGCTCTTTCCCGACCCCAGTCGTGCTCCAGGCCAAGGCAGTCTCTTTGGCCAACGATTCGAACGGCGCCTGTCTGACGTCTTTATCCTCGTGGAAAACATCGTAATACAAAGCTCTCGTTTTTGACTCTTCTGTTGTTGCAGACTTCAATCTTGTCGTGAAAAACGTAGGTGAGGTTGTTCACGGGATATACCCATAGGCTGTCGCGGCTGTTCCGGAGGATTATGTCGCCAGTGCTACTGTACTTGGTTGCACCAGTCAGTGTGAACCACGGTCTGATCAAAGCCACTGTGATCCCCGGCCCGATTGAGATGCTTTCGACCCCGCGACCTTGGTGGAGCGGAACAATGTCTTGCGTGGTAGCACGCGTGCATCAGAACGCAAGGGAACCAAGATCTCCACCCTTATAGACATTGCGAGTTGCTACTTCTATGCCAGACATGGGCACAGCAAATGGCATTGTAAACGTTCTCTGCAACCTCCAAACTACTCAGCCAGCTCCTCCTGCTGCATACAGAACGAGACGAGATTGTAAGGGTTCTATATGAAAATATGGTAGGGTCATGGAAAGAATATCGGGAGCGTCGGATACTCCTATCGACAGTAACACATGCCAAGCTGCCAAGGCGCTAAAAGGTCTCTCACTAGTGACCCCCGGAACTAGTACTCCGTGGAAGGAGAGGCAGTGAAATCAGTCACGTGACTAGATTGTCTCGGTATGCTCAGTGTGCCTTGAGCCGGGAGGCGTGTGTAAAAGCGGCGGCACCAGCGCGTGCTGGGTGAGTCTCACGTGAGCTACGAGCGGTTCTTCTCGCGCTGCTTTTGCTTCTCAGCGCCAGGGATGAAGCTGCACGACTGGCGTTACGCTTTCCGCTTGTGCTTGTCGAATTTCCCCAGAAAGTTGCATTGCATTTCGCAAAAGTGTCCACAACCAACACCGGCATTCATTCTCGATTCACGCAACCACGACCTCTACATTTGCATGCTGTTTCTCTCTGCAAGCTCTGTCTGACCGTTGACTCTCTTTCCACAACTTCATCCCCTGGTGCCTCGTCTACCTCAATATCCACACCGACTCCCTAATTTCTCTACCTGTCCTCCTCACCATGGTACGAACTTGTCCTTGTTAAACTGGACCTACCGTCAATGACTGCGCAATTCCGTAGCGAAGCTGTATACGCTGACAACCCCTTAGGCATCTGCGAGACCGTCCTCCCCCATGACTTCAGGCCCTGAGTCCGGCCCGGACTCAACGCCATCGACACAAAAGGCCAGCGGGTCCTCCTCGATCGCACGCGCCGGTTCTCCTCCCGGAGGCCCCCGATCTGCCATCCGTCGACGCGCGGCCGCCGATCACAAGGAGTCCGTCAAGAATGCTCGACCGACCTCAACGCGTGCGGCGGGAGCGGGCGGTTCTTCAGGGACGATGCTGAGACTATATACCGACGAGAGCCCCGGGTTGAAGGTCGATCCAATGGTCATTATGTTCTTGAGTTTGGGGTTCATCTTCAGCGTCGTGGCGTTGCATTGTAAGTGGGCTATATCTGCAGCGCTGGCAAGGAAGACACCGGCTAACTTTGTCGATAGTGATTGCGAAGCTCACGAAGCGGTTCTCATAGAGAGTACGGCGTTGGGATGGGTAGGATGGCTTCTACGGCGAGAAGAGAAAAGCATGGGTTTTGATACAGCTTCTTTGTACAATACCACTTCTACCATCCAGCATGCATTTTTCAGACGAAATGTGGCGGGCCTCCAATTGTGGTTCGGCTTTCCAGATTCCTTTGTCCGCGACCTCAATTTCTACCAGGTGAACGCACTACGTGGCCCAGGGGCTGTGATCCATCTTCTTGCGAGTCTCGTTCGCGGTGGATCTTCACGTGCCTTCCTACCCTCCATTCAACGGAGAGACAATAACTCCAGGTCAGGGCGTGGTGAGGACAGAGTTACCGTATGATTTTCGGCCTTCACAAACAAGTCATCATGGCAGAAGCGTGGAACTTGTGGTTATTGTATTGATTTCATGAGGGTCTCCCGGCCTGGGCCAGCTGTAATCTTTGATTTCTGGTGAGGATCTGGTCGCCATCCATCCCGCAACCTGTAGGAGCCGTCATACGGTCCGGCCGCAAGTGTTGTGCATTTGTTCGACCGAGTCCTGGAGATGCTCATGCATTCAGCCTGGTCAAATCCGTGCTCTAGGGCGGCTCACGCCCTTTACCTTGGAGGCTAGAGGTTCTCCAACGACTCGGCGCAACCCTTTTTGCAATCTTGGGACATACGTGTGCCTGAGAAGAATTCCCACGCCCTGAATTGGGTTGCTTCATGGGTAAATAGTGGCACGGCTCCAGGCCATCTTTCAGCCAACTCGGCCGCTGCTCACTGATCATACTCCCGGCTATTAAATCAGAGTCACTCAGGAGCTTAGCAGAAACCACCAAACCGGTTGTCAACAAAGCTCCCCGTTTGGCATATCCGCCTGGGAACTGACCAGCTGTCTTTCTGGCCGCGGTACAATGGCGAGGAGTGTCAATGTGAATAGAGGGTGGGGAGAATATGAGGCATGAATGAGGAACCGGTCAAGCGGCGGAGACACGGGACGCGGGCAATCGCGGCACAAGGCTGAGCGTCATGTCTGTGTGACGCAGTTTCTGTCAAGCGAGTCGAGACCCATGAATGACCTGCTGAGTGTCCGCCATGGCATGACCATTATCCTCTGCGCCGCTTGACCCTTGCGACGTATGTTTGCGTTGTATTATGCATGTTCGGTCGTCAGCATTGTATCTCCATTCAGTTCTAGTACACTCGAGCCAAAAAACGGTTTCTGCTTCGCCATGACAGACGGAGGCCAGGACCAAACTTCTGCCCCTCCATCCCAGGTCAACGGGGACGATGAGGACAAGCACGCCCAAATTGAGCTTCCACCGGCAGATGCAACGAAGCAAAACTCGTCTACGGCTGCTCCTCTGACCAACAGCAGTGGCTGGGATGGCAAACTACGCATGCCTCCTCGCAACGCGGTCCTGACCAATCCTGAGATCTTGTCCGACCCTGAATACTCTGATCCTGACGCCCCTCCCGTCGACGAGATTGAAGCCGACGAAGACCTCTTGGACGACTACCCTGTCGACACCGAGGACATTGACCTCGTCCACTGCCGCATTTCCTCCCTTCCCGCCCTCAGACTCGATCGCTTCACGAACGTTCAGAGATTATGTCTACGTCAAAATGCCATCTCGTCCATCGACCTCCCCACCAACGTACGGGCGACCCTGCAAGAGCTGGACTTCTACGACAATCTAATATCCCATATCAAGGGTCTTGAAGACATGCCGGCTTTGAAGAGTCTAGATCTCTCTTTCAACAAGATCAAGCACATCAAGAATGTCAATCACCTGACCACCCTCACTGAACTATACTTTGTGCAAAATCGCATCTCTAAAATCGAGAACCTCGAGGGCCTGTCAAACCTAACCATGATTGAACTCGCCGCGAACCGCATCCGCGAGATCGAGAACCTTGACACGTTGAAAGGATTGCGAGAGCTCTGGCTAGGCAAGAACAAAATCACGGGAATTAAGAACCTCTCACCTCTGACGAATCTACGACTACTGGATTTAAAGTCCAATCGCCTGACTACTCTGTCCGGGCTGTCCGACCTCACAAATCTCGAAGAGCTCTACGTGTCGCACAATGCCATCCCTGCCATCCCCACCGATGCCCTCATTCACAACAACAAGCTGCGCGTCCTCGATATTTCCAACAACCAAATCTCGCACTTGGAAAACATCTCCCATCTGACAGAGCTGGAAGAACTCTGGGCGAGTTCCAACAAACTGAGCGATTTCCGTGAGGTTGAACGGGAATTAGGAGACAAAGAGAACCTGGAAACCGTCTACTTTGAGATGAACCCCTTGCAGTTTCAAGGCCCGGCTGTGTACAGGAATAAAGTACGGCTGGCGCTCCCGCAGGTCAAACAGATCGATGCTAGTAAGTTCGCACGGGTGAATGTGAGAGGAAACACTGGACGTTGGCTAACTTTCGTGCTCCAGCATACGTCAAAGTCTAGGGCCCGAGGCCGCCGGCCGCCAAAGCTAGAAACGAAAAAGAGGATGCCAGCATGTGTCCGCCCAGCAGCCCTTATCATGTTTGCCGATTCAAGAAGTTCCAATGAGTGATGATCGGTCAACGAATCCCTTATGTACCATACGACACGAATCATTCACTCAGGCTTGCTGACCCCCCTCGGGACTGGCATGACTTGTTCTTGTGCCAGCCCGACCCTGTTGTCCCCTTCCACGGAATGGCGATCGAGTTGCAGAGGTCTGCACGCGTCATCTTGCTACAGTCCCCATGAGGCCCGGATTGTGGAATGGTCACTGGGCTCATACCGAATGGATTGTGCGACGCGATACGCATAACTGAGGCAATCCTGGAAAATGTGTGCATTACATATCGATACACGTTAGAGTGTTCAAAGCTAAAGCATGTCCTCGCTACAGCCGGACCAGGAGTCGGGAGATTATATCCAGCGTAGGACTGCCAACATGCATGGGGTTGTGATGTCCAGACCAGTGTGGCTGCAAAGTCAGTCACAGTAGACGCAGGAATGAATGCATGAGGCAAAAGGGCAGGATCTGACGTGCCAGCTTGGAGTTGAGGACGACGCAGACAAGAGCCTTTCCGCATAGAACCACAACCATCTCAATCATCCATTCTCCCACCGTTTGAATGTTCGGTCAATTTGTCGATTGTTTTTTTTCTTTTCATTCCAGCCAGCGCGGGCATGGAGTCTGCCAACCTGGTCATGTACATTTTGAGCAAAGCAAAGAGCAATCACTTCCTGTCCCCAATACGGGCCCGACGTCCGCACACATGGACTGCCTGCTTGTTTCGTGCCGAATTTAACGCCCCCCCCAAACGCCTTGTTCCGTGCTCGTTACAGAAAGGGTCGATGCGAGCGACTTTTGCACGTGGCCACTACCGCCGTCGAATAGGATAGAGAGACAGTTCTGTCATCTTGATCTGAGCTCCCCCGAGCGGCATTTCTCTTTTTAGTCCTCTCAGGCGCGCAGAGAGCTCGGCGATTGCACGTAATGAATGGGACGTCCGCGATCCTGAACTCAGCCCGAGGGTCCGATGCATAAGGGCCGGACACCCGTACGTGACCTTCGTAGTAGAAAGAGAAAGAGTCCATATCCTAGAAAGCATCTTCATGTCGTGATGGCGGGTGGTAAGGTGATTCAAGTCGTTCCACGCTCAACAGGAGGGCAGTCACTGAGCGACGTGCTGATAGATACCCGCGACGATGCAGTGGTCTCGCTCGAAAGGCTCTGCGGAAGGGAGAAACAATCAGTACGTGCTACAGACCTTGTCGAAAAAAAGAACGAAACAGAGAGGGAGGAGTGGGCTTTGAGGGCCTAAAGATGATCGCAAACATGGATTTCTTTCTTGACAAACGGCCGATGCATGAACACCTGGGTGCATGTAACATATAACATGCAATAAGAGAGGTGCAGGCGGCATAGAACATGCAGGACCCAAGAATAGGAAAATGAGGAGGCAGGGGGGTTGCAACTCACCGAGCGTCAACTGCTCCTTGGGCTTGATTCTCTCTTCACGCATCTTCTTGACCTCGTTCGCGAACACCACCTCGGGCTTGGCTGTTGAGTCGATACAGTTCGCCTTGATACTGACGACGATCCCACCTCCGACTTTCAGGAAGAGATGGGCATTCAGGCCGACGATGCGCGCCTGGTCCGGCTGTGCCACGTCCGCGAAGATGACGTCCACCATGCCGACGAGCATGCGGTATCGGAGGGGGTGTCGCGCGTCCTCGATGATGGGGATCACGTTCGTGCGATGTGTGGCCATAGTAATCAGGTCTCTTCCGCTGCGGTGAGAAAATTCCACGGCGTAGACTCGTCCCGTGGGTCCCACAATGTCAGCAACATGCGAGACGGACGTCCCTGACGCGGCGCCCAAGTACAGCACGCTCGCGCCGGGTCGGATGTAGATGTCGTCGAGACCTCCGAGGATGCCGGCCGCGAGCTTCGATCGGAACGGATTCCACACTCTGTATTCGGTCTTTGTGCCCGCGGGGTTGACTTCGCCGTCGGTGCCCGGGTTGGTGGGGGAGTCGACGCTGATGCGCTTCTCGCCGTACACGGATTCGCCGGGCGTGAGGTTCTTCGTGACTAGTAGATCTTCTTTGCCGCCGCGGGCGACGAAGACGCCAGGGTGACGGTGGGGTTCCTGTCGAGGAAAAGAAAAACAGATAGGTTAGTCCATCGTCTGACGTTTGTCTGTGCGACCGTGGCCGCTGTGCCTGCTCGATCGGCCGAGCAAGGGCAATGGTGGGGGATCTGGCAAAAACATACGATGATGACCTTTGCGCCGCCTTTGATGCCGGGCTTCCCGCCTCCCCTGCCACCACCCCCTCGTCCTCCGCGTCCAGCTCCTCGGGGTGCACCTCGACCGCCTCCTCTACCGCCGCCACGACCACCTCCTCGTCCGAAGTCACCACCGCCTGAGAAGTAGAGGCAGACACGTCAGTCTTTCAATTCGCGTACTCGTGCTTGCCGTAATTTCGGCAAATGGTAACAGAGATTCCTCACCTCTTCCTCCACCACGGCCGCCTCTTGCTCCTCCTCTGGGTGGACCGCCTCGTCCGCCACCTCGCCCGCCGCGCGGCGCACCGCCAAAGGCCATCTCGGGATGTGTGTCTTTAGAAGGCCGATCGCTCCAGGTGTTTTACGGTGGGTAGCGAAAGTCGGTAGCTCGGTCTCAGAGACTCAATAGGACGTATGCGCACACAGCAAATTGGACAGTTGCAGAAGCTAGAGGAAAGAAGTCTCTGAGATAGTCGCAGTCTGCAGTTTTTGGAGACCGGTATGCAGACTGCTTTTTTCTCGAAATTTTGGAGCAGTTTGGCCATAAGCGGTTAGCCCGGAAGCTCAATGCCAAGAGCTGATATCATTGGTGGATTCACTGGCTGGAGCCACTGGAGCGCGACTGGAAACAAGCGACACTGACTTGACTTGATCTCACGTTATGCGCTGCTTTGTCGATTTTATTCTTGTCTGTCCATGGGGCTCACTCCTCGTGTTCAGTTTGTTGCTTTGCCCAGAGTCTCTCCATATCGAAGTGACCATAGGTGCATGTAACATCGTCGCTCTCTGGTGAGACCATTCTACATGCGTGCAAATTGGCGGCAGACCATCCTGAGATCCATCCGCTCCTGCTGTACGGAAGGCAATGTTCCTCTGGAATCGATATGTCCATCATACGAAAATGGGAATCTCCGGCATCTCCTTCCAAATCTCCCCTTGCATCTTCAACTCTACCCAAAATGTCGGATCGTAGACCTCAGTCCTGCCGTTCCACTCCCAGCCTCCAGCGCGATCCGGTTGTAAATGCTCAAGCGGTATGATATCTTCCGGGTAGATGATTTGTTGACCACTCGTTGGAGGCAGACCCCCTCGGTGTATAATTGCTTGTACCAACACGGCAGCCGAGTCGAGGGAATATGCGTCGGACCCTTCTCCCTCGACATTCTGCATCCACGCAGTCCACTCTTCCCAAGCTCTCTGGACGCCAAGGTTCGTGGTGACGAACTGTGGCGGCAGACGATCGACGAGCGTGTCGGTTTCCGGAGGCATGCCCAGCGAGTAGAGCGCACTGCGGCGAATGACTCTATATGGCATCTGGTCGAAGACAAGGCGATAGTCGCAGTCAATGTTGTCGTTCCCGGCTACGCTTGGGTCATCCGCTATCTTGTCCTGCGGCGAGACGGCGCCCGACATGTACACTGGCTCGCCTTCGATGTGGGACACTATACAGACGGTCGGGCCGTTCTCGTCAAGGTCGAGGTCGAGCTCTTTGCCCAGTGGCGCGGTTGGTGATGCTGCCACAGTCTCGGCGTCGAATATCTGATCGTCAGTGCCGTCTTCCTTTCTCTCACCCTTGGAGCTGTATAGGACAGTTTCTGGCGAGGATTGCGAAGGAGATGATGGTGGCGAAGTAAGCCGAACATTGTTGTCAGTAGTGTTATGTTCCACGTTGGGAGGCATGTTCCGTCTTTCTGGCGCCCAGCACGTGGCACAACCGCCGTCGTGGATCTGTGGAGCTTGAAAAAGGTTCAGAGACAAAGGAGAAGCTAAGAAACAGTCAAAAGCATTTGACTTTGAGATAGCGCGGTGTGCAAGATGGAATATTGACGGCATGGCGGCTGACTTTTCATTATTTCCTTTGGGAGAGTGGTGAGTGACAAAAATGGTCGACGCCCTGTCACCCGTGACAGTAGTAGGGTCGACGTTGAGAACAATTGGGGACAAACAGGTATCTTGGATGTTGAACTGGGAGCTGGCTGGCGCTCTTTGTTGCCTGTTTGACGCGGCATGGCTCCTTTGTCACAGTATGGCTGACCGCCTTGAACCGACAATGGATATGGTGCACGTCAGCATGGTACTATGTCGATAGTGGGCATCGTGTGCGATAGCCGTCCATCAGCTGAACATGATATAGCAGATTGCAGCATATGCGAACAAAAGAACTGTTTTACCGATGGCGTGCCTCGTGTCTATGAAAGTACAAAGAGTCCAACTCTTCTATGTCTCAGATAGTGTCGAAATAGATTTTCAGGAAGGTTCATCGTAAACCACGGGAGGGCACTCCTACCAGCGAGAAGCATCAGGGCTGCAGGCTCTTCAGGATTGAACAACAGGTACGGTGCCTGTGGTGTGCTTCCCTGGATCATAGCTTTGATGCATTGATGGGCCGTCTCTCCTTCGGATACCACCAGCCCACAAACCGTTCCAGTTCGCGATCGGTTACTCCGGAGTTGGGGTCATACGGCTCATGCGTGTTCAGATAACTCTGGATAGCGAGCTCTGCGTCTGCTTCTGCATCGTAGTTGTACACCCTGAAAGTGGGTCAGTATATTGCGCGGGTATGTCGTCGACCAACAGACACTTACTCCAACGTGGTTACCGGGTCTCCGTAGAGGTTGGGTGAGCGGACATATTGTTCCTGCTTCAGTTCCATTGCCATTGCTTTGTCTCGTGCCTGGAGCTGATTAGCACCAGGTATCAATTTAAGTCCCAGATCGGAGGAAGTCCATACCTCCTGAACCGGCCCATCGGCGACCTGCCAGATGGCTCCGTTGAGGAAAGATACCTGCTGCTTGTAGTATGCCTTGGGCATCCGGGACTTCTCATATATCTCAATTGCCTGCGCGATGTTGATCCTACCCTCGACTACCTTTGCCAGGGTCCGGGCAAGAAACGCGCCATCTTCCATTGATGTTGCTGCACCTTGAGCCATGTGATTTGTCATCGAATGAGCAGCGTCCCTGTGGCGTGTCAGTGGCGGATGCCCAGTATCAGGTTGAAAGGAACAATACCCCATCAACACGACGTTCTTCTCCTTGGTCGACCACGTCTCCAAAGGCCCGGTGACTAACAGCGGCCATCTTCTTGCCGACGTTACCATATCCACAATACGCTTGATACGCGGGTCATAGTCCTTGTAAGTCTGTCGAAAGTCCTTTTCCATATCGATGTCCTGCACGTCGTCAACGAGGTGGTCCACGTGATGGCTAAGTACCATGTTGAATAGCTTTCCGCCTGAGATGGGATACGAGATGATGTATGACTTGTCGGCCATCCAAACCTCCATGGTCAGCTTTTCAGTGAGTTCTTTGGCGACGGGGTCCTTCCGAATCTGATCGTAAGGGACGAGTGCTCGGTACGCACAATTTCCGGTTGGAGGTCTCGGCTTCACATGAGGCATGATTGCTTTTCGGATGGAGGAGCGGACTCCATCGGCACCGACTAGGAGATCGAATGTCCAGGTTTTGCCTTTCTCGGTTGTGACGGAGACTTGATTCGATGGACTTGAGGTCCAGTCGACCTTTACCACCCGAGCATCAATGACCAGGTCTGCACCTTCTCGCCGAGCCACCTCGACCAAACCTGAGTGGAGATGCATCCGGTGTACTAAACATAGGTAAGTGAAAGAGATGCTATACCGGGTTGGTTCGCTCACCCAACCACCAGGGCACGCCCAAGTTGCTGCTGCATGTCAGTCCTCACTCGGCTCCGAGTCCAGCGTACGTACTTGCGAACGTTGGGTATGGTCTTGGTATAGCCAATCTTCGTCCCATCCTTTCGTCTCATGTTCAATTCCTGTCGCATATTGATCAGCCCGGTCTCTTACGTGGCGACGTAACAGGATTTACCTCAAACTCGACCAGGTTGTCACCAATGACCTTGTCCACTCCCCACTTCATCAAGAGTCTGGCTACATTGGGGGTCATCTGGATGCCAGCACCAATTTCGCCCAGTTCAAGTGCGGCTTCCAAGACGGTCACTTTCACGCCCGCCTTTCTCATGGCGATTGCTGCTGCTAGGCCACCAATGCCGGCGCCGCATATCCCCACGTTGAGATCTGGCATCTTCTGGGCGGTAAAAATAGGGAAATCTAGCAACAATTGATCTTCCACCTCCTTTATACTGTTGGTAGCTGGCGTCAACACCAGACGTCAACGGTTATGCTCTGAGTCCCACCAGCACACGGCGACGACCAAGCAGATATCCCCCGACTCTGATGCGGAAGCCTACGTGCGTAAACTTGTGCGGGCATCAACTCGGTGAACAGTGTGCAACAATATGGAGGAAAACGAATGACAGAAGAGCTTTGCATTGCACAAGTGTCATACAGACGGACCAGAACCGCTTCCATATCCGCGACATGGGACTTGCGTCTCCGCATCAGCTGGAGAACTCTCGGAGAAGATGGAAAACCGGGGTAGTCAAGCAATGAGTAGGGGCGATCATCCTGCATAGGACCAATAATATGCTTTTGACGTGCATTTGAAACGAGAGGATAGCGTAAGGAGTCGTGTTCATCCTGGGGAATCACCAGATCCAGAGTGGTGGCCGGTCAAGTTCCGAGATTCGTATTCTCGGGGTTGACGTACCCTCGTACGAGTAATCCGGACAGAAAGTGCTTCAATTGTACAGGATAGAGCCTCGGCAATCACCTCGGTCGCGGCGCGCGAACTCTGTGAAGTGAAAGAAAGCAGAGTTTCCAGTGAGTCTTCCCGGAGTCCCTCCAGGTTTCCTCCAATGTGGCTCTCGAAATTGACAAAAAACATCTCCGAGACGCAGTTTTGTGGGTGCTTGGCAACACTTATTCTGAGTGACGTCACCACTTCCGACTCCGAAGCGCAGTTCAATTGCTCCTCAGGCACGATTCAACCACAAACAGGTGCACACAGCATTCAATCTAGGCAATACCAGGTATCGAATGTTGTTTATACGACAGTTCCAGCCGTTGTTGCGCCCTGTACGCTATTTCAGTATCTGGCAAAGCCTTCGAGCTCGAGTGCTGGGAATCCCAGTGGTCGGGTTGGGAAAGCCGCAGCCACCTCGTGAGGTATCTCAGGAAGGCAGGATGGCTGCCCATCTGAATGGTGAGCTCGCCCTGTTGTGCTAGGAACACCTCCAAAACCCCTGTAATCTGTACAAAACGGCGCACTGACATACGCAGTCTTCAGACAACCCCTCCAATTTTTCTCCAACCGTCCTGTGACAGGCTTCTATCGAGACGGGTACTGCAGGACAGGAGCTGCCGACTTTGGCAATCACGCAGTAGCTGGAGTTGTTTCAGAAGAGTTCTTGGATTTCAGTGCTTCACAAGGGAATGACCTTCGGGTCGCAGGTCTGAGAGGTGGCTGCAAGTGGTGTTTGTGTACATCACGCTGGCTAGAGGCATTCCAGGCATTCCAGGATGGCAGGATCAACAGGAGCGCGGTGCCCAGGGTGGTACTTGAAGCGACCGAAGATAGCGCTTTGAGGCAGGTCGACCTGGACACGTTCAAGCAGTTCGAAGCCAGGCCGGAGACGAATGGTGTCAATGGTGTGAATGGTGTGAATGGCGTAAACGGAGTCAATGGCCATTGATTCCTATGTCGCGCAGAGAAAGCAACACACAGTGCCGAAATCCGTTAGCAGCATCCCAAACTTTTCGAGAAAATCAGGCGCAACACTTACATGAAAAGGAAAAATGGTGGCGCCGCTCCCCAGAGTAATCGGAATCGAATTGAAACCAAGCCATCTCAGATACTGAAATGGTAGATTTCCGCTGCGATTGCACTAAAGTGAGGTACGCTTTCACGCCCAAACAATCTTCGCGACGGCTCTTCCATAGGGAATCCCCCAAGACACGGACACTACGAGAGTGCTTGTCTTGAGGCCCTGTAAGTTTCTGATGCCAGTCGCGAGCACGGAATCGTGCCGGGCCCTCGCGGGCAGTACCTTGTGCCTCGGATCGTAAATGATCTGAGGCAGAGGTGGAAGTTTGAAGATTACTCCGAATTTCTCATCTGCAAGAGAAGAACGAACGCTCGACTGTAATGACAACAGGAGCATCTCGTTGTTTGTAGCAGAGAACGCAGCGGATGGGGAGCGGCGCGTAGGGAGGAGAAAGAAAGGAAAGCTTCGTGTCGCTTTTCTGTGTTTGATATTTTGCCTTGGGACGCAGGAGTCACAATTATCTGCCGGTGTTCTGCCGAAGCTGTGCGTTCTCCTCACAATACTTGACCGTAGGCGCTATTGTCTCCCATAACTGGAAAGCAACAATATCCCCTTGATCTGCTGCACGCGGTTGAATCTTGCGATCGCCCGGTTGGTGGGCAGAGAGTCCCCGGACTCTCTGCAATTGAGAAGGTCGCCTGGCAGAGGGAGGTCTGTCCGTTCGGGAACTGGGCCTTCTGGCGGGAGACCGTCACGATAATGTGGGGAATGGGAGAAGAATGGCAAAACTGTCGAGAGTAAATCCGGATGAAGCTTGTTGGGAGCAAGCGAACATGATTGAATACGGCTATGTGATCAGCTCGATGTTTCATCGCCCCAACTGAGCAGCCACGTAAGCTAGCATCTTCAGTACAGACGCCTCCATTCTCTTCTCCTCAGCACCTGCTGCACTTCTCCACGAGAGCTCGGCTTAGCCGCGTGTCCATGTATACGGGCTGTTAGTGGTGATGGGATTGCTGAAAGCGCACGGATCCTTCCAGCATGTATTACAGTGAGACAAAACAAGGAGAAAATGGGGCAGGCAGGCCAAGAAAATTCCGGGTGGTGCTCTAACATGGGATGAACTTCATCCCTTAGCGCACTTTTGCAGAATCGAGGCCGTGGAACGTTGTCTTCCCAGCGCGAGTTGAGGCTTGGCCGTGTTGCAGTAAGTGAAAAGTTTCCATAAGTCGAACGCGGCTCTTCGGTAACCAAACGTTCGCCTCTTGTTCTCGAGAAGTCTAGCACTCAGTCAAGGACATCCCTTCTTGGGGTTTCCCCTGTAGCTGCGCCAGCGACAACCTAGTACTTGCTAGCAGGCGGCAGCTTATGGCGCTGTGGCAGGTTCATTCGGGAAGCTAGGTAATATTTGGGCTGGGACACTTGAGTAGGACGGCGCATGCTCGTAGATATCGCCTGGAGCATTGGAAACGAAGGTTGCTGAAGAGACGCCTAGGGTGCTTGCAGCTCGATTCATGACTCCGAGTGGGTCAACAATCGATTCCAGCTATCCCGCTGAGGTTAAAATGCTGCTGTGGTGATGCGGAAAGTGGTCTTGGGCATTTACTGATTGCAGCCGTATGAGATCGATGCGCTGGGAGCAACGGTCGGAACGAACGACAGATTTTATATCGGGTTGGAATGACAGGTCCAGGATTGAGGCAATCGAAAATCGTTACTGCGGCGCTGTGATGGCAGGTGTTTCTTTGGTAACACAACCAATTTCGATGGGACTAACGCCGCTGCGCCGCATTCATGCATACCGGCTCCATAACGCCTTAGCTCTTGCAATGATCAAGTCTGTCCTGTTTCCTCACTTGTATTGCGGTCCTCCTGGACCTGGGGGATGCCCACCCCAGCCCTGCGGAGGTCCTTGATGTTGAGGAGGCATGGGTCCTTGGCCTTGCATTGAGCCAACGTCGGGTCGGTTACGTATGTCTTGACGGAATCGGCAGATGGAGCAAGCGAGCTACAACGACGGGTCAGTCCTGCTAGGCGTGTCGGTGTTTCTGGTCGACTTACATCTTTGTGCTTTCCTCCCAGTGGGATGATTGGAACAAAACAGAAGGTGAACCAGTCCCACGATTGAATTGGATGCGCCGCCCAATTACCACAGTTGTGGCATTGTGCTGTTACACCCTCGTAGCCCTTCAATGGACTTGTGAAATCTGGAGAGACTGTCAGTCGGAGCAGTCCCAGCGCTCAGCGCATGCTTTCTCACCTTTCGTTCCTACCACGAAGAAGAACGCCATCTGTACGGATAAGTGGTCTTGATATTGGGGGCCGACACAGTAGAGCTTCTAGGATACACAGTAGGTAGGAAAGGTGAAGACCCGCGGATGGGATCGGCTATGGGTGGAATGGCAATGGGAATTGAGGCGGTGCACTTGATCTTGACGCAGTCGCATGACGAGAGCGTGACGCGCAATTCCCAGTTCACTCGCGACTTGGCGCCACGCGCTCGGGGAAATGCTCGCTGCTCACGTGATGCGTACCACACCCCGTTGTTCCACGTGACAAGGTGCTGCAATGGGTCAGAGCACGTGACTGTACCCAGTCCTCTTACCGTCAGTCTGTAGGACAATCCCAAGCATCTTCACGCCTCTCTCTCTGATACGCACTCAGCCTTCGTATTGAGCCTGCTCCATCGCCTATGCATGGTGCTACTCTCGGTGACTCCATCGCTCAGAATGCTAACAAGGACTCGAATTTGACGGCGAGTCAGTCAACCGTTCCTCTTTGACGTGTAGTGTCGTGTCTCCCACCTTCGACTATTCGACGGTTCCCTCAATCAGACGGACTCTCCCTTTTGCTAATGAAGGATAACACCTCGTCCCCGATTTTGCGAGCTACCGACACCTCAAGCATAGTAGCAAAGAGCATAAACTTTCAAGCGACGAACAAACACGTGTCTCTATGCTCCGTCTCTCGGGAACGAAAATGGGAGAATGCTAAAGGCGCAAACGAAGGTTCGGCACCAAGCATTGCGCCAGGAAAATCTTTGGCTGAACATTCTACCGCTGTTGCGGGTGGTGCGAGACTTCTGCTATATCAGTCCGGATATATGGTGCAAGGACATATCCCGTGTAGCGAGGCTCAGTGGTTCAACCCCTGCTTGCAGATTCGCGAAATGGTGTCGAAGCACATGAGAGGCTGGCGCCCATCAAATCTGACGTAAAGGCCGTAGGAGCCGAAGAGCCAGATGTCACGATGCAAGGATTGGAAGGACAAGCAAGTCACAAAGCTTGAGCTATTCAAGCTAACAAGTCTGATCCCTACGGCTGCACAAGGATTTCAGCCGTGATGCTCGGGTAGCAACCGAACCTCCTGTCTTTCTGTGCAATCCCGCGTCTGAGTCACTCGGCACAGTCCATACATTGGTCGTCACACACATCATCACAAATGAAGCAGAATCATCACCAAGAGTCCCGCACCAGGCGCACATCACATCACACTCGAAGGTCGCTGAAATCTCAAACCGTCTCATAATGCTCCGCTGGCAGCTTCTCGTCCACAACAATCTCTTGGGGCTCTTCGTGCCTTGCATCAGCCATGGCATCCCTGCAGCTTCGGTACACCTTGACAACCGGATCCTTTGGCGCCACTGCGATTTCCGACTCCGACTTAGCCTCTGATGCAGTTTGCTCTGATGCATCAACCAGCGACCAACCCGGCTCGGCACGCTCGAATCGAGAGCGCACATATGGATTTAGCCCAACGAATCTGATCTCGACCCGGTCGCCAGAGTACTTCTTGACCTCGTTGTACAGCTCGTGAAGCTTCAAGTTGGCCGTGCTATCGAAATGGTTGGCTTTGGTGAAATCGAGAATCAGCAGTCGCAAAGGAGGCAGAGCTGACATATTGCTGATGCCAGCTTCCCTTCTGAGTTTGGCAACTCTCTTTTCGCCCACGACGGACCACGTCCGCTCAGCCTCGATATTCTCAGGTGACATGAGAAAAGGTGCGTGATGTGTTTTTACTACGTCCAAGATCAAGGTCTTGAACCTCTGTGCGTTCGGGAAGAACATGGATTCCGCGAACGTGAAAATCTGCGTATCGGCTGGGATATGGTCGGGCATGCGTTTCGACTCGTCAATCGACTGCACAAGTTCGGAAGTCGATGCCGAGTTGACGTTGTTCATATGCTTAAATGCCTGTCTCACGAGGCAGACGGCGATGGACCAGCCAACGCCCGTACCAATGCCGATCTCGGACGACTTGAATAGGGTCAGCCAGAAGGTAAGCATTGCCGCCACGAAGTCGGTGAATGATGTCCGCCAGTAGTGGTAGTAAGTGCGCCAGGTGCCAAACAATGGCCAGACGGCAGTGATGACGATCGCGGAAAGAACGGTTTTCGGAATCCAGTACAAGGCACCAGTAAGTTCGTAAATGGTGATCAAGACCACTGCAGTGGTGATGACGCCTCCGAGAGGTGAGCGGACTTTGCAGCCTGAGTTGACTGAAGTTCTTGACATCGCTCCACCGACGCCCATGGCGCCCCAGAAGCTGTTGACCATGTTCGCCACGCCAAGGTAGCAGAGCTCCTGAGAAATGTCGGGAGTGTAATGGTTGCGAAGACCAAAGCCGCGGGCAATCGCGGTATGTTCGAGAGCAGCAGCCACAAACGGAGCAATACTGCGGCCGATGACCTTGCTAAAGAGCTTGCTGTCCACTGCCTTGGCCTGGATGCCGTCAGATTTGACCTTGGCGACCGCCCAGAGGTAGTCGTCTTCGTCCTTTTTGTGGTTGACAGCATAACTGACTCCCGTGTACAGCAGGACACAAATGAACGCACGGCTGATGGACAGGTAGAACGCAATGCGGTTCTTGCTTCCCCACCGTTTGCCCACTTGTTCGAGGGCAACGAGGATGAAGATTGCAGTGAAGCCAATCGCACAGGTCAGTCCGCTGGCGTCTGGCAACTGCGAGAAGATGTTGTGGATCTCATCCGCGGTCTCGCTGCTGCCACCATCCTCGCCTAGGAGAGAAGCGCCCTGGCCTAGAGCAATGACGATTGCGGCGGCCGAAATGAAGCCGTTCAAGACCGGTGTGGAGACGAAGTCCAAGAGAAATCCGAGTTTGAGAAACCCCAAGGCCATGCCGTAGATGCCCATGCCCAGAGCGACAGCAGCGGCTACCTCTTGTGCCTGGTAGCCCTCCTTGACGAGATCCTTGACAATCTCTGCGGTGAGCAGGCCGATCAGTGAAGTAGGACCGGTCGAGAGATCTGCAACCAAAGAGAAATGTCAGTTCATTCAGGGATCCAAGCGATGTTTCCGCTGTCGAAGTCTGTACCTTTCGAAGTTCCCATGAACGCATACAAGATACCCGGGAACCAACTCGCCATCAGTCCATACTGGACTGGGATGGTGGCGATCTTAGCATATGCCAGTCCCTGAGGGACGAGCATAATGCCGATCGTGAGACCAGCGATGAAGTCGTTGATGAGCCATCGATAGTTGTATCGTGGCAACCAGCCCACGATAGGCACCTTCTCCACCAGGTAGGTGGCGGCGGCAGAGGGAGCGCGACGGAAGCCAACGCCGGCGAGGCGGCGGGCCTGTTTCCAGTTCACGTCTGTCTGGAGTGAGGTTTTGACATTATTGACAACCTTTGAAGCCATGATCACTCAAGTGGCTTTGATGACTTTTTTGGAGCTATGCGTTCACCTTTTCACCTATTCCACTCGTCCAGGAGCAGATGGTGGCAATCACGGTGGCACCGGTAGGGGGAGATGGACACTCTTATCGAACAGGATATAAGATCTATTTGGGATGCCCGAACCAGACTTACCATTAGTGGCAAAGACGGCTGGTTCACCCCGGATTGGAGAAGTGCCGCCATGTGGACAAGGGCGTTGATTCAGTGGACGCTACTGGGCTGTGAGGGTGTGCAGGCAGATAGCCCCAGATCTCGCCTTTGAACGTCGAAACAAGCCGCCAAGGGAAAGTGCTTGAGCCCAGTAGGACCTTGGAAGAGGCTTAACCCGTGCAACCCTCCAGGGGACTGTGTGGGTTGTCCGTGCGGGGATGTGCCCAGGATGGGTCTATCAGTCCCCGTCTGGGGAAGCCGTCCTAGTCTCTGCTTCAAAACCTGGAGGGAGAGCGGATGAGACGGCAATCGATTCGTTCAGGCACTCCCTGGGATTCGTTCCCGCTTAATCATTGCACCGAATATCCTCCATAACGCGTTGTCAGGACGTTGTCATGACCCTGGCCTCGGGCCTTGTAACATCACGGTGCATTGGGGCCGACTGATGAGGACTGACTTCGGCGGCTTTGTCAAAGGCTGGTTATTTCAAACCTCTTACATTACCGGTTGATTGATCTTCCTCGTTGGAATGCGGATAATCGTATATGCTTCGAATCTGCATGGTCTTGCCTTTCTCAAGATAGCAACCACATGGTCTCTTTCAACTACGTGCGTGGTGTTGAGATATCCGGATTACCAAACATCAGCTTGATACCACTTGGCAAGGGTTCACGCCAGCCAAGAGAAGGGAAGAGCCTGGGCTGAAGCTTCGCAAGTGCTTGCCAACGTTCGGGAGGCGTTCCTGGTGGTGACGAGTACAGTATGGTGAGCGTGGCCGCCTTTGCAGCGCTGCATCAAGTGCGACCTGGTACCTCGTACTGTGTACACGGTAAACCACCACCAATGGCGGCGAGACACGGGGTGACCACCGGGCGGCGATACTCTCGCTCCAATCAGCAGCGGTCACGCACGCCTCTATGGTTGCAGGCTGGAAATAGTACGCATCATCAGTTCGAAGCGTAATGTCGACCCTAGAAGGGTGCTTAAACGATTCGCGCCAGTGGTGCAATTTAGTCCAACCCGTCCAGAGTAGATCGCCTTCAAATTTGAGCGATATCAGGGCCGGAGCGAAGGTAGGCATTGGTGCGCGTGTCTGTCGGTGTCGGCGGGCTCGTGATTGGACTTGTTGTAGTATCCGTGCTATTCAGTTAGAGACAGCGCAAACGGGGAGCAGCGGCGGCGGCGGCGGCGGCGGCAACAACTGGCAATCCGGACGAACAGACCGGACTGCTGGGGTATCTAACTAAGTGCTCAGGACTTCTTGGAGGGAAGGCAGACGAAGAAGGAGTCGATGCGAGCAAGCAGGCGACTGGCGAGAGAACTGTCTGGGTCAGCAGGCTTCAAAGCGCCAGAGTTCAGAGCCTCGAACAACACGACCTCCGCCAAGTCTGAAGAGAGCAGACGGGCGACGAAGGCTGCGAGCAGTACCGGAGGCTCACATGCCCGGGAAATTCCACTTCGCTGGACATTGACGACATTGGTGAGAACAGATCTGGCATCGTGGACGTTTCAGACCAGTGTGACCCGCTTAACATGTGTAAGTCAGGTGTAGCTTTCAAGGCCCGCGGCTCTCTACCGCATTCATTGCGCCGACATACGGAGTATGTGCGTACCCTGTCGTACCTGTCGACGTGATAAGGAAGCTGCGTCCGTCCTGCATTCGGCCATTCGATCTACTTACTGTACGCGTACACAGCAGAAAACAAGCTCTAATACTGCCCGTGGATTGGAGTCGCTTCGAGCGGCTCGGCGGTGGCGTGCGTCGATGATTCGTGGACGATGAACTCAGCCCAGCATCACTTTAACCCCAGATTCTGGTGATGCTGTGAAATTCTCACCACTCTCACAACTCATTGCTCGTAATCTCCTCATCGTTATTGTGCTCAAGGACACTTACCTCTTTGACAGGCCGCTGTGGGTGGTTCTCATTCTCCGGGGATTCTGCGGGCTTAAGATCGCTCTTGTGAAGCCAGCCAGTCGTTCACTGCTACAGTATCTTCACCTCGCCAGTCTTCACCATGGCGGCCCATGCTGGCTCTAGAACCGAGCACTTCATGGAGCTCACACAGAGCCCTCAGCATACCCACCGCAGTCTCGGGCCGATACATGACCTCTACCAACCTATGCCTAATCCCCATCTCTTACACGGCGAGGCGAAGAGTTCCGCAGCCGCCACAAGTGGTTTGCAACACGACGAAGACATGATCTCCCGCCATCGCACTGCTTCAATGTTCGATACCGAGAGCCAATCTCCTACCCATGCCTCCGCATCCGATCCTCTCGACCTGACACGGCGTCTGAAGTCTCGCTCCGAGCTTGACCGCATGTCTGCTAATACCGCGCGCAAGCGGGAATATGCATGCAATCCATTACACTTGGCGGGGCAGTCCAAACAATCCAAGATCACGAGCTTCTACGAGTCACAAAACGAGCAGATCCAGCGCCTGCTGAAGCCAGTGGACGAACATATCAGAGAAGCAAGAGAAGTTCAAGACTCGACGCAGTTGCGCTATCAGATCGCTGTATACGGCAGTTTCGTGGCCAATATCCTCCTTGCAGTGTTGCAGCTCTATGGCGCCATCGCCTCAGGTTCACTCTCGCTTTTCACAACCATGGCGGACGCAATCTTTGACCCCATGTCCAATATCACCCTCATTCTCACTAATAAAGCCGTCAAGAAGGTCGACGCCCGAAAATTCCCGGCTGGTCGCGCCCGGATCGAGACAGCTGGCAATATTGTCTTCTGCTTCCTGATGACCGCGGTGTCGTTCATTCTGATTGCATTCTCGGTTCAGGAACTCGTGCGGGGCTCTCAGGAGGATACAAAGTCATTTCATCTGCCTTCCGTCGTCGCCGTGACTGTGGCTTTCTGCACGAAACTCGGCCTCTTCCTCTATTGCTGGGCTCTCCGGAACCAATACTCGCAAGTGCGGATCTTGTGGGAAGATCACCGCAACGACCTGTTCATCAACGGCTTTGGTGTCCTGACGTCGGTGGGTGGCAGCAAACTGCGATGGTGGATCGACCCGGCTGGTGCCATCGTCCTGTCGGTGCTCATTTCGGTGTTATGGCTGCACACTTCCTACTCAGAGTTTCAACTCCTCATCGGCATTTCCGCCGACACCGAGACTCAGCAGCTCATCACCTACGTGTCCATGACCCATTCCGATCGCATCAAGCATATTGATACAGTTCGGGCATGGCATAGCGGGCCCCGCTTGGTTGTCGAAGTGGACGTGGTGATGGATCCCGACGAGAGTCTGAGAGTCAGCCATGATATCGCGGAAGATCTGCAGATGAAACTGGAGAGCCTTCCAAACGTGGAGAGAGCATATGTCCATGTGGACTATGAATTTGAGCACCGGCCAGAGCATTTCTTGAAGAAAGAATTGTGATGGTGGACCTGGAATCCGCCTGGCACATCTTCCATCCCGAGGCTTCAGCTGAGCTTCGCTACGATAGTTGGACCGACTCGTTGCAAGTTGCCAAATGGGTAAAATCAAACGCTTCTCCCCAAGCCCTCTGACCGGGTTGATCGCAGACAGGCCGCCACCACAAAAAGGTGGACATCAAAGACCTGAACACTTGCCATATACATAACCTCTCGTCGGCACATAGTTGCGAAGACAGTCTTTTTACAAACCACCTCCTTCCAGTTGTGGTTGTCGCGGCCATAGCACCCAGTGCAGTTGCCCACAGCAGCATGTTGGACCCCGACGTGATGCGTTCGTCTCCAGAAAACCAGAAATCGGCAGTCTCTAGGGCAATCTGCAGATCACCGACCAGTCTGAACATAATGTCGCCCGCTGAGAATGAAGGAAACAGAACAAGCTTGCAGTAGACCAGGCTAGCCAAGCGGCAGCAGTCCACCAGCAAGGTCTCACTTGTCGTGGCTGCAGGAGACGCAATCTCAATTGTCTGGAATGCCATGTGTGAATGCTCTGCTTCTTCGACGATATCCTCCAGTAAAGGCGCACCTAAGGACTCTCTCTGGTACTGATCGAGAGCCACGGTCGCACTAACAGCTCTTCGCTGGCCTTGCTTCAGGAGTGGTGGAAGAGCGGTTATTCCTCTGAACCCGCTTCCTAATTCGAAGGCAAGCAGGCTGGCCTGGACATCGGGTATGTGTCTTCCTGATGTCAGGAGTGAATGGTAGGTTCCATTGTCCTCTTCCGCAAACAAGTCTGAAGTGGTCGCCGACTGCGCAGAGCCCAACGCCGCGTCCAAAAACGAATCGAGGGACTCATGCCAGGGTAAGGCGTTCGTGTATTCGAAAAAGGTCCCGGTGTCCTTGCTTGCGTGCAAGTCGAGTTCGAAGCTCGAGGATTCGTTCGACGGAGATGGCGTTGCGCTCGGTGATGTCTTTGGTGTTGGCTTCGAGGTTGCTTGCTTCGGCATGTCCACTCTGTATACCGAAGTCCATCGGGGACGCGATGTTCGTGCATGGCCGCTACAATCGGCACGTTCACTCGCCTCCTTGATGACGTTGGCAGAGGTCTGACGGGACTTCTCCGTATCGCTGTCCAAGCTGAGGAGGAAGCACGCCTCGAGCGGAGAGGCGGCACCGTCATTGAAACCTGCAGCTTTGCGCGACCCGCGGTTCTTCCTCTGGCGAACAGCAGCGACTTTGGCAGCATGCTGTCGTACCTGGAATGCAATGGCAGACTTGTTCTTCTTGGGATCTCCTGACTGCGGAGTCGTGAATTGGAGCATGGCTGTGAGGAGGATGCTGGTGCTGATGTTGGGCGTAGGCAGGACAGCGACGGGTCCGAGTTACGAACACGATAATGGTGACTCCGGATTATTGAGGGCTCTATAAGGATCGAAACGACTTCCAGCCCTGCCGCGGCCAGTTGTATGCAAACAGGGTACTCCAGTCAGGATGTATTGACACTGCTGCACACTGGGTTAGATTCTCCGCTATATCACAGCCACTGATGCGTGTCGGCGGTGCCGAAGTGACTAAACAGCATCCTGAGAGTATCTACCACCGATAGGTGCGGAAGTACAGGATGCAAAGCCGCCATTGCCATTCGACCATGAGGACACCTATCTAGACAGATTACGAAGTACTACTCCATATGTCGATGGACTGATGGTCCCAATAGGTTGCACCCATTAGAAGGTCCCATGTCTACGGAGTATCGCTAAAGTGCATGGATCTCCATGTCACTTGCTAAGAAATGCTAGCAGTCACCTGAACCGTCATTGCCACAGACGATCCGAGACGTCCAGCGTCTGCAGGACGGTCACCGGTGCCTTAGGCCCCGAATTGAAGCGCTTCTGCCTGAGTCTTCCAAAGTGAAACGTCCCAGATACCCACGTTGGATCGGAACCTGCGATATTAAGGTGGCTAGGGTTATCGAAGCGCCGGAAACAGCAGCACAAGAGACAAGGGACTTCGTCAAAAGGGTTCGCTCCATGCATGGATGCTCGAAGGCAGGATGTCGGTGTATCTCGTTCAAGAATTAAGCTTGGTAGTCTCGGATATGGTCCACATGGTGGTATCAGACCGCCGACGATGGTCAAGTATTACTTCTTCAGGTAAATGGTCCCTCCATTGCGCGCGATACGTACGAGAGAGTTTCTCTCTCCCGCGATGACAATTCTGCGCCACAGCCGGCGTTCTTGAGGTCGTTTCGAAGCTTAACGTGCTCCGAACTCTGTTCGCTATGGTCGATATGTCCATTGTCTGACAGGATCCATGTCTTACCAAGGCGAGCCCACTGCTCCTCCTCTCACAAGCGACGCCGCGGGACCCTGGACTCCATCGACCCTGCAGCGCTTGGCGTCTAAACGCAGTCAGGGATCTGGATGAACCGTGTTGTTTCTAGCCCTCGGATAGCTACAGATGCACCTTAGGTCAACTGGGCCGCTTTGCTTTGTCATTGCGAGGCTGATTGATTCCAGTCTATTCGACCGGCAAACCACTGACATCGAGACAAACCAGCATCTTTGTCCATGGGTAGTCTCCATCGAAGACAATGCCAACATGTGGGAGGGCCGGGTCCAGAAGCCGCCGGCAGATCTGTCTCTTGGGCTTCTAATAGGGGGATTCCTGGCGAGCCACTGTCGGAACGACGGTTCTCACATCCTGCAAAGCAACCTTTTACCCTTCTAGGGAAATCCTGCGCTCGCGACTGATCGGACCTCTGCGATGCTACCAACGTAGCTGCGGCAGGAGTCTGGCGAAGTCACAGCCATGATGCCCATGACCTCTCAGTTGTTCGTGCTCCGCGGTCGGCGTGAGGCGATCGTGCAGAGTCGGAGCGAGAATCCTCATCGAGGCCGTCAACTTCCGCAGAATCGATCGCCATTCGACTTGGACCCTGAGCAGACAATCACTGCAGAAGATGCTCACCGAGATTCCCATCCCAGCACGAGGCAACATGTCCTGCAACGCTACGAACGCACCCCAAGCCCACGGGTCTACCTCGATGACAGGGTCATCGATCGATTCTCGTCTCTGCCGACCGATCTACCTCGCCAGGTGGCTACGTAGCAGCTCTACACCTGTGAGGGTCTACTGTTTTGAAGCGGCTCGTGGACACTGACGATGCCGTCTGCAGCACGGCAATGTTTCGTGGAAATGATCACGAACATCGGCTTTCGTGATGTCTACGGCCCTCGCTTTGCCCACCACGTGTTGCTGTACAGCATGATGTCTGCTGCGATGCTGTTCACGTGGGGTGGCACAGAAGTCCGACCGGAATTACATGCTAGAACTGCAGGTGAACGCGACAGCGGTGCGGTTGCTTAGCGAGCAGATGCGCAACCCGCAGACTGCAGCCACCGAGGCCAACATCTGGGCAGTGGTGGCCCTGGGCTACTCCGGCTATGGTGGTGAAATACGAACGGGAAAGTGTCCTCGCCAGTCTTCTCTGAAAGAGCTTCAGTCGCTACATATCTACGGGAGGCTAGTGATCAACAAGGTCTACGTGGCCGGATTAATGCGGTTGGTGCAGATGCTGGGTGGAGTTGACAAGATCACAACCCCTGGCATAGCCCAACTCATATGCTTGTGAGCTGAAGACGTCCCCGAGCTGCTGGCGTATCTTGTTGACCAAGTTATAGTGCAGATCGGTTCGAGTCGAGTCGGTACCCTGCGGTGAACGTTCATGCCCTTTATACCTCACACAAGGCTCTATGGCGAGGCCGATCGTCTTGCGGTGAGTGTCGCGGAGAGGGAATGGGCCGAGTCAACGATGGGCTCATCGGCAACTTCATTCCCGATGGTGTGGCCGGATCCTCAAGACGAGGCGCTTTCCGCTCTTCTGGGAGTCATACAAGACATGGCCGATTTCACCATAGTCGTGGAAAACTACGTCGAGGGCAGGTTTGTCCCCAGACCGCCGGTGGTGCTGACAGATCAAAGAAACTACATCCAGCACAGGCTGATGTCGCTGGAGTCTCTTGAAGAAATCGAGAGTCGCAGGACGGTGCCGGCCGCTCTCCAGTACGAGGCCTGTCGACTTGCATGCATTGCATATAGCTTTCTTGTCGTTTCCCTTTTTCCCGCCCGTTGTAGGGTTGTTGCCCCCTCCCTGTACCCTTTAAGCAATTGGCGGCGTTCTCAGCCCTTGAGATCAGGCTACTTGTACAACTGGTCTACTAAACATTGGCTCAGGCTCTCCCCCTCAGTCCTGATGGCCATGACGACCTGGCAACGATATGGATCCACAAGATCATGTCCGAACCCGGCTGCCTTTACGCCTACTTCTTCGCCCAACTGATGCGAAACAAGTATAGTCGTCACTTCCACTCGAAGGCACAGCGTCAGCTGCTCCACGCGCACATCGAGACCGTCTCGTATGTCAACAAGGCGCTGTCGGATCCCTCGACCGCTTGTAGCGAGCTTACGATTCTGACTGTCTTCAATCTGGCGTATCAGGTAGGTACATTACCTGGCCATAGGCGCTGACACCCGACCTGCGTACAGGACCCGTCGACGTCCCGAGCAGGGACCACTGCGGTCACTCCGCCTGCTCAACCTATGCGGCGGGCCGATCGAGGCGGCATCTATGCACCGGGAAGGGCTTTTTAAGATGGTTGAACTGCGCGGAGGACTGGACAAAATCACGATACCCGGTTCTGGCCGGTCTGCTCTTGCTAGTGAGTGTCGAACTCGAAAATTGACGGGAAGTAAACAAAAGCGCACGGACAGGACTCGTCTAACGAAACATTGTTTGCACCAGCGCGGATGTGATCGTTGCGACTCGCACCGTATAGCCGACACGACTGCCCTTCGCCCCTTGCGTCAAGGGCGTCGACCTCGACGGGCCCCTCTCGCGCACCCGCCGCACCGACCATCCGCTCCGCACGCTCGGCCAGGGGTTTTCCATCCTCGACCACTTCGGCTCGCCTCTCAGGTCGCTCGACCTGCAGATCGCCCTGCACCGCCTGAGCCTCTATACGCTCGCCGTGGACGACTACCTTGTGGGAAGATCCGCCGCGCAGAGCCTATCCCTGCTCGGCGTGGAGCGGTCCTTCGCCATACATTCGCTAATGGGACTCACTGTGGCGGTAGATCCCGACACTGACGGGGACGGCGGCACTCCTCGCGGCGGCGCTCCTTGCGACGACGACGACGACGAGCTCCTCGACCTCTGCCACGTCGCGGCCCTGATCTACAGCGTGCTATGTGTGCTTCCGCTGCCTGCCGCGCCGTTTCCAGCTTCTCCTCCAGCGGACCAGAACACTCTTGGCGCGACGGAGCTTCGCGAGAGAATGGTCCGAAGCAACGGCCATCATGCGGTGGATTGCATTCATGGCGGGGCATTGCGACCTTGGGAGCAGGTGACAGCAGCACCAGCAGGTCGTGGTTCGTCGGGTTGATCGGTCGGGGTGCAAGTCAACTACAGATCCGGTTCCTTCGAGGCGCTGAAAGAACCGCGTCCTATTGGAACATCTGTGGTTGCCGACGACGAATGACGGGGGACGGGAATGATTTGTGGGATGAGGTTGAGATTGCATCTCAAGATGATGATTGACGTCCTCCCAACGAATACGTCCCGACCGGACGGATGAGCTGAGCTGATGAATGATGAGATAGCGAACAGAAAAGCCAGATTCGACTCTACTGAGGAACCGCAAGATGCCGCCTTCTGCATCAGAGTGTCCGATCTGGAAATGGAACCTGGTCTTGCACTCAGTAACCCTGGTAGGTAGTGCAAGATTCCGCCGTCCCATCTAAGAAAGTCCGATCTGGAACCGGAACTGGAACTTGGACTCACACTCAGCTACAGTACTGTACCTGGTAGGTAGGTAGGTAGGTAGTGCAAGATTCCACCGTCCCATCTCGGAAAAGTCTGATCCTGCGTACGATGTTGGGATTCTGTCCAGGCTCTGGCGCTGGCTCTGTCTGCGTTGCTACTCATCACTCTAAAAGTCAATGCTCCACCTACAGTATAACTCAGGTACCCACAACTTCAAATCCACCGAGACAATAGACAAAAGGTAGGAAGACGACGGTTATAGAGCGTCCGTCAAGCTTACTTGCTTGGGAGTGGGACAGCTAGCTACTGGAGGTAGATAGATATAGGGCAGTCTTTCTGCAGTGCCGCCACTTGTGTGTCGATTCAGATGAGGCCTACCTATGTACAGAGTACAGAGTACAGGTACATACAGAGTACATACAGAGTACACCGGTTCCTGGCATCATTATCGGTATCGATGTCCTTTTCAGCGTGATTTTCAGTGTATTATAGGTATGGGTACAGCGTATGATCGGCATCGCTGTTGAGTATGAGTATGACGAAGTGTATAAGTCTTCAGTAGGTATCGAATTTTAGTAGTAGCGGGTGTCGGTGTCGATGTTGGAATCAGTTTTAGAATCAGTTTTTGGTAACGATCCTCAGGATCGATTCTTTATCAGTTTGGTATCAAGTTTAGTCCTGGTACCGGTGTTGGTATCAGCATCACCACCATCACTACTAACTCGAACATCAATATCAGTATCAGTATCAGTATCAGTACCAGTATGGCCATTTCAACAAGCATGTATGTATGTGTGCGCCTTGCCTGCCTGCATTGGCATGACTTGACTTGGTTTGATTGTGCAATATCCATCCATCACTTCATCCCTGCATGCCTCATGCATGCCTGCTCCTCCTCCTCCTGCCACTCCCATTCCTACTCCTGCCCAGCTCCAGCTCCACCCCAAGCCCAAATGCAGTCATTCTTTTCGTGGATATCATAAGCAAAAACCCGGGTCCGGCTTCCAGATGGCCTCCCAAGAAGTCCCGCCCCAACTAACGCCGTGGATGAAGATTGCCAATGCCCCAAGCGGTCTCTGACTCTGGCCCATGGCCCTATGCCATGGGAGTCGTGTGAAAATCGTCCGCCGAGTGTAGAAGCCTGTGAAATAGGTAAAAGGTAGGTAGGTAGGGTAGTAAAGTCGACGAAGATAGAGAGTAATGGGATCTGAGCGTATTATGACATGGCAAGAATTGCCCTTATACAAAGGCGCGATTACGACGATCCGGTGCAGATTCCTGGCAGAGAAGCTATCTTTGCTGGAACTGCATGTTTTGCTGCTGCTGCTGCTGCTGCTGCTGCTGATGCTGTTGCTGCTGCGCCATCATCTGTTGCGCGTGTTGCATCTGCATCTGTTGCATCTGCTGAGCTTGCTGCTGCTGGAGAAGCTGCGCCATGTTAGGGGGCACCTGACCTCCTTGCATGTTCTGCATCCCCATCATGCCGTTGGGCATGCCGCCGCCTTGCTGCTGTGCCATTTGCTGGCGCGCTTGGAGTTGTTGCATTTGCTGCATCGCCTGCGCCTGGTTTGCTTGAGCCCCCATCTGGCGTTGCTTGTGCATTTGCTGTGCCGCCATTTGTTGGGCTTGCGCTTTGATCTGCTGCACCTCCTGAGGCTGAAGCATCTGTGGGTTCCCGCCGTACTTGACGGCGGCTGCTGCTGCGAATCGTTGTTGATATGCTTGGAAAAACCGCTGGTACTGCTGCCGTTGTGCATCAGAGTCCATCTGAACCCGCTGTTGCGGATGCGGCATGCCCTGACCCATCATTTGTCCTTGAGCTTGCATCATCCGCTGCTGCTGCTGCTGTTGGGCATGGACCATCTGCGCTTGCTGCTGTTGAGGAGTCATATGATTAGGCGCAGGCGAGCCATGGGTTTGTCCCTGCTGGAGGCTCTGCATCTGAGCCTTCATGGCCTCCGCAACTTGCTGATTGTACGCCTTCTGGTTCTGGCTCGGATTCGGCGACATATGCGTGGTTTGTGGAGTTCCTTGCTGCGACTGCATGGCCTGTTGCTGCTGTTGTTGCCGAATGGCAGCCTCTCGGTTGGCTTGAGCCTGCGCCTGCTGAGCCTGCATCTGGGCCATCTGAGCGGGAGATATCTGAGGAGTGCCATTAACCATTCCATTCTGCATGGCCGCTTGCTGAGCCGCTTGTTGTTGCTGCTGCAGAGCATGCCGTCGCTGCAATTCGGCCATCTGCTGAGGATTCAGCTGTTGCCTGTGAACACCGTTCGGCATCTGTGCTTGCATGCCGGGCATCATGCCAGCGGGCATCATCTGAGGAGTGACCCCGTGTGGACTAGCGTGGGTGACGGGCTGAGCGGGAGTATTTTGCCGCATGATCGGCGTGGCATTTCTCTGAGCAGGAGTGCCATGAGGAATTTGCGGAGTGCCATTGCGACTTGGGCCTTGCTGACTGGGACCCCTTGTCATGGGAGCGCTGGGATGACCATGCTGTACAGCCGAACTTGGTCTCGGTGGTGATCCGTGACCTTGCTGCGAGCCAGACACTGCCATAGGGGCTCCGCCTTGAGCAGCGCTTGTGACGACAGGTGATGAAGCCATGTGTGGAGTGCCTTGACGGACGACAGGTGATCCGCCCTGCATCATCTGGTTCCGCATGTTAGGAGGAATGCCATTAACCTGCGACGAAGGAGGCCGTTGTGCGGGCTGGGGAGGTTGCTGTTGTTGGGCAGCCACCGCGGCCGCCACTTCTGCCTGACGTTGACGCATCAGGCGGGCCTCTTGCGTTCGGTGCATCAAGATGCGCTTCTTCTCTTCCTCCTGCATCCGCTCTTGCTGGCCTCTCCTAGTCTCGTCTTCCTGGAGCTGTCGATCCTTCTCCCGTTGCTTGCGCTCTGCGATTTCACGCTTAATGTTATCGAGCGCATTGAACTTCTCGAATCGCGGCTGGAACAATGCGGCCGCTGCTTGACCATCCCCAGCACCTGCGTTTCCAGCACCGTTAGTGCCGGCGGTGCGCTCATCCATAACGAGCATAAACCGCTCTTGTTCCTTCGCCTGTGCATCATCGGCCGCAAGCTCGGCAATCGTTCTCTTGCGGCTCTTCGGCGATGGTGGCCTTTGGTCGTGCAGTGGATCTTTCAACATGTGAAGCAGAGTCTCGGCTTCTTCAAGATTCTCCACCGGGTCGAGATATAACGGGGGCGCCGTGGCATTCACAACCCTGCCCTCATATTCGAGCATGTCCTTCGGGTCGATCTTCAGCTTTTGCTTCTTGAACGGCGGGCCTCTCTCGGTGGATGGGGTTGGTGGCATGCCCGAGATCGGGGTTTGAGGAGGAGCGCCGGTACCAGCTGTGCGGCCACTCACGTTAGCCTGCGACCCTTTCCGAGTCAGTGACTTCGGATCCGGTTGCATCGCATCGATGACGAGATCCATATGTCGGGATAGAATGGTGGGCCGCAGCGCAACATGGTAAACTTTCGGTTGCGGTCGAGATGACTTGGGGGGTGCATCGGCAGGTTGTTCGGGCGGAGGTACTCCTTTCTGGTCGGTCTGTTCCTGTTTGAGGGGAGGAGACTTTGCGACGGACTGCTCTTTCGTCGGGAAAGGCGCATAGGGCGAGGGTGTGATGTATTGGTTGTAGTTATGAATAGAGAACGGCTTCTCGTCGTCTGCAGCGGCACCCGAGGCAAGGGCTTCTTTTGCGGCCGACTTGTGGTCCACCACCCGGACTATGAGCCAACCATCGTAGTATTTGACGTCTGACTTCCGAAACTCTTCCACCATGTCATGCGGAATGGTGCCCTTGGCGAGATGTTCGATGAAGACGCGCATTTCCGAGTGGTAGCTGAAACTGCCGTCCTGTTGGTCGAAGCGAAAGTGGGTAGGATGAAGATGTACAATGAGAGATGGGGTGCAGCCCTTGAACTTGCGCAGGATGTGCGTCTCTTTGGGAACTGGAGGCGAAATTTCGTCAGTCCTCAATCCGCCAACACTCCACAAAAGTCTGGACATACCATATGGCTCCGGATACTTCTTGGCCGCCCGCTTATCCTGGGGCCCACTGTCCGCCGTGTTATTTCTCGTGGTCAAGCGCTGGAGCCGTCGATTCGGTCGGGCTGCGCCATTTGTCGCGGCGGCATTGCTGGTCGCAGACGTTGGGGTTTGGAGCTGTCCAGGAAGGCTCTTGCGCGCGCTGGAGGGAGAGGCAGAGGGCGCTGTGGGCTTGTGTCCGTTGATATTTGTCTGCAGCACGGGCGCGGGGGGCTTCTTCATCTTGGTCGCCGTGCCCGCAGGCTTCGCCATGACTGCGGCCATGATGGGCTGCGACTAGGCGCAGAAGCGGCGGGTGGATCTTGGGGGCAGTAAGACGTTCACTCGGAAGGAGATGAGATCCCTTTACAAGGTCCTCGGCCGTGATGCGACGCTAGTGAACCAACGCGCATCATGAGGGGCAGAGGTCGGACGGAATTCGTTCGGGAGAGGTAGGGGGCAAATGTGACTTGATCTCTCGAAGAGAGGCGCCCAGGGGATAATGGCGACGAAGAGAGCGTGAGATATGGAGTCGAAATGAATGAATGCGTCGAGATCGGGTTTGGCTGGTGACGGGCAGTCGCAGTATCATCGTAGTCGCCTCAAGGTCGGAATAGAGTTCGCTTGGCATTGCGCTTACACGCTTATGCCCTGCCAGAGTCGTACGGAGGAGCACGGATATATGAAACGCCGAGCCTTCCCCTGACTCCCCGAGCGAGGTACAAACCGGCTGCGCTACCGACACCGGCAAAGTCGTGGGATGTTCGCTCATTCTCCGCCCTTGGCTGACCCCGCTGGCTATCATTGACCCAATCGTGAATGAACATTTCAGGTCAAAGATGTCTGTCGGGCAGTTTGGAAATGACGGGATCTGCACAGGGAATGCGGAGTTATCCCTGTACTTGTACTTCCACTTCCCGAACACGCCTGTCTGAAGAACTCGACCACGACCACTGCATTCCGAACAACCAGTAACCATCGGGGGGCCGATGGTCCGCTACCTTGCGTGAATATGGCTGACAATGCAGACACCGTTCTTCTTCGAGGAGGTACAATCCTCCAGCACGGGGCGGACGACAAGATCCATGTCCTCCAAGACACGGACCTTCTGATTGAGGGAGAACTCATCAGCAAAATCGGGAAAGACTTGGAGGCGAGTCCTAACGCTAAAGTGATAGACTGTCGCGGCAAAATCGTCTCGCCGGGCTTCGTCGACACGCATCACCACGTCTGGCAGACCCAGTTGAAGGGCAGACACACGGACGACACCCTGCTCGACTATACCGCGAAAGGAAACTGGCAGCCATTCAACTACACGGCCACTGATGTCTTCTGGGGCGAGCTAGGAGGCTTACTCGAGGCCATCGATGGCGGGACAACGTGTATCGTCGACCACGCCCATATGGCATACTCAACCAGCCACGGCGTCGCTGGGTTTGCCGCCACTCTTACTGCTGGGATACGGTCCATATTCTGCTTGAGCTTGACACCTCGCCTCGACAGGTGGGATAATCAAGTCATCGCCAACACTCAGCTGCTGCCGGACTGGTTCTTCCCGCTACTGACCGACCTCGAGAAGCAGTGTCGGCCGTCTAGCGGAAAGGTGGCCATCGGGTTTGGCTTCGATTCGTATACTTTGCCGCCCGACGACGTGATACGCATTTTTGAGAGCGCGCGAAAAGCTGGAGCCAAGGTGATCACATCACATTGGCGAAGGAACCACATAGCCGGTAAGGAGTGGACGGTGCACACGGGCTGGCTCCCTCTTCTGGCTCTGACGATGGGCAGGTATGGGATTGTCGGTGCCCAAAGCACTTGAACAATATGGCCTTCTCAAGCCTGACATCATCCTCTCTCACGCGACCGGGTCAACCGAAGAAGAATTGCAAATCTTGCAGAAGTCGGGAGCTTTTGTCTCCACGACGCCTGCTACGGAATCTCAAATGGCTCACGGAGAGATCATCGGTTTCAGAAGAGACGTACGAGGCTCCATTGGTGCCGACTGTATGTGTTGGATCCAGCTCGTCGTTAGCGAAGAAGTACTGACCATGCGTGCAATAGGCCATTCTAACAATCCTGCAAGCTTGCTTCACGCCATGCAGATTGGTCTTGCAGTAGCGCGATCGCATCGAAACTCCAGGATCTTGGCCGACGGCAAATTCCCCAAACGGATCGAGCCCACGACAGAACATGCTTTCAATTTGGCAACAATACTGGGAGCGCGAGCGGCAGGTGTTTCCGACAAGACCGGCAGCTTGGTCGAGGGCAAAGCGGCAGATATCATCATCTTCGATACCGACACCCCTGCCATGTGTTGCGCTTATGACCATGACCCTGTCGCGGCGGTAGTCCGACACGCTGGAGTGCAAGAGATCAACACTGTCATTGTTGCCGGCAAGCTCCTCAAGGAGAAGGGCCGTCTGGTTGATATTTCCTTCCGTGGTCCCGAAGTCTGGGATGGCACTGAGGGTGTCCTTTCGACCTTTGGGCGTGGAAGCATCCCGTGGGCCGCAGTTGCAGACCAGCTGAGATACACGAGGCTGCAAATACAGCGGAGAATCGACTCTTGCGATATGGATGTGGCAAAGGCAGAGATACTCAAGCTCTGGGGTTCACAAGCAGGTGCAAACTTACTAGTCTGAGACGAGACGCAATCTGCCTTCCGCAATGCCAGTCCGCCTTTCGATGTCTTTGCTTTCCAAACCAGCTCCACTTTCATGTATAGCGGGTCCCAGAGAGATCGTGGGTCCTGCGTCGTGGTGGCCAACAACGTTCCCACACAGGCTTATATGCTGCGGTGGAGCTCGACCGGGGGCGTTCTACCACAAGGTAAGCATGGATCAACGCTTGGATAGTACGAAACCAGCCCTGACCTCGTGAAACAGTACCCACCAATGATGACGGTGCTTCGGTCTTCGAACCGAAGGAACGGCTATGGCAAAACAGCTGAAGCTAACTAAGGGAAGATTGTAGTGCCCTTGGTGATCCATGTACACAAACATAGAAAGATAGCACCAACCGGCATTATGACGAACGAGAGGAGATTTCTCGCCCTCAGTCGCTTCGAATACTTGTTGCCACTGCCACTGCCACTGCCATTGCCATTGCCATTGCCATCGCCGCCGACGACGGCGCGTTTCCCCAATTCAAGCACCATGGCCGCCAAAATCCCACCGTTATATCGAGTTCAAGAGCGTGAACGATACCATGTTTCGAGTCTGCTCGCATCCAGCTGGCCATGCAGCTCCAGCCATCGTTTCGCTGGGCGGGGCAAGTATGGTATAGGACTTTCATGCTGCATCGCTGATGTCCTCGCTGGCTTACTTCACTCTTGTCTGCACCTCTTGTGCGTCGAGGAGCAATGACTACTATACCTCGACGAGTTCGCGACCCAAATTCAAGAAAGCTGGCTGGCATCTCTTCCCTGGCCCACGACAACCGTTGCTTCGGAGCGAGGCTTACGTTTTTTGATTTTGATCCTCTCTGCAGGTCTTCATCGATCGTCCTTATCCTCTGTCGCGGTCCCTGTCGCTGTAGCACGGCCCTTGGCTTTATTCTGATGCTGCATTTCCAGAAGGCTTTGCTTCTTGACATACTCCATCACAATCTGCTCTTCCGTCCTCTCTTGTGTCGTCTTCTCCTCCCGCTGTCCCTTCTGCTGTCGCGCCTCGAACTCATTCTGCGTGGTACCCTCGAGATGTGCTAGATCATGCGGAGAGGGTTGCTGGACTCCTGGTGACCCACCAACCACGGCTGCCGCCTTCGCCGCCATGTTTTCGGGGGTTCTGATTACCCGCTCGAAATCCTCATCGCCCTCGTCATCAAGACCTATATTCGACTCCCCGACACTGGCGCTGCCCCTCTGCCTCTGCTCCCTCAGACTCTGCGCCATGGCTCGCTTCAGCTGTTTCTCATATTCCAATGCTTCGCTTGCGTGTCGCCGAGCTTCTGCTTCGCTGGCCGCCATAGCCTGGCGCAGATTCTCCTGATCTGCCTGATGATCTGCAGCTCCATGTCGTTGGCGCTCGATCCGAGAAACGTTTTCCTGAATCGCCCGCTCCACATTGGCATCCTTTTCTGCCGTCGCACGTGACGACTCCTGGTCTGACAATACGAATGGTTCCGTTGATTTCAGCCGCTTCCAGCGATTCTTCGGAGGACCGTGAACCACCCGTGGCGAGTATGGGACTCTTGGGATCTAGGATCGGAGCATCTGCACCGGCGGTGTCAGCAGAACTCGTGGTATGTCCGGAGTTTTGACGGCCGTCTCCATCCTCCATCTTCATCTTCCGCTGTGCTTCCAGGACATCTCGCACCATCTCGTCAGGCGTGCGTTTTTTCTTCAGGTATTTCTGTATCAGCTTCCACCGAACGATGACGTCTTGCTTCTCTACATCGGAGCTCTCCAGCCACTCCTCGTATCCCTGAGCTGTCCTGGACGCCGCGATGTAGTTCTGCACATTGCTGCCGAATAACTTCTGCACCTCTTTGTGGACCCCCTTCATCATATGGCCGGGGATCCCGAAGAGGGCTGCGCCTGGCTTAGTGGCCAATCCTCCGATGCCTTTGCCAATTCCTTTGAAAAAGCCGCTGGTACCCTCTTTCTGGGCGCCTTTCCAGGGCTGAGTGAATAGGCCCGTAACGCCATCGTACCAGCCGAAACCAAACTCTTTTCCTGCTGCCGTGACGCCTGACTTGAGATCACTGACTTGTTCTTGAGGGCGCACGGTATCGTCTCCCCAAAGCTTAGGAACGTTGTGGAACCCTTTGGTGATACTCATTGAGAGGTCCATAGGTGCCTGTATCGCCGCCTTTGCGATCCGCCCGAAGCCTTTGCTCGTATGCACGCCAGTCTGGCGCATCATGTCATTGTTTTTGCCGAAGCCGGATTCATCCCGGCTGCGGACTCGCCTTCGGCTAGCGCCGTCTTGTTTGGGATTCAAGGGGCCCTGCAATGCATCGGAGGACGTAGAGCTTGATCCGTTGTTCGAAGTGGGAGATGTCAGAACGGAGAGGTTGGAGGGACTCCGAACATGAGCAAGAGATTCCTGCAGATCCATGCTCGTCTGACTTTGCTCTGGCGAAGTTGGCGGAGTTGATCTTTCGCCAATATGTGAGGTCTCCTTTTTCCCTGCGATTGTCGGCATTGATCCGTGGTACTGCTGTCGACTGGACCCCATCGGGATCTGCAAAGCTTTCCACGTTTCCGAGGGGAAATCGGCTACCCCCATGGCCATGCTGCTGATTGCCCCGAACAGTGCTGCAGCAAATCCGGATATTGGATCCCAAGGACCTTCGTCGGTCGAGTATTCTTGTGGTCTGAAGAGCTTCAAGTCATGGAAATCCAAGAGATTTGCATTCGCTAAAGCGCACGCAGCAAAAGCACTCAACCTGACCTGCGTGCGCTTGACGCGCCACGCAGCAGGTCGAGAGGGTGCAAGGGTGCAACGGAGTCGGTCAGCCCTGAGATGTTGATGGAACGACTGAGCACCCATGTCGGTACCTCGTTCCTCCGCGATCTTGCTTGCGAGTTCTTTGGCGCGTTCCAGACTATCGTGTTTCAGACAGAAGTTGATGGCATCGGCTAGTTTGTCCGCTGTGAGTTGTTTGTAGGGGATTGGATCGGGACCAGCACCTGCGCGCGCGACCACGGCGCCCCAGAAAGGCTGGTCCCCAAAGAAGGAAACGATTACAGTCGGCCGGCCCGCGGTTATGCCTGCCGCCGTGGTTCCTGCGCCACCATGGTGAACGACGCACGAGACGTGCTTGAAAAGCCAGTCATGCGGCACGTTACCTAGCATGAAAACTTGGTCGGGGATGTGAAGCTCGTCCACGCCTATGCCTCCCCAGCCTTTGGAAAGGAGAACACGCTGGCCAGTCTTCCTCACTGCCTCGAAGATGAGCTCTGTCATCGCATTGGGATCGTCCAAAACGATGCTCCCGAATCCTATGTAGACAGGGGGTGGACCAGCATCGAGGAAGGCCTGCAAATCAGGAGCGGGGGTGTAGTCAGAAGCTGAGTTGAGAAAGTAGAACCCAGAGATGGATATATGGAAGCCCCAGTCTTTTGGTTTGGGTATCAAGGTCGGTGACCAGCAGTAGGTGTGAGGGACTTTGAGCCGCTGAAGCATCCCGGGGGCCCAGATCAGACTTACGGCGTCTAAACCGAGACACCTCGCGCGAAATCGGTTGATGATATCACCCAGACCCTGCCACGAGAGGACTTCGATCATAGCATAACTTATGTAATTAGTTAGTTGAGGGTCGGCATTGGAGGATTGGATGTTGGCCAGTGGGTGGGGAAAGGCCTGGGTGGGAGAGTATGGCATAGTAAACATAATATGGAGAGGGATGCCCAGCTTCTCGGCACAATGTATATGGGCGAAGCTTGGGGGGTTGGCGATGATACAGTCGGCGACAAAGGGTCTTGCTGCTTGCTCGGGGCTAGGGTCGTTCCCTGAGGGGTTGGAAGGGTCATCGTTGGTAGTATGTAGACTCGTTCCATCACCGGCTTGGTAACATGATCGCCAACAGCCTTGAATATACTCGGCAACATCTCTCCTTCGCTGGCCGACATCTCCACTTAGTAGACTGCGAACGCCCGGCATCAGGCTGGGATTCTTGACCATGAAGGCCATTAGCCGCGCGGGGTCGCCGCCGATGCTGAAGAATTCCAGGCCATGCTCCTGCACAAAGTCCTTAAAAATGAGATGAGTCGCTAGACGTACGCGATGGCCGTAGGTGTCTTTCAAAACTTTGCCCAAGGCAACGAAGGGTTGCACGTCTCCGCGCGAGCCCACGACCTGGATGACGATGTTCAATGGTGGGGGTGGAGGAACTCCTTCCTCGCCTCCCAAGGACGGCGGAATGTAAGGGGAAGGAGGCGGTGGACTTTCTTGGACACTCTGAATCTGTTCACGTAAAGCAGGATTGAAGACCTGGGACAGACGGCGGTTGAACTGATTGATGCGGATATTGATACGGCCGTCGTCGGTGACACTGGTACTGATGCCCAGGCCATTCTTTTCGTCGCGGATCTCGCCATGGATCTGGCCGTACGGAGGAGGTGGCACGTCGTCCTCGGCCAAACCGGGAGTGACGAGGTCAGTCATTTGCAAGAGGGTCTCCCGTCTTGTAGGTCTTGCGGGATTGGCCTCGGCGGCAGCGGCAGCTCGTGCTTGCTGAAGCATGGATTGCTGCATGAGGGCTTCCGGGACGCGACAGCCCATTCTGAGGGAGATTGAGTGGCCATATAGTTAATGAGAGAGCGCACGCTGGGTTCACCGTGGTCAGTCACGGCATCTGCATTGTGTCGTGGTAGAGTGACCGAGGCGAGTGGCTGAGTGAGGTGACGCGGCTGCAGGGACAGAGGGTGGGAGGCATTCCGTCATAGACGCATAGGTACCTACCCCTGGACCCTATTAATGCCAATCCAGGCGTGCGTGATTGATCAGTAGCCTGAGCAGATTAGAGAAGCGTCCCGTGGCAGGCAGCATTGAAGACAGACCTGGGTTTTGGATAGTCTTTGTACCTGATAAGGTCAAGGCAGCAACTTTGCGCCCAGGCAGCGCCCAATTGGGCCGTCTAGCAGCAGGATAATTGGGCCGTCCCCTGGCAGATTTGAGCTGCTAGACGTAATTGCCGGTGGTTCAACTGACCACTCCGATGACCTTGACCCTCACGCCGTTGGTATCCAGTTTGGGACCGGGCACAAAGAAGTCGTGCTTCAGCTTCACATCAGATATGTCGGTCTCGAACAACCCGGATCGAAACCGCCGAACAAGGCCGCCATCAGCAGAAACAGCTCCGCCCAAGCCAGGCTGCGGAAGTGCTGAAGTAAATCATATCTTCAGGCGAGATACTGTTAGTTGGTGGAAGCGGCAATTAGTTGGTCCCAAGACAACCTCTAGCCCCTTTGCCAAAGCCGACAAAGTAGTGCTCGAGCGGAGCACCTTCTGGCGCTTTTTGATTGCCCATCCATCGTTCTGGGCGGTACGTGTGCGAATCCGGAAGATACGTTCATGGTGGTGGACGTCAACGATGATCATGCCAACAGCCGTCCGCGGAGGGATTATCCACTCTTCATACTGCAGTCGCTGATTAATCATAAGCGGGTTTCGTGCTGAGATTCCATAGGAGAGTCGAATGGCCTCCGTGATACAGGCTCAAAGGTAGCGTAGCTTTTCAACCTCCAGAAGGTCCGGACTCGTGGTAGGGTCAGGGATCGCTTGAACAAGCTCTTGACGCAATCGAATGTAAATTTTGGGGCTGTGGACAATATGGAAAGAACCAACACTTAGTGCCACGCTGTCGTTTCGATGCCTCCTCCTATAACGGCCTGAGGCTCGTAGGCCGTGCGGCGGTTGCTGTTATCTTCAGGTGCAAGGGAACTGAGCAGGAGGTCATGAAATATCGTGCGGTGTGTTAACTTCTCCTTCAGAGCCTCTTCCTTGATAAGTAGTTGAATCATGACCCTGAGATCCTGCAGTACTGCGATTCAGTGCCAGCCGACAATTCGGAGCTATGCTATATGCCCAAATTTTGCAGCCGCAGGAGGCTTCCAAGGGCCGGCTGCATGCTTCAGAAAGGCTCTGAGGAAGGCTGTTAGGAGCTACGTGATCTCGGTCCTTGCCGTAAAGGATTGTGATCCGATGAAAGTAACTCACCGGATGGAACCACGGCAACTGGACCGCGATGTGGCCGAACCGGCCGACAGCCATGAACGCTGCGTGGAATGATTCCGAGAAGTCTGCAGAGTTGAGGTGATTGTAGCAGATTCCAAATGAGTATTCCGTGATGATATCGCCTGTAAATGCCGGGAAAGCACCGCTTAGGACGATCGCAGCATCCCTGCCCTTATCCTTGCGGACCTTCCTGCTAATCAACTCGACCTTCTCACGGATGACAGGTTGAAACTCCAGGATTGGGCGTTTCGAGAAACCGCGCTCAACCTCAACCAAGTTCGGGCCGCGTTTCTTCCTTATCTAAGACTCAGGAGGGGTTCAGCGCTATGCGATGCCGACGATGTAAATCGAAGTCCGCCGTCGTGACGACCGAGCCGTGATTTCCAAATCTACCAGCAGCCCAGTCGTGCTTATCCCGGCATGGACCCTAGACCTATAGCTCGCCGAAGAAATCGCTGTCCTTGATATGGGATCCCATCGGGCGCGACTCAGAAAATGGGACTAGAAGAGCAAGTATCGGTTGTCGGTTCGCGAGCCTTTCGAAGCAGGCGCCGATTGTTTCATCGTCAGATCATGAAGTCAACCGTACCATAGTGGTCATGCATCTCATCTATCCTCTTGGACTAATGTCCCGGGAGAACGACGTCGTACTAGGATTCGTACCATTGCGACGGGGCTGTCGCTGTCGCTGTCGCTCCCGGGAATTTGGCCAGCGGAAAGAAATACAATACTGTCAACGGAAGCCAAGTGAGCAGAGATGGATTAGAGTCTGGAACTCGACTGACGACGGGCCAAGACGGGCCCGACTGAACACAGCAGTAATTAACCTTCAATTCCTCGTGTCTTGTGTCTTGTCCCCCGACCAGTTTTGTGGGGAGAATTCACCTCCCTTAATCACCCCGATCGCCGTGGCCAGGCAGCACGGTACGGAGCACCGAGACCGTGGAACCTAGTGGCTAGACGAGATCTTGGGTATACTTGGTGACCTGGGTAAAAGCTCGACTTTGTTGTTCGACATCGTAACATAACATAGATACGTTCCATGAGCTGCTCAGAGAACATGAGGGGCATACTTCATATTGCGCGTGTGATGAGATACTATAAGAAACGTCTCTCGGATCGGTCTTCGAAAACGGCGCGGTCTCAAAAACAGACCAAGAAGTCAAATGCGACACTGATCCCAGATCGTCCAGACTAATCAATCCAATTAATCCTTCTCATTGATCCTCCGTTCCCAATCTTCACCGACCTTCAGACTTTCCACCACGGCGACCCGTCTCCCTACGCCCGTGCGTTCTTCCTTCTGCCACCACTTCTCGCCTCTTTTATATCCGCCCACCGCGCTGCCCTCGTCATCCGTGTCGATTAAGCCGCCGTGTCCGCCTTCATCGCCAATCACAATGACAGTCTGCCTCACCCAGCCGGAGAGGTCGGACACGATCTCGCCGTCCCGCCCGCATAATGACTCCTGGATATACACGACCTCGGGCGCGAGGGAGCGGAGAATGTGTTTATGTCCGTTGGGCGACGTGTAGGGCAGGACCATGGTGTCGCGATCAACGATACCAATCGCTTGGCTGTAGAGTGTTTTAAACAGGCTCGACGACTCGTCGATGGGCTTCGGGTCGACGTGCGTTAGGATGCCGTCGCTGCTGGGGAAATCGCCTGGAGTGACGGCTGGCGTGTGTGCGTCGGTTTGGCTGATGTTGGAGAACGAGGAGGCCATGCTCTGCGACGGGCGGCGTGCCGGCGTGTGCGAGCTGCTTAGGGGGTGGGTTTTTAGGTCGGGAGCGTAGATGAGAACGAATACGCGGGTGGTTTCGGGGTCAATGTATTCGGGGAGGTGGGAGAGGATCGACTGCAACATGTTCGTTAGTCACGCTCAACGACTGTCACAGGTAACTCCAAAAGGGAGATATGAGGGGGGGCCAAATACACTCACGGCATGGTCGCCGACATCACCGTCGGCGTCGCCCACAGCTGAAACGACAACAGCCACAGTCTTCCGTTTGGGACTTGCAATCGAGGCAGAGCGCGGCAGTTCGACGCTTCCGGAGAAGAATTCCTCAGCCGTGCCGCGCCTCTTGATGCCCTGCTTGACCTGGCGGTCGTTGTCGCGTTGTTCTGCCTCCTCGCTCCACCGTTCGTGGTCTTCGTAGCCTTCTCCGCCTCCGCCACTCAGTGTGCTGATCGCAGCACCGACCATTGCCCCTGCTGCAGCGGTTGCGGATGCGAAAGGCCTATTCGTCCAGTCGTACGATTGAGCTGGATTCTGGCCAAGAGAGCGCTCGCCGGAAGGTGTGGTTGAACGACCGAACCCCAATGCGCTAGACATGCGGGCCACTAGACCTGTCTCTTGCTCCTGTTCCAGAGCCGTCGAGCGAGCTGTAGAGCGCCACTCCTCTTCCGTCCCTCGCCAGCCCGGAGGCGGAGGACCGCCTTGAAACCCGCCGGGCGGGGGAGGAGGTCCTTGGAACGTTCCTGGCGGTCCAAACCCTCCGGGCTGCAGCGGACCAGGCATCATAGGTTCCAGAGGTGGTCCCGGAGGGCCTTGAAAGCCGCCTGGCGGCGGAGGTCCAGAGATACCTCCACTCATGGTATACCCTGACTGAGCTGCACCTCCCTGATAGTGTTCATCTTCGCTGGAATCGTACTCGTCATCTTTTCTCTCGCCCCATACCCATGCGGCGAGACCGATTGTCGCGGCCGTGACCGTCAGGGCGAGCGGCACCCAGTAACCGAACGTCGATCTGGAGCCCGAATACCCGTATCCGCCCGAGGAGGTCGTCTTGCGCTTTCGCTCCGTTACCGTATAGGAGTATGACATATTTGCATCGGTCCGTCAATGGTGCTGCTCGTCTCAACGCACTGAGGAATGCTCGGGGAGTCCTGTGTTTACTTTCTCCAACCGAGGTCTGGCGCTCTGATCTCCACAAGTCTTCACGACGCAGTGACAGTCAATGCCTGGACAATGGACTTGCTCTGCTCCATCGAAGCCACGGGATGAGGTGACGGAGGAGGAGCAAAGTGCGGGCGGAGGGGGAGGGCGAGTTGAGCTGAATTGCGCGTGGCTGGAAGATGCGCCTCCATCTCCAGAGATTCCCAGCCTCGAGGCAACAACTTTCCCCACATCTCACTCGCTTGCTTCCAGCAAGCCAATGACAGGAGTTCCATAGCGACCAGGAATCCGTGTGCTCGGGTGTCTGTTGTCTGGTGTGCCTCGATTGATGGTCTCTCGTCAATAAGTCACAATGGGCGACTCAGCAACCCGGCGGCGAGCACCAAAAGTCACGTCCTCGGCATCCAAAGCCACCGCCCATGTCGATGATCAGCCCGAAGACACCAATTCACGAGTGATCTCGTTGCTCGACGTCCTGCGCCTCCTCCTCACCCTCGTGTTTGCGTCATGCCTGCTCTCATACTACCTCACCTCCGGAGCCTCCTTCACCTTCAACTATAGTCCCTGGTTCCTCAATGCCTCAAAACTCTCGACCTGGTGGAGCGGCCCTCTCCTGCTGACGCCCGCACAGCTGGCGCTCTACAACGGCACGGACCCCTCCAAGCCAATATACTTGGCCATAAACAATACCATCTTTGACGTGACCGCGGGGAGACACACCTACGGACCGGGTGGAAGCTACGAGGTTTTTGCGGGTCGAGATGCCACGAGAGCGTTTGTAACGGGTTGTTTTCTCGAAGATCGGACGGGTGACCTGAGGGGAGCGGAGTGGATCTACATCCCCATCGAAGACGACCCGGACGAGGACATTTCAAGCGGAGCAAGGAAGCTACGCGCGGAGAAGGAGCGCCGAGACGCGAAGAAGAAAGTCCTCGCAGAGGTGTCCAAGTGGGAGGAGTTCTACAGGAATCACCAGAAATACTTTGAGGTGGGCAAGTTGGTGGGTGTGCCGGAAAATGCGGGTGCGGCACCGAAGTTGTGCGAGCCAGCTGAGAAGGGACGGCCGAAGAGGAAGAATATGAATGCAAAGGACAAAAAGGACAAAAAGGACGCGCCAGGGAAGCCTGTCCAGTGATCAACTCGAGCGGTGTATGATGGAACAGACAAACGTATGCGTAGATAGGTGCATAGCAAAGGCGTGCTGGGATACGAGCCTGAACTGCTGCGCTTCTCGGATTGCCTCATATATTTACTGAGCCTCCGGTTGCGAATAGTTCACGGATGGAGCCCAAACCGCCTGCGGTTGATGATGGTCGAATTCGAATGTCCTCAAACCGATGCCGGGCATACCCTTATGCCAGTCGAAATGTGTCTATGGTCCGAGCTGTGAGTAGATTTCCCTCGCTCTAGCCGACGCAGATCGATCCAATTTGCCTTGTCATTGCAATCGTTGGTATCTCCTCATTCCGTGCATTCCGACTTCGAGAAATCGTCTCGCAATAGCACCACCGCCACGCTCGCTCCACTTAGTCACCACCAGCAGCGGCTCTTGTGTAGATGCTCCCTCTGCTGTGCGCAACAACCTTCCTGATCACTCCTCTCTCCTCGAGGTCTGCGAGCGCCTTTCGTGCCAATGAGCCATTGATCTTGAGTCTGTCGACCAGCACGGCCACGGTGATGAGCCGGTATGATTGAACATCCTTGTTGAGTTTGTCTGAGGTGGCCTTGTCGAGCACGACGGCGTGGTTGGCCTTATCCTTGACTGTAGTGAAAAACGTGCATCAGCATATCAGCATTTGAGGGTATTGAGGATGATCGTGGAGGGTAATGCTGGTGATGCCACGAGGATCCGGTCCAGACGTACCCTTTCCCTTGGACCACTTCTTCTTTTGCTTCTTGCCGCCGGATGATGCTGCGGGAGCCTGATCTGGTCAGTGACATGCTCACGAGACGAATGTATCAAAGCGCATACCATTTTGACGGTATTGGGGATTATGAGGTGGGAAGATGTAGGAAGAGGTGAGGTTGATGATCAGTCGTGATGCGTTGAAATCTCTCGCCCCGCAGATTCGCAGTGTGGACGCTAAAATTGGTCTTGGCATTCGCACGGTAAAATTTATGGACAGCAAGAGCAGAATCTACAGAAGTCGAAGAAATACCAATTCGAGGCAGATTTCATTCATCAAGCGTCTAGCTGATTGTAATTTCCCCGGCGCTGAAGACCATGATCTGAATTCAAGACTTTTGGGGGTATCTAGTTGCCCTCGCTCATGCCATCATGTCATGCAGAATTCCCAATCAGCTCGACCCATCTAGTAGAAGAACCCAATGACCTTGCCAGCAACATGCTTGCGCCTGGCTTCCTCGTGGTCCATAATGCCAGCGCTGGTGGTCAGGACGATGTAGCCGAATTGACGAGACGGCAGCAGCTTGACAACCCACTTCTCAAGATCGCGGAGTTGGACGTTGTAGCGGGGAGAAATAACGCCAGTCTTGTTGAGACGGCCATTGAGCTGGATGACGACCTTGCCGCTACGGTGGTCGTCGACTTCTTCAAATTCTCCGATGTAGCCTGTAAGCCTCGTGTCAGCCGACGCCTTTGAGAGGATGTTTGGAGATGTTGCGATCGAATAAACATATAACAAACATGGCAAAAAGGATGCAAACGTGTAAGATCGATCGCAAGTAGAAACTTTCAATCTCTCGGGTACTTAAAGGGCAAAGGTCGTGGGAGCAAAATGTGAAACCGCCGCCTAGTTATCAACCCGAAGTCCAAGATGGACAGGTGTGATCCTCCTCTTGTGCGAAATAGACCTGGAAGTTTCGAGGCGCCGACGTACCGTGCTTCTGCATGACGGACAAGAACTTGATGATGACCTTTGAGCTGGGTCGGATCAAGACTTGACGCTTGCCGGCTTTCTCGGCGTTATTGATGCTCTTGAGAGCATCGTTGAGGACTGAGGTCTTGACCATGATTGCGGTGTTGGAATTGAGGTGAGATTCTCAAGCTCGTGTGACGACCGAGGAACTTGAGGTATCTACAATCGAGGAATTAGTCTTCAGTAGCCTCGAGCCAGGAAGAGTGCCCAGTCAAGGGTTCTTCAGCTCGTGTCGCGAAAGATGAGCGTATCCCAAAGCCTGCGTTGCGACCTGGAAATGTTACAGACCAGGCGCTGGCGGTCGCGATTGCTCATCTCAGGCTAGCCGAAGAGCGGGCGGTGAAGTTGACATACCTCGAGACGCGTACTGATGTTGACGATAGAGATTGTCGTTGTTGGACGTGGAGGAGAAAAAGTGTATTATAGATCAAGCGTGGAGTCGAATTTCGAAGTGCGGTTTGCCAAGAGTCTACATTTGCATCCGAATCCCCTATGATCCGCCGGTTCAGGAATGCTCAGCCTCGCGCACCAAGCCACAAGGCTCATCTGCGTGGAACCTCCCTATGCAGCAGGATTGTAAATCGTTCTGTGTTTGTTTAAAAATCACTAGCTATCCTGCAGATTTCGAACTTGGAGGAAGGCCTTGTGGTTGGGAGAGATTCTGCTCCCTCCAGAAAGGTGAGATTCAACTTCTTGAATGACTCCGTGGAGTGCGTGGGCGGGCTTTACGAGATGCCGAAAATGGCACCGATGAGCAACGAGATCCTTGCGGTATGTATACATAATCAATAGGTCCGCTTTCGGGGTTTCTTCGACGGAATATGGATCCCCGCCATATGATCGCCATGAAGTAGGCAATGTTGCAGATCCTTGTGTATCTTTTCTGTTTGACGTACCGAGAGCATGTCATCCGTCGCTGCAGCGATTGTGGACGTGGTAAGTGGCATGTAATCATGCCACAGCTGGCTGGGTAAGAATTAGGTGCCGGCTGTGTAAACGCCAACCGGCCTTGTGATACGTACGAGTGCTCTGGTTCACGGGTTTGATTGTCGCCATATGCCTTGACCATCGATGGGTTGTTGTCTGCAGATGCTCGGACTTCTGAGACCGAATTATCAGAATCAGGTACTGGAAATTCGTGCACCACTGCCCGATATACGCAGACGCAAACGAGGCGTAGTGACTAGTCCCCCCCCCCCCCCCCGGCTCGACAGGCTAGACGTGAATCACCCCGCTCACAAATTAGGGTTGACAACAATTGTGAAGATTAAGAGCGTAAGGAGCAGCTGGTGCATTGTTCAGCAATGAGATTAATCTTCAGGCATGGAGGGGACTGACCAGTATGAAGCCCGGTATGAAGACGAGGACCACAACCCCGCTGGTAACAATTTGCTTCCTCAATGCCATGGCATTTTGGCAGGCAAAGAACCTCCACACTCCAGCAATCGCGACAGCAATAGCGATTATGAGCGTGACCGTAGCAATTGGAATGCCCAGATCATAATCACTCAGCTTATCCCGCGAAACAGGATGATGCTGTAATCTGTAAAGCTGAAGGGTGGTGACCGCAAAGTTGGCGAGTGCGGAAGCAGTTCTGATATAGCCAAGGAAGGCACGCTCGTTCGCGAGATGGTCGCGCGCTGCTTTCATGGGAACATAATGGTCACAAGATGGAAGAGCTATCCATTTTCGAGGAGCAGGTCGAGTATTGCTTCTGTCCTCGCGCGGACTGCTGCCGGGAGTCGAGGTTGACGACCGCGCAACAGAGGCCTGATATATCGCATTGCCAAAGCTACCGAGCTCGAACTCCTCGTTCACTCGGTGACTTCGATCTGTCAGGTTGCTCGCTGGATCGTTAGCATTCAGCATACCTTGCGGCCGCGGGTATTGAAGGTCATATTGGAAAGCAACGATCGGAAAAGACCGTTGTTCTGGAGTTCCCCGCGGAGTTCACTGCCGGTGCTGAAAGCAGATGCCGATCTTGCTTGGAGTGAGTTACGATCCTCCGTAAGATGCCTTCATCTGGCTGGTTCCAAGCAGAAATAGAGCGCGGATCGGTCTGTGTGTATACATGTATTATTGAGGATTAGCAGTGTAGGACTGAGAACTATGGATCTTCTGCTGCCTCGTTTGAAGCTGTGCCAACGGGGTTGCCACATTGTACTATTTCAATAGTACTGCCATTGCGCCCCAGCAAGAGGGAAGACATTGCTTGAGAAGGGGAAGACAATAATCTTTTAACTGGCTGCAAACACATATCAACTGGAAGTCTCGTTCGATGACGGCAGAATTGATCCGCTAGTTCGGAGGACTCGAACCCAGTTGCACACTCCCTTCCCGAACAGCAATACCATGATCAAGCAGATACATCCAGGCATTGTATATGGCAGATAGAGTCGTGGACGAAGTTGGATCTGGGTTCGTAGGCCAGGAGAAGAAGCAGGGGTTCTGTACCCGTGGAAATGCAGATTTAGGGGGGTGGAGGATTGCCATGGGTTGCAGTAATACCTTCGTACTGCCTGACCCGGCAGTGAAGTCCAGGGTATCGTTTTCCGCAACAATAGCACTCGCTTCAGGCTTGTTGGTCCACACCAGACAGCACACAAATCACTACCTCCCACAACATGGTTCGAACAACTCCCTTCACAAGCATCACCATTCTCCCCCAACTTCTTTCTTGAGCGGGTCTGTTCTCAAGCAAATTTTGTCCCGAGTACAGTAATTCTTCACTAAGGGACTCGTTTCAGCAGTTTCTCACTCAAGGAATTGATTTCTGCGTATCTTTCTCCGAAAAAGTCCTTTCTCAAACAAACCATGCCCAGCAGACATCGTCTGGCAATCAGCGACTGTCTTTTGGCAACCGGCGATTTGGACTCCTCTCTCGGTGAACTAGCTGCTCGTTTGACCGCTATCGACCAACCACTGCCCCTCAACCTCGTAGCAGCAATCCCTGCCAGAGCCAAACAAGCGCATGGGATTTATTTCTGCAGCAATTCGTCCACCAACAGCTACGCTGGATACGCCGATGCCGAGAAATGCATGCCAGAAGCACAAATCGCTGATTTCATTCGTCGTAGCAACCAAGATCTGTTCGAGAAATTGAATCAGATGCCATTGGAGAGTAGCCACTTGGCCGGCGATGAAGAGATGGCCGTGGAAGACATCAACAAGAGCGCCCTTTTGAACGGCAGGAATACGCCATCGACCACCAACGTTCTGGCCGTCTCTGAGAATGTCGTGCACCCGACCAACGATGAGCACCAGGTCACTGTCACGCAGGGCACTGCCATGACCGAGCCTGCCAACGAAGCGGAGCCACTGGACATTGATTGTCCAAGTGAGCCTGACACAGTGCTCCAGGCAGAAGACCAACTCCTTCTCCGTAAGCACATCGTCCGCTCCTAACAATAGCAAGACTAACACGAATTAGCCAGCGGCCGTCGACTGCCTGTCTACCGCCACCGCCAGCCTGGCGTGGTGGTTTGCTGCGGGTCGACGTCGTGTGGGTTCCTCAAGAACATTGTTCCTGAGGGCAGCTTCTTCACCATTAGCCATCAGGCATACTATTGCCTCGATTGCGCTCGCAATTTGTGAGCGCGGGCGCTGTGTGGAAACTGGGCTATCTTCGTATAGGAGTGGTGTCCGATGGGGATATTGTAGGCCGATGGGCAGGTGTTGTGTGCGGAGGGACGTCCCCTGCCATTGTATGGTCAGAGACAGAAGAACGACGGCGTGTTTTTGACAGGGATGAGACAAAAAGACGTTGTGACAGCCGCTATTCCATTTCACGTTAGCGTGCCAAGTGATGACTTTCTCGCCGTAGCCTTCGATTTTCCTGTGACAGGCAATTCTTCATCGCTGGCCATTTGCAAGCGATTCTACAGTTTGACGTCCACCTGTACCCAAATCCCTAGCGATTGATTGAGGCGCACAGCCACTACCATTCCAAGGGTTTGCCCACGCACGCCCTCCTCCATTTCCGACTCTGACCACAGCCAAGTGAATCTGCTCTTTCCTGCGAGTCCACATTCTCCCTCGAGCACACCACCAACCACTACTCAAAATGTCAGGACTCGACGTCGAGGCCCTCCTCGACTCCACGGCCGCCAACGATGTGAAAGACCGCGATTCTCCTCGGGATGCCGAAGACCGCCATCGTACCGAACGCTCGGACCGTCGCGACAAGGACAAGCACCGTGATGGCTCCCGTGACCGTGATAGGGACCGCAAGAGACGAGACCGCAGCCGAGATCGAGAACACCGCCGAGACCGCGATGAGGACTTGAAGAGCCCAAGAAGCGATCATGGTAGCGCTAACGGAAGCCATAGAAGCAGTAGGAGAAGAAGTCGCAGTCGTGATCGCGACGACGACAGAAGACGCTCCAAGCGCGATGACGACTACCATCGCAAACGCTCTCGATCTCCAGAATACGATCGCTACTACCGACCAAGTGGACGATCGAGGCGCGATGAGGACGACCATACCCGCCGCGATCGAGACCGGGATAGGGATCGACGTCGCTCGGGAAGTCCCAGAAAACGTGTCAAGAGCAAGACTCCCGAGCCGCAACTTACTGAGGATGAGCGTGACAGGAGAACCGTTTTTGTTCAGCAGCTGGCGGCTCGTCTACGCACAAAGGAGTTGATCCAATTCTTCGAAAAGGTTGGTCCCGTCAATGAGGCCCAGATCGTCAAAGACCGAGTCAGCGGCCGCTCCAAAGGGTAAATTCTCGACCCCTTTCTATTTCAGATGCATGCTAATGGTTTTCAGTGTGGGCTACGTCGAATTCAAGAATGAAGAATCAGTCCCACTTGCAATTCAGATGACCGGACAGAAGCTTTTGGGAATTCCCATCATCGCACAGCTCACTGAAGCAGAAAAGAACCGCCAGGCCCGCAATCCCGAGGCTCAGACCAGCAACCACAATTCCATCCCCTTCCACCGTCTTTACGTTGGAAACATCCACTTCAGCATCACTGAGCAAGATCTACAGAATGTCTTTGAGCCTTTTGGAGAGCTTGAGTTTGTTCAACTTCAGAAGGAGGAAGGTGGCCGTAGCCGAGGTTATGGCTTTGTGCAGTACGTGGTCTTTTGGTGCTTGTTCTGCGATACATGCTGACTCGCTAGGTTCCGCGATCCAAACCAAGCACGTGAGGCCCTTGAGAAGATGAATGGTTTTGACCTTGCAGGCCGCCCCATCCGAGTCGGACTCGGCAACGACAAGTTCACCCCTGAATCAACGGCCAATTTGATGCAACGCTTCCAACCTCAGAGTCAGGGTGGCGGTTTCCAAGGTTCCTCATTCTCCGGTGCTGGCGGCCGCGGCGCCCATGCTGGCGGATCTGGAGGCACTTTTGACCGCGCGGGTGGCCGTGACAACGACAAGGGCACCGGCGGTGCAAGTGCTTTGGACGATACCGACGTTGCTGGTGTGAACTTCAGCAATTACAGCCGAGATGCATTGATGCGCAAACTTGCTAGGACAGATGAATCGACACCGGACGCCGACCCCAAGCGCGCAGCGGTTCCTGTCAAAAAGGAGAGCAGACCTCTCCCTGTTAATGTCAGCCAAGCCAGCAGATGCGTGCTGCTTAGGAACATGTTTGATCCCGCCGAGTGAGTCTCTCGTCTTCCCTGTCATGTGGCAACGGCCTGTCTAATAACCGACAACAGAGAAGAAGGCGACGCATGGATCAAAGAGCTCGAAGACGATGTCCGTGCCGAATGCGAAGAGAAGTACGGCCATGTTGTCCATATCTCTCTCGATCCCAACACGGCAGGAGACATCTACCTCAAATTCGAGCGTGTTAGTGGAGGCGAAAATGCCATCAAGGGTCTCAATGGACGATACTTTGGCGGTAGGCAAATCAGCGCTCAGCCAGTCGTTGACGCCGTGTACAGCAGTTTGTTCTCTAGGACCAAAGCACTCTGAATGAGAACGCGACTGGCGACGAGTGACAGGGACGGATTAAGCCAACAGATCTTCGCTCTCGCACATTAAGCCACCAAAATGGAAGACGCCGGGGATCGAAACTCTAGTGGGCTACAGCGCAGCATCTTGACCCCTTTTTTAGGCACATCTTTGCGGCTAGTCTACGTGGATTCAATCAGGAATCGGGATGGGGGATGGAGACACTGACGGGGAGTGGAATTTGAAACATATTGACTTGTTTTTAGGTCAATCTGTGTAGGGCTTTGCTTGCTGGCTGCAGCCTGAACGCTCGACCTGGGAGCTAGAAATCGTGGCACCACCACCTTCACTACAGGCCCGGTAGGTAGGTCGGTCGCTCGACCCCGTCAATGATCTTTGCTTCTATTCGCCTATGCACATACATGCCGTTTAGAATGGGGACCGACAGTCTGAAAATCCACATGATGTATTTGCACGATGACCCCCTTTGGCGATTTACAAGGGCGAAAAGCATTATGTTCAACGTTTCGTATCTCGTTCCGTTCTCTGCTTTCGCCTCCCCTCACGACGTGACATGATGTGTTCCCCTGGCCCTCGCCCCTTTCCTTGCGTGTACGTGTCCCAGTGAAAAGGGATCCGGGCCCCATGATGACCATGTCTAGAGATCAAGCCCAAGAAACCCCATATCAGCACCGGAAGTCAACAAGTCATATCTCGAAGACCAGCGCAGACCTTCACCTTCTATTGTTGTACCCTCTTAGAGAATAGAAGGCCTCGACAGTCACGCCCAGCCAAGTCGCCGGCGAAGGAAGCACAAGTCTCAACGATCAAGCAGCCCGGCCTCGCGAGACCTCCTGATCATTCCTCGCTTCACAGGTCGACTGCTTGTCGTGTCTGAACGACGTGACCGTCTGCTTTTAAAAAAAGGTCTTGGACCCGAGAGCGCGGTTTTTCGATACGCCGCAGACCGAAAGCGGTTCCCAAGAAGCGACAGTCGAAAGGACAAGAAGAGGACGGTTCATCGTCCTCGCCGGTCGCACTGCTCACACTCCAGCGGGGAGCATGAAGAGAATCCGTTGATCGGCCCCGACCGGCCCCGAGTAGTTGGGAACGTGGTGAGTTGCAGCCAAATGTCAAACCAGGCTGCAGTGCGGATCCGCAGCGAGCCCGATGATCGTCGCCGTTCCTCGGCTCGTGAGGTCGCTCGTTGGTGTAAGCCGCCGTGGCCGCACAATAGCCACACTAACCAAAAGCACCACCTTAGGGAGGCTGTATAGCCTCCTTTGAGCAGTACGTGATATCACAACGACAGCTCTGGCCCGCGAGAACGCAATGTGATCAACCTTCAGCGACTATAGTGGCCTTTATAATTACAGAGTGTCCACCATACCACGCCACTGGATCGGGCGGGCTTGACCAGGAGGTAGCACTCAGCGAGAAAGGACATTGATCGCGACACGGTGGCAGTCTTCGGGTCACATGTCAGGCTCAAACCCCTTGTGTGGCTTGTTCTTGTTTCCCACAAACTCAAAGCGCGGTAATGGTCGAGGGCAAGCCTTCTTCGGCACCTCTCGACTGAGTGCTTGAGCACGATCGGCTCCCAGGTCGTGAGGGTGTCCAGGCAACATCAGGGATCAGTGGGTGTCACTCCGGCTAGTGGGCCGTCGATGGATTTGTTGCGCTTCTCTTTCAGGTTCACTCCAAAGGTGGATGATGATTCGATCCGGGTCCTGAAGGAGGTTGATCCTTTCGCAGGCTCAGCTCTTGTGCAATATTGTCTTCGCCACTTGGTCTCGGATAAGGGTTTCAAGGGCCAGTCTCTTCGTTCTAGACTCCTCTCTGGTTCATTCTGTTGGCGAGGGTGTTCATTCAAGGTGTTGACTGTGTCGGTACTCAGCAGAGCCCAAAAGCGAAGTATGTACGCAGTGGCCTGACCTGATATGAAGGTGATACTTTCAGCCTCTGCAGCTACGTTCTGGCCGTCAAGTTGATTGAGAGGGTGTGCAAGTGAGAGCATATCACGAGATGATGCTGTTGGGTTGGGGTTTGCCGACAATGAAGAGATGAGCTCATGTTTTCACCCTGACGGAGAGGTTGACCAGCGGGAACAGAGGGTGGTTCTCGCAGACTAGGGCAGTTTCATTTCTTGTTGCTTGTGACGAGTCTCCAGGGAAGTCTCCAGGGAGGAATGAGGTTTGCGATCGAGGTATTGGGTTGGATGCTCAACCGACTTGGCTTCACAAACGAAGAGGGCGTGGGTTTGATAGGGATGTCAAGAAGGGGCCTGGGAAACCGCGGGTATTGTTGAAAAGTAAGTGAGTGATCGTTTGACTGGGTTGCTTGACGTGGGGAGAGTCTCAAACTGAGGGAAAGCACTTGATCTTCTGCGTTATGCTGCTGACGCTTGAGGAACTTGCAGTGGCTCTTGACGATTGAACATGATGAGAAGGAGAGATCTCTCACCAAGTAGGGATGACCATCATTGCGGCTCCCGCTTGCTCAACAGGGCAGACGCGCCAGGGAAAGTCAATGGTGGGCCATGTGCGGCTTGACCATTCCAGTCGTCTCTCTACTTCTCCCGCGTACCTCAGCCGCACAACTCAGCCGCCGTCACCTGCTCCAAGCCTCTGCCTACCTCGTCGTCGCGCTCAATGAGTGACAATCACGCCTGTAACGGGGATAGACCGAGCAAGCTACCTCCAAACACAAATTTCAAAACTCAAAACCGTCGACCTCCCGACCTACCTTACTTTCTTCCTCTACGCCACCGCCATCTCGTATTCTGCGTCTAACGGCGGTCTTTGTGTCTGAGCGGGCTGACAGATATCCAGCGTCAGGACGAGTGTAGGCTGGATTGCTGCACGTGCACAATGGCGACGTCGACGCTGGATGTCTGTTAGCGGTGGGACCACAGGCGAAACACCACTTGCAACAAAGGTAAGATCCATGGCCCTAAGCCCAAAGTATGACAGCCTCACTGACACAGAGTGGACAGTAACTGTATATAAATAGCAATGTCTCCTGCTGCTTCGAGCCCGCCTTGGTCCGGTACGTTACGCTCTTCTTCTCCTGTCTTTGTGCCAGTGCCACGCACCAGCACTAAGAGTGTCTAAGAGGTGGATAGAAGGCTGGTGTCTTCCATTATCAACATGTTGTCAGAACTGGATTCATGGAAATTGTTGGTTTCTTCTTGAGCTGACGGTGCCTTAGGCAAATGAAGACGGCCGCTTGACGACATCACAGTCGACACAGCAATTGAGTCCCAGACCTCTGGCGCCACCAGTTGTGCCAGCCTCGTGCTGCCTGTGTTCCACTGAGCCTGTGTTCCACTGAGTCTGTGTTCCACTGAGCCTGTGTCTCTTGCTTCTCAACGGGGATGTGGACGGCGGACGGCGCCATGTTAGGCTATGACAGCGAGAGTTTTCACACTCATACCAGCTTCTGCTCATACCTTTTGCTGCTGCTAGCCGTCAATCTTTGCCATTTGGCAATGACCATGGATGGGCAAAAGTGCAAGTCTATCGCCTCTTGTGGTAAGTTGTCCCTCGCGCTGTGGACACCGGAGTATGACCACATCGTGGCTTCAACACCACAGCCCTACACAACAACACACAGAATGGCTGCCTGAAGAGACAGGGGGCGGAGGCTGGTCAATGTCACCAAAAAGGGAATGGCAGAACAAGAAGCATCGTCCTGGCAGCTTTCGCCTCTCGGCCTCGCACAGCCAGCCTTGTCGCTCAGCCTTGCTCAGCCTTGCTCAGCCAGCCTTGTCGTTCAGCCTTGTGTCCACCAAGGCGTGTGTGAGTGTGCAAGGCCTTGAGCAGTGAGCGACCTGGGAAACGTCATGGGCCCTTTGTGAATACGACGTCGACAGTGAGGAGATCAGCCTTCACTCTGGCCTCGCAGCTGTCAGCAATGTCACCAGAAACTTCCCGGAAGAGGCGCGTTTGTCACTCACCGACTGGGAGACCTTGCAACTGAGTGACGGACGGCAACACTCGAGGTGTCGGTGAAGTGATATATCGGCATCACTCACATTCACTCCCTGAAAATGCGCACTGCCTCTGGAGAGTTCAGGTCTATAAAGGGCCCCCTTCCCACCGCGATCTTTCCACCCTCTCCTCTCTCCTCAGTGGCATTTGGTTTCCTATCGCTAGTGCTGTCTTGACCTTTCTGGAACTCTTTTCTGAGACAAACACGACATCTTTTGTGCTTTGTGTGCGCGACAAAACGCAGTTCAGTCATCAGAAGTCATTGTTTGTGCGCAGTTTTGCCGATTTGGCTGCTTTCGACGTTCAGTGAGTTCCCAGATCGGCCTTGGCATTACTCTCCTTCAGTCTCCTTACTGACTCCTCTTCCAGCTCTGAATTTCTGCTCTGGCAAGAGTCGCTCCTGCCGGTCTCAAAGGTGAGCACTGTCCTCTCTCTTTCAGTCGTCATCTTTGATGATCGGTGGCCATCCTTATCATTCCTTTACCTTCTTTCTCCCCTTCTTCCACCCCAATCTGGATCTTCTCCTCAGCAAGTCTTGTCTCAAGCAGCAGCAGCAGCTTTGGCAGCACGTTCGGCACACCAGCTTGTGATTTTCACCGCACTGCTGCATTCTATTTCCACTTCTTGAAGGTTCTGCTCCTGTGGTGTCGATGCGTCCCTTTCCTGCTGCCTGTACCACAAGCATTGTCGATCTTGCATGAATCCTTTCGTTCATCTCGCACTCACACTGACCTTTGCCCCAGGTCGGGATGTCCTCCCACTACCACGACAACATGCCCTATGGCGGCCCTGCCAAATCCCCTGAACTGGAACGAGCCCAAACTAGGCTCCAGCAGTCTGAACTCTCCTTTTCACGGACTCAGCAAGAGCTCCACCAGGCAATGAGGGTCCGAGCTACCACGCCCATGTCAGCCAACGAATATTCTGCCAAGGACCAAGAAATCGCCCAACTCAAACGCAAGTTGAGGGAGACTGAAGAAGAGATGAAGAAACTGCACGAGACCATCGAGAAGCAGAAGATGACCATCAAGACCCAGAGCGAGGCCATCGCCAATCCCAAGCAGCACTTTCCAACACCCACCTCTCACCGTTACGGCGGCAATCAGTATGGCCAGGCCAGTCTTGCTCTGCCCCCTCCACCACAACCAATCTTCGCTGACACGGCCCCAATGACCACGCCGTCGTCTCAGTCCGGTCCGATGCGTCCATCTGGTCCTCTTCCTCACCAGCGTCAAACCCCATCTCCATTCAGCGCTCCTCGCAGCCAGCAGCCGATCAGACAACCCCAAGGTCCTCAGGTTCATCACACGGTCACTCCCTTCCGTCAGACCCGCAGTGTCAACGACTACGGCTCTCCTGAGGCAATGATGCACTCATTCGCCAATCTCGGACTCTCGAACACTCCTGTGGGTTCGGCCAATAGAGGCAACGAGACCCCGAGTTCGTCCACAAGACATCATACTCGTGGCATACCCTCCAATGTCACGCAACCTTCGCCTGCGCCTACCTTCAATCCTGCCAATGGCATGGCGTTGGTGCAAGCACCTGACATGGGAGCTGCTGTGGCTGCTTTTGCTCCATCGGAGATTGCCAGAAAATTCGGCGAAGTCTTGCACATGACCGAGACATATGCCTATTCGCATGTCAACGCACCGAGCACTCAGAAGGACAATGCGATGCCGCAGGAGGTGAAGCAACGGCTCCTGAATGCGGCATCGACCACCTCGGCATTCCAGTTCATGCAAACTCCCTTCACTCGCTACATGCTTGTGAACAAGGTCATTCTCCAGTTCGTCATCCGGACCATCCTCAAGCACGACACGTTTGCCGGATTCGACCCTCGTGTTGATCAAGCCGTGGAGAATTGCAAGAATCAGATGTACCAGAGTAAGTTGTCAGCTACCTCAAGCCACCACTGAGAATAACATGATTCTCCAGCTACGCCAGCACAAGTCAAGTACCAGCTTCTTGCCACAATGGCGGAGCAGGTCAGAAGCATCAAGGCGAACCCCAACTTCCCGGCGTTCGTCCAAAGCATTGCACGCAGCCGTGGCAACGAGCTCTGGGGCATCCTCAAGCCGATGATGCACCAGAAGACGTCTCGCGATTGGGAAGACCTGTACGAACTGATGCTCAAAGCCCATGAGCTCGCTGAGATGATGTACTCTGGCGCCGAGGAGTACAAGTTCGACTTTCCGGCCATGGGCCAGCGCTTTCAGAAGGACACGATGGAGCCGCGCGACCCGTACCGCAACATCCTGACTCCCGACCAGCTCGAACAGTTGGGTGCAACTGTCAGACTTGGAATGACTCCGCTTATCACTTCTCGCACTAGCACCGCGGCTGGATATGTCAACTCGGCCCAGGTCATGAAGGCATTCGTCTTGTTGAAGACGGATAGATGAGTGAAGTGCGGGCAGGACGATGCAGAGGATGACATGGTGGGTGGACGAAGCACAGGGGTTGGGCGCAGCAGGACTGGGACAAGGCACGGGGTTTGAGAATATCACAATGACACAGCAGCAATGATTTCGGTACAGAGTTAGGAGGACCTTTCACATTTGACAAGCGGGGTTAATGTCCATGCCAAGAGCCTGGAGGTTGCTGGGGCGATACTATGGCGACAGCACGGCAGGGGGTATGTATGATCAGTATCGACAGACCCAGCGAAAGAATCGTTCCTTCGAGTAGGGCTAGCAGCATGAACATAGTCCATGCCGAGTTCCTGCAACACTTCCCGTTTTGCCCACTCCTTTCCTAACACAGCGTCGTCGACAATTGTGCAGACACGAGTACCATGCATCTGGTGCCAGCCCGACTTCCTCCTCCTTCGACCGTCCACGGGGACTTTGCATCGCACGGCGCACGTGTCAACTAGATCTGATGTATTGCTTACCTGGCATCTCGCCCGATAGCATGAGGTACACTGCAGTCTGCGTAATGACACGCACCCAGCCACTCTCGATGGTGACGTCCTCCAATGGTCTAATGCGTCCTCTTGCCCGTCGGCCGCTGCAGAAGTAGAGCGACAGACCCGCCAAAACGATTCCGAAAGGAAAGTTCGCGGTCAGAGAGATGAGAAATATGGCATGTCTTTAAATAGAAGTCCTTGTCGGAAAGGAGCTAGAGCAGCGTCAAATCCGGGGAATCGCCGTCGCGTACGAGTAAGATAGGCCGTGTGGAGAGATGGTGGCGTACGGAGGCTGCCGACTGGATGGACGTGGCGACGAGGTCAGATCTCACGCCTCGTCTCTCGTCTTTCGTCGTATCCCTGTGGTGTTGTGAGGTCGACGACGCTCATAGAGCCACCGACCACTGCGTCATCTACGCTGGATGCTCGCTGACGCGTACGTATCTTCAACAACAGGACCTCATCCTTCGAGAAATGTGTCCTCCCCACCCGCCATGGGAGTGTTCAATCACCGGTTGCCTCGATGACCGGATTGTCTCCTGGCTTTGGACGAATACGGACACACGCCCCCTGCCATGGGTTACGCCCGGGCACATGCAGCTCGTCGATGATTTGTCGAGAATGCCATTGCCGTCCATCAGCGACACGCAGGGGGAAGACGGTCGCTGGAGACACAGGGAACAAAAATAGATGTATTGACTGACTTTCGTTCACCTAGCCTGAACGGCACACACCACCGAGGGCAACCAGGGGACAGCCGCAGCCATCCGAGGGATCTTGAAGTCGTGGGGAGAAGGTGACGGCAGTACATTGCAGTGTTTTTATATATCTTGGTGGCCAAGTTTCTGTCCTTCTAGCTTCACTCCTCACGTCTGTCAAGTTCTACCCAGTCCAGCCTCAAGCGTCAGAAAGTGCCAGGAGTCGAGCTCGTCGTTCGATTCGAGTCAAGATCCAAATTTATCCAGTTACCCAGTACAGTTGCAGGATCAGCCAAGTCCTCCACGCCACAAATCAACGTCAATATCATTCAACATGCGCAGCTACGCCCTCTTGTCCCTCGGTGTGGTGGCGTCCATCGCCCACGCCGCGACCTTCGACGTCGACGCCGGCGAGAATGGCCTGTCCTTTGAGCCCGACACCATCACGGCCGCCATGGGCGATACCGTCAACGTCCACTTCTACCCAGGCGGCCACACCGCCACGCAGTCGACCTTTGACAACCCCTGCTCCCCGATGTCGGGCGGCATCAACTCCGGTGTCGTGAACTCCAACTCGGGCCAAGCCAGCCAGATGTTCTCGTTCCAAGTCAACACCACGGACCCGATCTGGATGTACTGCGGTGCCCCTGGCCATTGTGCCGCGGGCATGGCGTTTGTCGTCAATCCCCCGTAAGTGACGTCCACCAGGGGCAGCGCAGCCAGACTGTCCCTGTCCATGGCCCTGTCCCTTCTAGTCATTACGGCCACCCCTTGCTGACTGATACACCCCGTCCCCCTTCCAGAGCAAGCGGCAACACCCTAGCGGCCTACCAGAGCGCCTCGAGCGGCAAGTCCGGCTCCGCTCCCAGCGCCGTTTCCGGCGGTGTCCTCGTCGCCAATGTCGAGAACTCCGACAACGATGACGATACCTCCTCATCGTCGTCCTCCTCGGGCGGCTCCGCTTCGGCCACGCAGAGCTCGGCTACAGCTACTGGCACGGCCGCTGCGGCCACGACAACCTCTGCGACGGGTACTGGTCCGGCCGCACAGACTCCGAGCAATGCCGCCAGTGCCAACTTTGGGACCGTGCCTTTGCTGCTGTTGGCCCCTGTTGCGGCTTATATGTTGTCGTGAGAGATTTGTCACATACACAGTACGTATGAGTCGCACACTGGCATATTCACGGCGAGAGTGGAGCATAGCATACCAGACAGAGCAGGAATGGAGCAAAGCAGGACAGGGAAGGCCAGGGCAGAGCAGACAACGTGGGTGATTAGATTAGATGAGATTGTTTCCTCACAGGTCGTGGATATGTCACATGTACAGTTACTATATGCAGTAGATGAACGCACGCAGCATGCAAGTAACAGCGACTTTGGTGATTGTGTGTCGACCGGAAGGAATCATTCTAGTTGAGCTTGTTAAAGGGGAGGAGAACAGCGTTGAAGCTGGAGCTGCTTCCGACGATGGATCGATGGATAGATGGAGGGATAGAGGGATGCATGGGTGGATGGATGGCTTACTGTGGTACGTACTCGTACGGCAGATTCATACGTACTAATCACATTCGGTTCTTGAAATAGCATCAATCCACACACACTCGCGCTCTCTCTCTCTCTCTCCCTCTCTCCCTCTCACGGATACGGACGGAGGCATTTCCAGTTACGGTACATGTGCAGTGCAGTTCTCGTCCTCTCGCCTCACTGTTTCGAGTTGATTAATTAGACTGATCGATTACACAACCTTTCCGCACATCATGGCCGTAAGGCTGCATGTGAGCTTGAACCTCAACATCTGAACGTGGGCTCGTCTGGATCACGGTACGAGGGACCAGCATGAATGATTACTTCGTGCTGTAGACCTTGCCCTGTATAGCCTGCAGTCTGCGGGTGTGTTTTGCTGTGCATTGTACGGCCTACAGTACTCCGTACCGACAGCTTTAATCCAGCGGGATGATTTCCAAGCAAGTCCCAGCCCGCGTACCTACGGTATGTGGTACTGTGTATGTACTGTACCTCGTATTGTATGCGCATGCTTGCATACAGCCCAGTACATGCAAGGCTACATACCGGTACCTGTCGTACATACCTTGTCAGTGCACAATACTTGTCCTGTCCTCTCCCGTGTACTTTGTACCGTAGCTTGGCTGGCTTGCCCGTCCCCCTTTACCCATCTCCCTTGTTCTTGATCCGACCAGGCCCACCTACGTGTCTCCCGTGACCAGCGACAGGCACATTCAACTTCCCACTTTTCCCAGTCCGATCCGCTCCATGGCCCCCTATCCCCAGGAGTCTCTACACGTCTCCACGGCCTTCTAATTCCCTGGGTCTCTACACATCCCCATTGCGTTATGGAATGATATCACCCCTAAAGCGTATACCGATAGAACGGACTTCTATCTCCCAACTCCAGCAGTTCCTGGTCGGTATACCGCGCCTTGACGGCCGCTTCGCCTTCGCGCTCGAGCATGGCGTCGCGCGCCCTGTTCTGGCGCGAATATTCGACGCGGAGGATCATCGCGGCAATGATGCCCAGGACGCAGCAGCCCAGCGAGACGCCGAAGCCCGTCGGGTATTTGGGTGCTTGGGCCGCGAGGTAGATGTTGGAGCCGCAGATGCCGCCCATCTGGGATTTGTTAGCGTCCGTGGTAATCATACGATTTGGCCAGTGTCCCGGAAGGGCAAGGAATAAAAAATCAAGTGGTAATCTACATGCGCTTTCACTTACATTGCCGACGCTGATGAGGAGGGCCATGCCTAGGGATGGGAATGATGGTGGTTAGCGTGGAACTAATTCGCTGCGGGATGGGTACAGATTATGGTTTTAACCCTTGCGAAGGGAACGCCACCGTATGGCAAGGCATGGCAAGGCGGTACTCACCGACAGCCCGCTTGGACGAGGGCGCGAGATTATTCGCAATCAGCGTCACGACGCACGTAAACGGGCAGTACAGCCCCGTGGCGACGAGGAAGAGGAAAAAATACGCCACGCCCGGGTACCTGGGGTGAGGGATCGCGAGCTGGGCGATGAACCCGGCAACCCCGATGGCGAAGCCGCCGATGATGAACGGGGTGCGCTGCTGGACGTGGTCGGCCCAAAAGGCGACGATGACCGTGGCGACCATGCCCACGACGTAGATGGGGATGGTCATCAGTTGGGCGTGCGCCGACGTGTAGCCCATCTGCCTGATCACGGTGGGCACTGTGGCCGTGAAGCCGTAGGTGCCGATGCTGCAGGCCCAGAAGGGGAGGACGGCCATCCAGATGCGCCAGTCGGCGAACCCGGCGCGGATGTACGACCAGCTCATCTTGTCGGCGTTGGTGACGCGCCCGCCGCCGGACCCGGTGTGCAGGGCGATGCGGTTGACGATGAACTCTCGCTCCTCTTTACTCAGAAACCGCGCCGTCTCCGGCTTGTCGGGCAGGAGGAAGTACAGGGTGAAGGAGACGGCGACGGGGGCCAGGCCCTCCAGGATGAAGATCCACTTCCAGCCTCCCAGGCCAGCGATTCCGTCCATTTTCTCGATCGCGAACGCGAGAAGCCCGGAGAAGGCGCCTGAGAGGGAGGCCGCCGCATAAAAGACAGCCATGCGGCGTTGGACTTCGTAGCGCTGGTACCAGATCGTGAGCACTGAAAGTGGGCGGCCAGTCAGTCAAGTTGTGCGTTTGTCCAGGAAGACCGCGAAAACCCCAAACTCGGCTAGAAGGTATGCTGCAATACTCACAATACGTAGCGGCAGGGAAGAAACCCGCCTCCGTCACTCCGAGGAAGAATCGAGCAACCACGAGCCCTTCATAGGTCGTCACAATCCCCATCAACGTCATGACCAAGCCCCAGCAGAAGCAGAGGATAGATATCCAGATCGACGGCCTGAGCATCTTGAGGACGATGTTGGAAGGAACCTGTCACATGTGAGTGGCCTTCTCCAGAGCCACGACGGATGCAAATACCTCAAACAGCGCATATGGGACGAAAAACACCGTCAACGCCGTGTTGTAGCGCATTCCGTACAGATTGAGGTCCTCTTCCATGCCCGCGATCTTGGCGTTTCCAATGTTGCTGCGATCAATGTACGCGAGGCTGCCATGGACATGATCAGTGTCGGCTCGCACAGCACGTCCGGCTCTCATACGTACAGATACAGGACGCCCAGAAGGGGAATGAGTCGAAAGTCCACTTTCCTCAAGATCCTGCGTACCTCCTTCTGATCGTACTGGGCGTCGATCTGGTCGGCGCTGAAGCCCGCATCAACTGTGCGCAGGCCATCACTGCCGTCGACGCTGCCAGATCGGAGGCCAATCTCCTTCTCGTTGGCGCCGTACTCGACGCGCTCGCTCTCGTGTTTTTCGGCCATTGTGGTGAGTGTCTTGCTGGAGGGTTGCGAACACGACGAAATGAGAGCGATGCTCGCTCATTAAGTCGGCCGCCGGTCCTCGATCCCACGATGGCCTGACGTGCGACAAGGATATTGGCATGCAGCCGGTGACTCGAGCAAGGCGGCGACCCGCATCTTGTCGCAAAGCCTAAACTGGTTCCGGTAGTCAGGGGCGGCCGGTCGTCATGGTCTTTGGACACGAGATTCTTCTAGGACGGGGTCAGAGTCGACCATGAGTCCAATCGCTTCGGTGCGAGGTCTGTCGATCCTAACTGCCGATGTCCTAGCCAGGCATACACAGCAGGTCAGGACAAGAGACTTGGCGAAATGTAAACGTGGAGATCAACGTCGATTATGCCATTTTCGACAGTCAAGAGCGCACGCGAGCGAATCGTCGGTCAATCTGGGGGTGAGACTTGTCGTCGCAAGATGCGGAGGGCGCCCCTTGGCAAGCTACGCTGAGTATCTGGGGGTTCGCATGCACCGAGGAGCCCTCGGTGTATATCAAGAACTGGGGTTGCGGGCGTTACGAGTACGATTGTAGGTCGAATGTCCGGCTCCGGTGGCAGCCAAGCCGAGCCAATGTCCACCGGAGGAATTCGAACTCTTGATGAGTGTGGAGTATCGGGAACTGTGGCCGGACTCGGAGCCGGATCGACAGCTAAGGACGTTCTAAATTTCTTGGATCTTGGGGCGACGCTCGTGTATGTTCTTCCAGCATTCGTCGACCGGGCTTGCAAGGGATTCACTGCAGTGACCTGTACAAGTCCCTGCAATTGCTGCTGCTCGCCTGCTTGTCGCCCGCAGACTCTCCCAATCAACATGTCCTCCACGGCCTCTTCTACCCAACTGACTCCCTGTCCTCGTTGACGACCTCGCTCAACCTGAATTCCCTGACCAACGCCTTCATCTTCGGCGTGGCCCTCCTCTGATCCTTCAGCTGGCGTCTCGTGTATATGTCTTTGTTCCACATCTCGACGAGCTGTCTTCTGCGTAGGCACCACTCCGGATTCAAAATGGTAAGGTACTTTTTATTGACACGGCGTTTCTTCTCCGCGGCGGCCTCCTCTGGTGAGTGCAACCCACGTGGTGGGCTGGCTGGGAAGGGCAACACCCTGTGGCCAGGAGTGCCTGGCTTGATGCGGTCGTGGAAGTGGAAGTGTGTGGGTGTCCGTTGCTGGAGCTGGAGGCGTTTGTGGTTGAAGAACTGTTTCATCGACTTGTGCTTGGTGTACTCTGGCTGGGTTGATCCCGTCTTGACGCTGGCGTGCTGCGGGCGAGAAGGGAACGAGGACATTATGACTGCTTTGAGGCACTTTTCAGGGGCAGCTCGAGTGATGATGGTGGTGTTGAAGGGCGACAGCTATCCTGCAGCAGTTGATCAGCGACATGGGTGATGTGACGATGGGGGAGGTTTGAATACACAACGGCAGAAAAGATACAGCGACCTCATTGTCCTTGTCTCTGGAGGGCGATTAGTCGTACAAACTTATCAACTTACTGTGCGGCACTGCCTTGCACCGGAATGTCTACTGTTGAGTTACCTTAACCCTGGGAAGAACTGGGTATCAATGGAGAACAAGCAAGAGGGCTGCATGCGCGTCTGTGAGATGACGGATGTCGGTTCTCTGCCACGCTGTTGTCGAATGGGCTATAACTGAGACCTCGACGGCATACCTAGGAGAGGGAAGGCATGTCCCAAGAGAGCCCATGGCATAGATAGTTCGAAGCTAGTCTCTCTCAAATGGACCTCAGTCAGATATCCACAAGAGTTTCGTTGGCGCAGAAGTTTGAGTTGTAGTAGCGGGGTTGCACGCCATCAACATGGAGGCCCTTTCGACAGTCCAAGGGAAGAGAGGCTTGTGAAAGGATGAATTGTGGACGTCTAACCACACTGTGGGTGTCGGCCCCCAAAGAGCAGCGTCAGACCAGAGCCGGTCCCATTAGAAAACAATGATGTCACAGCGACATAATCGAGGGAGTGGAATAAAAGAGGATGAGGTTAAGTAGCCATTGAGAAGGGGAAATGAACAAGAGTGGCTGGCGGTTGATCTGAGTTTGTGATTTATTGTCTTCGGATTGTGGAAATCACCAACCATGGCGTGCGCGGGCATTTCTCCCCTTCAGGCGGCCCGAAGCCATCTGACTTGCCTTGCCATGCCATGCTATGACTGGATTCTTCAATGACCACACCTCGAGCTGGGTCGCCGCATTTTCCCATGGACTCCCGATGCATGCTTCATATCTGCTGAACCATCCCATAGAGAGAAACTTGGAATAGTAGTGACATATCGCAACCCTCGTTCAAGCATTTACGCAGCGGTGATGGCCTTCTGTCTCCGAGCAGCCCGCTGTCTGGTGCTCAATCGTGTGCTCTTGTCAACACCCAACTCTGCAGCCTTGGTGACTGCCTCCTCCGCTTCCGTCAAGATCAATTCGATGTGGCAGGGATTCGACATGTACGGGTTGATACGACCGTGAGCACGATACGTGCGGCGGCGCTGCTTAGGGGCTTGGTTGACTTGGATGTGCTTGACAATGAGTTTTGAAGTGTCGAGACCCTTGGTGTCGGCATTCGCTTCGGCATTTTTCAACAGACCGATCAAGAACTCGGCGGACTTGACGGGCCAGCGGGCTTTCGACACTCCGAATTGTTTACCTGAAGCAAGAACTTGTCAGTCGCTGTAGCAGTATTTCGTGCAGACACTGCAGCCTTGCCCCAACCACCCTCCACCACATTTTGTATGAACGATTCATGTTCACATGGGTGATCGATTGCGGAAATGTGGTAAGCCGAATTCGTCCAAACATCCGTCCTACAACCAATTCTTGAAAAGACGTGGAATGTTCGTACCTTGTGCGGTTCGGCCTGTGCTGCCTGCATATCTCCTCATGGGAACAGCCTCTTTGAGCCCTTTGACATTTTCGAGGTATTGGAGAGCGCGGTCCAGTTTCCATCCATTGATGGCCTGAGCGGTCTCGCGGGTGTTCTTGAAGCTGACACGCAGGTAACTGCCACGGCTTCGAGCCGAACGGGCACTGGGAATGCGGTCGGCGGGGGCGTAGCGGACCTAGAGAGACGGATGTCAGCAACTGCTGTTTCTCTTGAGCGCAAATTGAGGCGATAGCGGAGGGCGCGTACCATCTTGAGAGTTCGGTGAGGTGGGAGAGATGGTCCTTGTCGTCGTTGTCAATTCAATCTCCAAGTGAAAGACCGCACACTTCGGGTACATTTTTCGTTGTGGGAACCGCCAAGACTACAATTTGTGCTCAACGCAGAAGGTGTTCCGAGTTCTCTTTCTCTTGGCGCTTGCCGGGTTACTCAATGAGGCAATGCCATGCCACAAACTAATTTGGACATCAACCTGTCATTCATCATCGCCTTGATCTTAGGACGAAGACGCAGAAGTCTCTAACTTCTGATCACTTTCTTATGGTGGCGTCGAGTATTGTACAGGGATCGTGACACTCGTGCTCTTTCCTCAGGCAGCTCGTGCAGCATCTGTCGCCAACCTGCGCTGGACACACTCTGTTGTCCGTGTCAAGAGCGTTTGACGAATCGCCATGGCTATCATCACTGATTCGCCCTATTGCCAGTAGCCCGTCACACTGTCCATCCGTTGCCTCTAGTCATCATCAACTCCCGGGTCGTAGTCACCGCCCTCGGTTTCCTCCGTTCCCCCTCGTATGGGTAGCGGCGCAAACAGCTCATCGTCATCGTCAGAGAATGACTGCTCGTCGGCTGCACTTGCCATGATTTCAGCTTTGGTCTTCATTCTCTTCGGCTTAGGCATTAGTAGGGCAGGTCGGACCGGTGCAGGGCTTTCTGATCGTGCTTCGACTGGTAGGTCCCAATCCTCCTGAGCCTCCATGAAAGCTTCTTCATCACTATCCTCTTCTTCAGTCGAGACAAGAGCCGCGCCGGCCATCTGGCTCCCCTTGTGCTTGCTTGGTGTGAGCTGTACCGCGCTTTCACCTTCCTGATCTGGGTCATCATATCCCGCATCACCCGGATAGTACACCTTGTTATTGATGACTCGAGCTCCAGCTTTCCTGCCACGCTTCTTAAGACCCAAGATGGAGTCAAGAGAGTCAAAATTCGTGAAACTTTTGGAGATATTGTCGATCGAGATTTGCTGGCCATTAAGGATCCTCAAATGCGTCTTCCAAAGTTCCAAGGTGTCTTTATCTCGAACTTTATCGTACCTGCCCACTTCAACCCCGTTAATACTTTGTAGGTCCAAGGCCTCAGCGCGCGTGTCAGCCCAGAACCAGACTAATGGTTCTTCATGTGACTCATTAAGACGTTCGTCGGCATGGGTCGCATAGACGCGACCTTCTTGAATGCCTTGCAAGTCGTAGTCCAAGACTGGCTTGATGTACTTCTCGCCGTTGGTGGGCTTTCTCTGCAATAGGCCTGTCCACAGTTGTACTGCTGCACCTTCATATAGTCTTCCCAGTATCTGGTCATGAGAGATTTCGTACCGGTTTTGAGGAGCGTGAAGGGCGTACCAAGGACCGTATAGTGGAGAGCCAACAGGTCGGAAGGTCGTCTTAACTTCTTCTGGAGATATTTTAATGGCGGGAGCGGGTGCTTGCGCATGCGGGTTCTTCTGGAAGTAGCGGTTTCTGTCAGTCGTGTATGCTTTACCAACGAGGGTAATGTAAGATTGTGTTGACAGTAAAGGTGAGTCTGGTAAGAAGTGGTCAGGCGTGATGTCTCGTAGATGTAGGCGAATAGACTCGACAACTAAGACATCCGTACAAGCCACCTCCTTCGTCTCCGGCAGAATCCGTACCGTATCTCCGATCGTGATTAACTCGGCGCCGATATAGACGCCCTTGCATCGTATACTCGCCTGGGGTTTCTTGGTACCCGTTTTGTCCTTTTCCCAGTCTCCCTTAAAGTAGAACTTCTCTAACAGAGAAATACTAGTCATGCAGGTCAGAGCGTGTTCGATCGATGGGTGCCACTTTGTTCTCGGGATGCCTCGAAGCAACAAGTGCCAGTGGCTGAGTGGTCGTATGTTGCGTAGCGGCAGGTATTTGTACTGTTTCGATGCCGTTTTATCTTGTTCGTTGTTTGGATCAGGGAAGGTCTCGACTCGAAAGCCGCCGGTATTTAGACTGTTGGATTTCTTTGGGATATCTTGAATGTCGGTGAAATCCACCGGTCCATCAGCTGCAGTAGCCGAAGGAATAGCAGCAATCACACCAGCTCGCCATGTGGGAAATCCATGGAAGCACTTCTGTTTGAAGGAGTAGAACTTGTACTCCTGCGTTCGTTCGTCCAGCATCAGATAGTGCTGATCAAGAAATGTAGGACAAAAGAGCACGAGCTCACCCACTCGCGGAACGAAAGAGTGCTGATGTTCAATCGCAGTGAGGCTCTGCTGAAGTAAATCGACTCCGAACCAATCTTGCGGGTTTGGTGGCGGCCAAGAGTGTTCCGCCCTCCAATCGATCGAGTTGGGTTCGCGGATATCGTCCTCGATCCCTTTTTTACTCTCTCTGTGGGCTTCTAAAGTCTTGAGCTGCAGCTTGTAAACATCCTCGGTCCCTTCTTCGTCCTGAGCGTAAGGCGCACCAGCTGTTCTGACTTGACGTTGAGGCCTCGTGGATGTGCCAGTAGCGTTCGGGCCGGCGATAGAATTTGATCTTGATGAATTATCACTGTCGTACAGCAGCTGCGATTTTCTTTTCTCCCGGGCACCCAGAGACTTCTTCTCGGCAGGATGTCGCGTTCTATGCTTGATCGGGCCTTCTCGTTTGAAATTTCCGCAGTGGATACATGCGCAGTCTCCTTCCATGCCGGACATCAACCATAAGAAATGGGGCTGAAAGCGCAAGGTCGAGTCATAGTACTTGCCGCTTGGATGGCCAAATAGTCGTTTGTAGATGTGTCCAGCTTTTAATTGAGGTAATTCGAAGAGAGCATAGCCATCGGGAAGTTTGTCGAGGTAGTACTCAACGCCTGCGAGCCTCATCAGCATAAGGTTTCCTTTTGGCATTCGTCGGTGGTGACATCTACGAGGGGTGGCGATTTGACTCCTCGTACAGGGCCAGCCATATCTTACCTGGTTGCTCAACGCCTAGCTTTTGGGCCCAGGCTTTGGCCAGCGAGATCAAGTACCGCTCTTCTGAACTAGGGCGATACGGCTTTGCTGGCCACTGTCGCTGTTCGCCATCGCTATAAGGTTCGACATGAAGTCTTTGCCAGTGGCCCTTCCTGTCGATAATCTCCCAGCCCAGAGCCGGCTTCGGTGCCATGATAGCTGCTTATTTGAGGATACCTGAAGCAGGTACTGGGAGAAAGATGATCATCATTGGATTTCGGTGAAGGTCTAAACGATGGATGATTGAGTTGTGATGAAGCGGGATCTTTCCTTTTTAAGGCAGCGGTCGTGTCTACATTTCTGCCTGACCCCAGATTCAATGGCGGCTGCATTTAGCTGTCACATGATACATAGTCAATTCAGCAGGGACGTCGCAGAGTAGGATCAGAGTGGGATTGAGTATTCTGGCAAACGTCCAAGGCACATTTGCATAGGCGCGGACGGTGCGATTAAGAGCCACGCTAGGGGCTGATGAAAGACACGTCGGTCGGTCGCGTATTACTAAGCAATCTGAGTTCATTATCTATTTGCCGCCTTCTGCGCCGGGTATCAAGGTCCTTTCCAAGCTGACCTGGAACTTCCGCCTGCCCTTTGGCACAAAGCGACTCAGTCCATCGTCATCCATGTCGTAGTACAGCTGCCATTTCCGCGTGGCCGGATCTTCCACGGCAGTAAAGGCCTCGGTCTCATCGAACGTTATGCCCTCCTCATCCTCCGTCCAATCCCATGGCCCGACGTGGTGCTCTATGCTGGCTGACTTGTTACCGTATTTCAGCTCCATTGTGTCTTTGTCCACGTAGATCCAATTCAACAATGGCGGGTCTTCTTGGACTTGACTGACCAGGCCAAGAGGCACGGGAACTCTCTGAGAAGTAATGTCAGTCTCGACGTGAGATGTCGCGCAAGATTCTGGCCGCAGATCGCTTACTTCGTTATCCGGGTACTCAATGTAGAATGCCTCGATGACATATCCATCCTCGCAGGGGTTTAAGGCTTCATGCGGTCCAATCCACACCCGACCATCTCTCAAGACAAGCCTTTTCTCATGAATCTCGCGTGTGCGCGAACTCTGGGCTTCACAGTAAACGTCGATATAGAACTTTTGCATGCGCCTAGCATCCTTCTCCCTCTGCTTGTGTTCCTTCTGGCCATGGACGGCCTGACAAATACCAGTTACGGTAGGAATCGCGGTGAGGATGAGAAGCCCAACGACGTCCATCTGGTCTCAAGTATCCGTGCCGAGGAAGGAGAGATGTGGCCACGTGTTTGTGGCACTCAACGTACATCCATTTACCATTTCGAGGTCTTGTCAAGCCACAATGTGGGTTGCGCTGAAATTGGCAGTTGTTGGTTGTTCGAGCAGAAAGTTGGCATGGCGGAGGCACTTCAAATGTGTCAAACATGCCAAGACTGTCCCGCATTGACATTCACCACGTGAGACACTCCGGCTCTCCTCGAAGCTTCCCCAGAAACTCAACCCGGACAGCTATTTATCCTGGTGGTGAACATATTAGATCGGCTGCTTGGAGATTTCTTCTTGCCACACATGATTACTGATAGATCCGGGTCACTTGACTTGTTGCTTCGCAGGATGCTGCACGTTAATACTGGCCTTCCAATATGGGGCTCAGTCTGTCGATCAAGCATTGGCGTCAGAACCTTCGGCAGTTGACCAACAGTGCTTCTCTGAACAGCTCGACTGTACCTCGTACGACCATTGCGAACCCTGGGACTCCGCTCCTCCACAAGCTGGGGTGCTGCCAAGAGTTTCAGGGTGTCGTTGCCAGGGTTGCAATAGGTAAGTGGTGTTGGATCGCTGTAAGTGGCCAAGTGCTTGGCTCGCAATTCGGCATATCACCATCAGAGACTCCACAATGTAGTGCGGTATCCGTGTTCTAAGTGGCAACAGGCTCTTCCTGAAGCTGGGAGTACAAATGGAATTCAATGACCAGCGCGATCCGCCGTCACTATGCCACCTCTCCGTTAGACGCTCCTGGACCTGGTTTGAGCTATCATGGCAGGACGAAACGACGACAGTATTGCCGCCAACTGGCGGTGCTTTGTCGCTTGTGCGATTATCACGCTATCACCATTCCAATATGGTGTCGATTTTGGCCTTATTGGTGGTCTGCAGGCGATGCCTGGTTTCTTGAAGGTCTGCTCGAATTATGTCTTGCGTTGGTTCCCAACTGATATGAAACCGACAGATCTATGGATACAGAGCCCCAGAGACTCCTATCGGGTGGAATCTTACGCCATTGCGCCAACAACTGATTTCGTCCCTTATGACACTCGGCGCGTTCATCAGTTCTGGTGCTGCGGGTTTCGCGGCCGCGAAGCTCGGGCGCAGACACTGCTTGTGGATCGCTAGTGGCCTCTGTTGCATTTCGAATATCCTAATGATGGCGACCACTCACATCGGAGCCTTATACGCGGGACGGTTGCTTATCGGGTTGGCCAATGGCTACTTCATGACCTTCTCACAGCTGTACATCCAAGAGAGCAGCCCAGCCAAGTATAGGGGACTCTTCCTCTCAGCATTCCAATTCTTCACCTCGTTTGTACGTCCTCTCTATTAGAAGCAGAGCCGGACAGCAATTCTGACCATGTTCAGGGCACCCTTATTGGAACCATAATCGACTATGCCACCAGCAAACGACCTGATAAATCGGCATATCTTATTCCCCTCGGCATCATCTATGTCGTCCCCGCCATTCTGACCCTTGCGATGTTCTTCATTCCCGAGTCCCCAAGGTATGTACATTTCAGGTCATCGCCATATTGCCCCATTGTCTTCGTTCTCGAGGCCCGCGACACGTAAGTGTGAGAGACGATTCACTGACTATCATGAACAGGTGGCTGATATTGCAGGGACGATACGAAGAGGGAATTAAGTCGCTCAGATGGCTGAGGCCGAATGGGGCGGACGTAGACGCCGAAGCGCTTGTCATCCGCACGGCGATCGAGAAGGAGATGGAGCTCAAGAGCAGTGTGGGAATCTGGGACATGTTTAGAAATCCTGTCAACCGGCGACGCACAACCCTGGCAGTATGCGCAGTCACGCTTCAGGCCGCATCAGGCTCAATGTTCATCATTGGTGAGTTTGTTTTCCGTCCGCCTCGAGTTTCAGGATCCTGACCCAGAGCAACAGCTTACAAGGCATACTTCTTTGCCATGGCACATGTTAGCAACCCTTTCGGCATGAGTTGCATTCTAAGTGCAACTGGCTTGATCGCCATCCTCATCAACTCTACCATCGTTGTGCGATACGGAAGGCGCAGAGTCCTTCTCATGAGTGGCCTTGTTGTTTGTGGGATTCTGCAACTCATCATTGCGGTTGTCTATGACAAGGAGCCGGGTACCAAGACCACCGGAAAGGTCATTGTCGCCCTTGTCACCCTGTACATGATGAGCTACAATGTGAGTATCTGTCTGGAGAGCAAGCCGAGACAATCGCAGATCTGACATCTGAACAGGGTATGATAGCGACTTACGCCTGGCTTTCCGGCGGCGAATTACCCACCCAACGTCTTCGCAGCCATACCTTCGGTCTTGCTGCAGCCATTGGCTTCCTCGGAGCGTGGTTAACCACGTTCACGGCACCTTACTTCATCAACCCAGCCTCCTTGGACTGGGGTCCGCGATATGGCTATATCTGGTTCCCGTCTTGCGCTGTCTCCGCGCTTTGGGTCTTTTTCTTCCTGCCGGAGGTCAAAGGTCGCACGCTGGAAGAAATAGACGAGATGGTAAGCTGCATCCACGTTGAAATGAAATGTGCAACATCTGACAGCCACATCCAGTTCGAGGCCAAGCTGCCCGCACGCAAATTCCGAAAGTACAAGTGTGTCCAGAGTGCAGTCATTCTGGAAGAGAAGTTGGGGAGAAAGAGCACAGAGGAGGAAGTGTGGGGCAACGAAAAGGTACATTCTTCCTCCACAAGACCATGCTTACGGACATTGAACAAACGGCTGACCCATCGATTCATCAACAGGCTACAGCCGAAGCGACTGTCGCAACAGCTTGATACAGTGCAGCGGAGGGACCGGGCAGGCATAACGGCGACCCAATAGTGGGTTTCATAGATAGTCGGCTGGTTTGCGAGCTGAAGGACAGCGATGTTGATGGAACCATCAGCGAGAGTCCGAAGGCTTCGGCCGGGGGATGAACGCAACCTTGTTGTAGAGTTCGCAGCCTCGGCATCGTGCCTAGGCCACTGATACCCCGAGAGTTATTTCTGGCCCATATAGGCTAAGGCGGTCATCGCCAGGTACACTCCCGTCGCTGAATAGCCCGAAGTAGCGCAGAGTGCTCGCAGACTTCAGCCTCAAGTGGTCCCAATGAAGCACAACAACAAAACCAAAAACAAGAAATCGGCTGCCAATCCTGGGTTTTGAGGAAGGTGCGTAGGACTGAAACCTCATTTGAAGGTGATATATTCAGCCCCTCGCTGCTGCTTTTTCTGGCTCGTACTCGAGTGAAAGTGTAGCAAAGAGCTGGATCCAAAGCAGCTTCGCAACCTTGCAGCCTTGCAGATTGAAAGGCTACAAGGCTGTGCCTCGGATGAGGATAAACATATCTCCGAATGGCTTGGCACCAAAATCAGATCTTCGCAAAATGCCTAGTCGTTCAGATTGCAGGGGGTAGACATTTTCATCAAGGAAGACAATGTGGCTTCCAAACCCCTTTACTCACTGTACCTAGCCACTCACATGGGCCGATAGTCGACAAATGGAGGAGACGATATGGATGCGCTCAAATTACTGTCCCGGTCTACCCGATTAAAAGCGAACACCACTGATGCCGCGCCACGGAAGATCCCATCGGCATCAGGACAGGCATCCAACTACGAAGGTCCTAATAACACCAGCGGCCGGAAACGCAAAAGAGGTTCCGACCTTACAGAGAATGATAATCTTCCAGCTGACACATCCGCACCGCTATCCGAGCAGGATATCAGACATGTCCACAAGAAACACAACCTCAAGATCGTGGACTTGAATCAATTTCGAACTCTACGCAAGTCTGTCGAGTCACGGAAGGCACAGAAAGAGCAATCGCGAATCTTCCCTAGGCCTCTGACTTCCTTCAATCAACTTCGCACCGAGTACAGCGCGAATTCAGCCCTTGCACGAAACATTGCGGAGCAAGCATATCTCGAGCCCACCGAGGTCCAGATAGCTACCTTGCCGCTCCTGCTGAACCATGACACCGAGCCCAATCTGCTGACGGTTGCACCTACGGGAAGCGGGAAGACCCTGGCTTTTCTCGTCCCGCTAATTGACAAAATCTCCAGAGTCCACAACGCAAGCGGGGATAAAGCAGACAAACATGTGCGCGCCATCATTCTGGCCCCGACAAAGGAATTGGTCTTTCAAATTGTCAATGAAGGTCGGAAACTTGCGGCGAAGACCGGTGTCACCATCACGGCAATAAAGAAGGGAATGAGACTTTTTGAAGACGCTGGTCAGGCGGCCGAAGGAGAGTTGGATTCTGATGAAGTAGAAATTGGAGGCCAAGAACAAGACGGATCCTGCGCATATGCGACAATCGTCAAGAGCGACATCTTAGTTTCCACTCCTCTTGGTCTTGTCCATCTTCTCGCTCCCTCCTGGGAAGAAGGCACGGGCGTGTCACCGCACTCTCTACCAAACGTCGAGAATTTGATCTTCGACGAAGCAGACGTCCTCCTCGACCCGCTCTTCCGGTCCCAGACCCTTGCTATTTGGTCGGCATGCAATTCCCCTGCGCTGAAGATAAGCATGTGGTCAGCAACAATTGGTTCGAATATTGAAGAGCTGGCTGTACAAACCATCTCTGAACGTCAGAAGAAGCTCAAAATCCCGCGAAACGAGCGCCCACCACTGCTCCGGGCTATTGTTGGGCTGAAAGACACGAGCTTACCAACAATATCGCATCGGTTAGTCTATACCGCGACCGAGTCCGGCAAATTATTGGGAATGCGACAATTACTCCATCCGTCGCGGCCAATGTCAGCATCAAAAGGCGAGTCTGAGAAAGCGGCGCCGTTGCGTCCACCTTTCCTGGTCTTTGCGCAAACCATCGACCGAGCGCAGGCCTTATTCAGCGAGCTTCAATACGATATTTCAGCCGAGGCAGGTGGGTCATCGCGCGTGGCGGTGCTCCACTCGTCTTTGTCTCAGCAGGCGAGATCTTCTATCATGAAAAGCTTCCGGCAGGGGAAGGTATGGGTCCTGATTACCACCGACCTGCTCTCGCGTGGCGTCGATTTCAGGGGAGTGAACGTGGTGGTCAATTACGACATACCGACAACGGTGGCGGGATATGTCCACCGTGCGGGACGCACCGGACGAGCCGGAAGAGAAGGCGGTGTATGTGTCAGCTTCTACACCAAGGAGGACATCCAGTACGTCAAGGGCATAGCCAACGTCATCGCTGCCAGCGAGAAGGCGCAACGGAAGCCGGAGGGTTCCATCACAGGCCCGCAGAGCACCGGGGCAGGCTCGTCTTCGACGGGGAAGTCGGGGATCCAGCCGTGGCTGCTGCATGCGCTTCCGAGTGTGTCCAAGTCGGCAAGGAAGGACCTCAAGCAGCACGGTGTCGTGTCTCGACGAGCTATCCATGCAGATGATGACGAGAAGACGAAACGGATGAAAAGGAAGGCGAGGATCGGGACGCAGAGTGGGTACGAGAGAAGGGAAGTCGATCGGAAGCGCGGTGCTGTGGCGGGCAGTCTACGAGCGAAACGGAAGGTGCACCAGGAGAAAGGGGATGATGAATGGGAAGGATTCGGTTGACTCCTCTCAAAAGCGGGTGCCGACCAAAAGGGTAGTGGCAGATTCTTCCGAGATATGCCCGGTAGGAACTGCCTGCTGCAGAAACAGATGGCCAGACTCGTAGGAAGTTTGTAGTCGCTCATGTCGATAGAAGCGAAGAGTACGGAGGACCTCTGCGTCGATACTCCTCTCCGTTACCCCTGGATCATGGACGGCAGAGACGCTGAACACTGGTGAGTACGGAGTACCCATGGACAAAACCCAGATGTCAGCCATTTTCAGCATCGGCAGAAGAGCTGTCGCTGTTCTGTTCTTGCCTTCCCCACAGTCACACGCGGCCAGCAAGTCCAGAACAATCTAGCCGAGGTCGAGACGTCCCGGTGGCCATTTTGCCAGAAATGCCAGAGAGTCGTTAGCCGGGCTGTGTGGCTTACCGGCGGCCTTCTGGAACGGGCGAAGGGGGTCTGGGTCGAGAGCAAAGGCCGATACCCGACGCCTGCTTGGTCGGTTAACCAACGCCAAATCGTTTCCCCCAGGTCATCCCACGTTCAAGATGCAAGCAGTGGCAGACGCACGAGCCACGGGACATCGACTCGGAGTGTTGCCCTTGTACCGAGTATTCTTGAGAAGACAGCCCTTCTTGCAGTCCATCGGGGAACCACGCCGGTGTGAAGCGGCAATCTCGGCAAGGCAGTCTACTGTACCCAGTCTTCAGGGGCCATCCATACCAGCCTTTATGAGCCTGCCAGGGTCTTCCTCGGGCGGTGCGGTTAACAACATGGTATGACATGCTTTGGTCCCGGGGTGGGAAGAAATAGTGGCACACTCCACGGTGTCGGTCTGCCGTATCGTGTACTGTTCTACTCCGGAGCGCCATGACCACTGCCCACCAGTACCCAGTACTTCTAAACCCTGGCCCGAATGTCAATATTGTACATCTGTATTCTTTTCCCGAGATACCTAGCGTTCCGACATCAGGCGCTTTGCTCCCGGTACTTGAGTTCTGTGACTGTTGCATTGTTGATGTCCATTGCAGCTAATTACTCTCTTGTCTCGTGTCCATGTCCGGTGCGGCGTCTCACGATCGCGACACCGGAAGGCCCCGGGCGGAAGCATGACCAGGCTGCTACTGTAGTCTCGATACTATGCAACTTGTGTACCAGCCGCTTGCACGGATCTACCAAGGAAGCACAGTATATCCCACCTGTCGGCTTCATCGGCATGCTAGCAATTTTGAGTCGCTGATGCAGAACAAATCGAACCACGATCCAGAGAAGCGATATCCTCTCTCTTCCACACGATACTCATATGGCTTCTCTCCACGGCCTCTAGAATTTACTCTCGCGGGCTAGGCAGTCTGAGTGTGAAAAGCCGCTGTTGCGGTTCCTTCCGGGCCCGGTACTCCGTACTTTGTGGTATATTTCATTTCGCTTCCCGTATCTCCTTCCGCCAAAGCTGAAGAGCAGACCACTTGACATGAGCCTTGATTCACACGGCTGCATTTCCGTGTCGTCTCATGAAGAGTCACCACACATATGGCAGTCGTGTCTTTTTACTCGCCGGATCTGACCCACTCCCCTTTTTACTGTACCGTGCTGCCGTTATATTCCCTCCCGGACGAGGGAAACCAAGACGGCAGTCTTCGTAGTTTCAAGTCGATGCCAAGCGGATACGCGGCGACTCGGTGTCACTATCCGGCAAATTCGACCTCGTGAGGGCATTACCGCAACCCGCGGAACAGGAAAGGAACTCAATCACGTCGTCACGTAGGCAGGGAGACGTCAAGACCTTTGAACACTGTCAACAATGCGGTTGAGAACGTGTCCAACCACCTGACATCCCATTTCTTGCGAACGTGCCCATGGAGACACGAGGAAGGGGTACGGACACTCACATGCCCGCGGCCAGATCTACCAAAACTTCTCCACCGCAATCACCTCACGCTACGTGTGAGTACAGGGCTGAAACTTCGGAGCCAAAGGCGGGCCATGGTAGTCGTATGCTAGGCTGTGGGTAAGACCGCCTTGCCGGCTCGCTGACTGACTCACTCGCCATGCATGCAGACGTACTCTCGGTACCTACGTAGTATGTAGTATGTACTTGCAGCGTGCCAGCGTGCCAGTGTGCTTGCTTCTTGCTTCTTGCTTCCCCACAGGACAGGTCCTCCACCGGTTGAAAATTTCCACAAAAGAAAAACAAAGTAGTCGTAAAAGGAAGGTCACAGGTTGCAGATGACGCGGGACGATCGGAGAAAAGTAGGTATGTATCAGGCCATCCTTTCTCGAGTGAAGCGCGAGAGTGGGAGCGAGAGCTAGAGCTTGAGCTTGAGCAGAAATTTTCAACTTCCAAGCCGACGGGAAAGAAAGAAAGAGAAAGAGTCCAAGAACTGAGCGGCGTGGGGTCAGTGGGGTGACACCGTGAGTCGTACTCTTAACTGAACGAATTAATTAATCAGTGGGGGACGTAGAAATAAAACCCGAAGCAGCAAATGCAGAGAAGCGCAGGTAAAAAAAACCGGAGGCGGAGGTGGAGACGGAGAATGACAAGCACCTTTGGATTTGCATGCCCGCCTCATTACGGAGTAGTACGAGTACTTACCTGTGGATGCATCTCATCTCCTCTGCCTTGGGCTACATTTATCGCACACGAGTGCATGCTCGGGTAGGTAGGTAGGTAGGTAGGTTGGTACCTTCTCTGTACATTCAGACACACACACACACACACACACACACACACACACACACACACACACACACACACACACACAGACAGATAGGAGATACGAGTTCAAAGCTCGCGTGCTCTCCTTTTCCTCCCTCCCTCTGCTAACCCGCAGAGCACGCGATGGGTGAATATAGTTTCATTCCGTAGATACTGTACATACTCGGCTTCTTCATTATGCCGTGGTAGGTACGAGTCCATCAAACAGGATGGCTCACCCGATCTCGTGATGAACTTACACGTACATAACACATAACACACGTACTCTGTACGCATTCCCCACCGTGGACCTAGTAGACTGGTCTCTTGAGCACGACGCCCTGTACGTCAGGGAGGTCGGTCGTACGTATACACACTGACATCTGACACACAGTCAATCACATACATACATACGTGCTCCGGAGACCCCACGTCATCCTCATACGCGTACGGCGTCCTGCTCAGCCAAAGTACTAACTTCTAGGCTCGACTCCTTGACCCATCTAGACGTGTCGTGGTCGAAGGTGGTCCTAAAGTGCATCCAAGGTCGTGTGCACACGGCGCTGACTCGGACTCTAAGAAGGACGTTGCCCGTAGGTGCTGACGGGCACTACCTCGTCCTGTACGGAGTACAGTATTCAAGGCCATGTTTGATGATATTGCCCTCTCCTCTGTACGCGGACGCACACCTTCCGTTCGAGCTGTATTCTTTTGAGCCGCATCTCGATGGCGAGCTGCATTCAACGTGTCGTCGGTGTTTGGGGCCCTCGGCTGTTAGATGGGACGTTGTGTCTATGTCTACGTCTACTGTGTACACCGTCAAATGCTCAGGATTGCTAGCGTGGCTGGCCGTAGCTCGGTTGACCAGATTCGAGACTGTATCATATCTTTTGTTTTGTATGATTCGTAATAAATCGCTGTTTTGGGTATCGTACAATCATTTACTTCCATCACCACTGCAACCTGCTCAGCTGGTCCGCTTTCTCATTCGCGGCGATTTCCTGCTGACCACTAAGGGAGTCGTCCGTTCCTTCTCGATTCGCCCTGAATTCGACCCACTCCCACAGATCCCCAGCCCAGAGACACTGCTTGACGAGTCCTTCCTCCCCCTCGACGGCCCATGCGCTTTCAAGATTCCCGTCTCAAACGGGAGCGACGACGGATGGCATTCCTCGATGAGCATAGCCAAGTCTGGTGTTCGCGAAGCGAGACATTGGAGCCGGACCAAGGCTTGCCGTTGGCGGCGACGCATCGTGTATGATGACAAGGCCTGTGCTTCAAGGGACAACGAGGGCCGGGGTGATGATGTAGCGACCATCGCATCCGACATGGACAAGTCCCACAGCGTCGGATCAATTTCGTTCGAGTCGTACGAGAAGTCCGAGACCGTCGTGGTCGGGGTATCTGCACCTTCGCAGTAACCTTCGTCCTCCATGGTCGATGACGAGTCTGAAGGGGATGCCATGTCAATGGGCGGCGGCGAGGGTGATCGCATCTCCAGGTCGTCTAGTACGTGCGATTGCAGCTGTGCCGTCAGGGCTGTGACGGATCCATGTCGAGGGGCAGACCGGTATGCGTCGAATCTGGAGTCGCGACGCGCTAATGGTCCGTGCGAAGAATGTGGTGTTGAGCAACGTGATGTGAATGGTGAGATGTCTGCTGAGGTACATTCTTCAACGCTGAATTGTAGCGCCGTCGGGTTTGGAGCCGACCCGAAAGAGAAGTTCTCGTTGAACATTTGGTCGAGTGACGCTTTGGCGACCTGGGTGCGAGTGTTGAAAGAGCAGACTGCTTCGAGATGCCGTAGTAGTAAGAAGTTGTGGAATATGGCGCGGAAAGGTGAAGTACGAGTACGAGATGGTTGAGTTTTCCGCTCGGCCAATTTTATGTCACCGGTACCCGTATGTCTGGTCGCAGGTATATGCCCCTCCTTGATAGTAGCAGAACGGATTCGAACAGGTGCGACAAACTGTAGACAAGTTTAAATGTCGAGCATGAGCGCCTACCGATGCCCTTTTTTTCTTTCACGCTTGGGTGGAGTGCCACTGGTGAGACTGGAGTGTCACCCGCCGGGCTCGAAGCCGTCCTGAATGTCAAGGCAGCCCTCGGATACCGGTTTGGGGGAGGAGTGGACCAAGGTTGCGCGGATGAAGGGTGAGGGGGCCCAAGGACCCCACTGGTGTGGGTTTGCTCGCTTATTCCATGGTGCCATCGGGCAATCCAAAGCGCACAAGTCTCGAGATGAGCGAGAGTGTGAGCGAAAGAATCGGGGCCAAGCCACAGAACGTTGCGTGACTAGCCCCGGATAATTGAAGGGGCGATCGGGTGAGCGTTCCCGAGTCCGGCAACTGTTAGACGTTGGCGTGACATGGAGACACTAGGGGCGCCTCCGGTGACAGAAGGGGCGAAGGCCGCTTTCTGGGCTGGCTGCCTGTCATCCCATTGCCGAATGCCGCTAGAAAACGCCTAGAAAGGCCCCAGAACCACAAGGGTATGGGCAGCCCGTGGACGCCAGGATCGGCCATCTCCTCTCCAAATTTGCGACCTTGTGCCGTCATGGCTCAAATCTCGGCCCTTCTATGATCAACTGATAATCACTTCCGTCCCGCCGTCTCTTTTGTCCTCCTCACGCCGCATCCTCATTTGTCTCACTCGCCATTCGCAGTTCGGAAGCGCGCCGTGGCGTTGGGGTGATCACGACCCCCGGATTGAGCAAAAGCAACCATCCTGCTGAGTTGATTGGTGGCTGGGCCTTGGAAGCCACCATTTTTGGTTTGTCGTACGTTGCCACCACGCTGTCACTTGTCCCGAAGGCAACGTCGTGATAGTTCGGCCTCGTTTCGGCCCGGAGGAAGAACTCCAGCTGGCTGGATTTTCTCACCATAGCAGGGGCATTTGATGGTCCACAAGGAAGCAGATCCACGTGATGGAGTTTGCGGTGTACATTGGACTACAGTATAGCCGCTTTTCTACCCCCTGCAAACCCCATTTGACTGGCATGTTGAAAGGCGATCCTTGAGCCAGGGCACTGCTTAACTCAGCCATGCGCTGCCTGTCAGTACACGAAAGGTGACCGTTGATGTACTCCTTGGACTGGTATAACACCGGCGAAACGTTGCAGATCTCGAAGCACGTCTCGTCAAGAGGTGATTTGCCTAAAAGGAAGAACTCCGAGTACAAATCTTGCAGGCCGCTCATGAATTCATCCAAGGCGTCGTCGACAGTACTGCTGGTAGTCGACGCCTGTGATGCGTTAGATCTTGGAGTATGGTTGATCTTCGGTGTCGATCTCGATGTGTTTCTGGGTGCCGGCGTTCTTCTCTTTTCTTCACTTGCCAGGTTTAGCCAGATATCTTCCGGCAGCTCTCGATAATTGGCCGAGGATCGCAGGATGGGTTCCCGATCGTCAGGTAATAAACAGCCTCCAAGCAGATCGTCGGCCGAGAGTTTATAGCTGGCGGCATGCCAGTCGCGGATGTTCCGCTCCTGCGATGGTGTTTGCACCTCGCTCTCTATGATCGAAGAGTCAAGCTCGCGGTCGAACTCTGGCAACGACGCTGTGTCGTTGATGAATTTCGTGACGTCAACCAGACATGCAAGCATGAACCGACTGCGGCCGCTGCTTGGAATGACGAGAGGTGTGAACAAAACGAGGTGCGTTATTGGGTCTCCAGCTGCGTCCTGTCCGGTTACAATGTCCATGGATGCACCCTCGCACTCGGAATTGTTGAGAAAGAAGTGTTCACCAATCTCAAAAATGTAGCAGAGTTCTCGAGAGGTGGCCACAACTGGACAGCCTGCCACAGCTGTGTCGAGAATGCAAAATGACCTGAAGTGTTCGACCGATCGGATACCCGTTTGGTCCTGCATTGGGGCCCCCTTGTCCGAACTAATCGCCGCCTCAGCCACCGAAACGGAACTTGCAGTTGGAGACTGCAGCCATGAGACGTGGTTGGTCCGTCCCCTACTGGGTTTTGTCTGGGAAATCGGATTCCGAGTTACGGAGGTTGGTACCGGAACGAGCGATTGACGCGAGTCCTGGATGCGTAGCGTGGAAATGCTCGGAGCTGTGGACAGAGTCGAGAAGCTGGCTACGCTGGCTTGCCGGCTCGCAATTGACACCACGCTGGGCAATACGGCATCATGGACGGCTCGTTGAGGCACCGTCGAAGGATGAAGGTAGGCGTGGTGGAGGTCAAACTGGCTGAGGCTGGTCGCTGGCAGAAGTGACTGGGGAGCGGGCGAACGGATTGAGCCTCGATGAGTTGGTGACTGGAATCGATTGGGGATTGCATGGGAAATGGTGTATTCCTCGAGACTGTATTGGCTGCCCAGCCGGTCTGTGAATGAAGAGAAAGTCGTCGTCGATGGAAAATAGGGCCTGGTCGATTCGGCTCGTCTCAAGATTCCAGACCCTACTGTGTCTGAATGGCCGGGCGACTTCCGCAATGTCCGGCAGAAAACATCTTTGAGGCTCTGTTTCAGCGACCTCCGCTGTGGATATGGTGTTTGTCTCCCTGGAGGCAACCGATGGCGTGACGAGGGAGGTTGAGCCTTGGTTGTCATCTTGCGATTAATGCTGTCGCCCACACCGGAGCTCGGGGTTTCTGTTTTTGCGGGACGGCGGCGAGGCGAGCTACGGGCGGGCTGAGGTCGATTTGAAAAGAGTTTGATATCAGGCCACAAACCCAACGATGATAAAAGTCATAGGCAATCGGTGATTGATGCACAAAGACAAGTTGAACGCCGCTAGGCACAACCGACTCGCCAGGGAGACAAAGAAGCGACCACCCAGAAACAGAACGCCAACAAACCGCCGTACATGGAGAATATCTCACATGATCACATCTCTACAGGAAGAACATGAGCACGAGCGTGGAAGACGTCTACAAAAATTTCGAAAGAAGACCACATTCGGACGAACTTGAGAGATCTGCTGCAGGGGCTGGGGGTTTCGAAAGCAATGAAGCAAGTGGTGACCGGGGAAGTCGGACAGACGAGTTTAGGCCCCGAACAGTCTGTTTCAGGTTTAGCAAGTACCCGGAATGCTGGAACCGCCTTGTCCACACCGTGCAAGGCAGCGAATGAACCGTAGTAGTCGGGCGGCGGCGGCGGCAGACAGTACGAGTACTATACGTAGGTATGTAGTCGAGGTGCCAGTTTGCTGTGGCTGAGATCAAAGGTTGATGTGGCTCTTGTGAAGGGGAATCGAATCAGAATAGAATCCCTGGGCGAGGTCCATTATGGCATGGGCTTCCGGCATTAAATTACGCTATGAACCATGACATCTTCCGGCAATCACTACGGATGGTCATAATTCCTGTCACACAAACTATAGATCATGATGGCCTGAGAGGCACAACAGAAGTGAAAGTGAGTTGAGATGGAATCGAAATGGAGTGTTTTTCCCAGCCGTGCCAAAGCCAACCAATCAGAAGCTCGCGGCGTGAAATTTTCCGGACCAGTGAGGAAGCTACAGTCCTTTTCAACACCTAAACGTTCAATTCTCAATCACCAGGACGGCGTCTGAGCAGCACGAACACGCCTGTTTCTTCCTCGCCAGCACTGTCAACTCTCCTCCTTCGCGTCTTGCGCCCTTCGAGGAGCTCCATCAGCCATGTCGGCCGCCCCTGCTGCTCGGGTCCTCCTTCGGCAGCCCAGATTCCTCCTGCGTCGCAACAATTTCCGACAAGCTTCCACCGCCTCAGAAACCGCTTCAAAGGCACAAGACAGTGGAAAGCAAGCCGTGTCAAAGGCCTCGGAAGGTCTTACCCGAGTCCAAAGCTCGGCCAGCTCCTCGATCTCTAGAGTTGGCTCATCTGCATACAATGCTCTGAGCAAAGTCGGTGGGAGGACGGGAAGATTGATTTCTTTTGTCGAATGTATGCTGCAGATACTTGAACTTGGTTGCGCACGCCGGGAACTGACCTGTTGGTAGCATTAATACCACCCACCGTCTACTATAGTCGTGTCGGATGGGAGCTGGCAAGAATCGTTTTCAGAGGTCAACAAATGGCACCCCCGTGAGTTCTTATCCGTGAACATGCAAGAACTTCTGACTGACCACGCCTCAGTTCCTTGGCTCAATTTCAATCCTACTTCCAGCCTGTCACGAACGTCCTCCGCAATCCTCGATCTATCGCCTCAAGCGCGAGCTCTGTGACTAGCTCCATCAACCCTGATGCTGTGTTAAGCAGCATCCGCAACGTCAATCGCAGGCAGCTTACCACTGCTGGGATCATTTTCGCCGAAGTCTTGGGCTTTTTCACTGTGGGCGAAATGCTGGGGCGGCTGAAGATTGTTGGCTACCACGGCGAACCTCACCATGAACATTAAGAAGCTGGAACAGAGTACCTACCACCTGTCGGCTGAGGGTCACACATTGTAATCTTAGGAGTTTATTGCACGAGAAAGAAAGGCCAATACATATCCTCGGGTTACATGCCGCGATTGCTCGTTGTTTTTAAGGGACGTTGTGCGTGCCGACTGATCTGCTGCTTCGTTTACGATGGACTTGCAGATTGATGCATCTGGACTTGACCATCTATATCTCCTCTACAGGCTGAATGCACCTTCTGAGCTTGACTCTGATGTGGTCGGGTTGACAGTGAATACGACGTCGAGCGAGGAACTTCTCGATGCTGGAGAAGAGTCTCCATCGGCGAAAAGTGGGCGATCTGTCTTAAGGTCATCGTATTACAGAAGGCAATCAAGGTCAGGTACACAGGCGAGTTCTTC